ATTGGTAGATGGGTCGAAAATGAAATGAGGATTCTTGATGATTGTCAAGGGTGTTTCAGAATGAACCTATCACTTACCTTGATGAAGACTAGGAATGTCAAATTGGGCTAGCTTGGTTGTCTAACCCCCCTTGCATACTGGTAATGTGCCATGCATAATCAGGAACAGGAACAGGAATAGATAGGAGATTGGAAAGTGATCCATCCGTTCGTTGGATGGTAAATCATGAATGATGAGTAAATGAATCAAAAATTAAAAAATGAAGGAAGAACGAGACAAGAATCCCGTGACGTGCATAAATATACAACAAACATCGTATACATAGTTTCCTTTCGTCTGTGATAAAAGTATAATAAGAGTATCCTGTCAACCACAAAAACCTCAACATCATATATCTTCATCCGAGGTAATTCCTTACCTACCTATCTAAATACCAACAATCTTCAACCTTATCATCTCCCGCGTCGAAAGCCACGTATTCGTTAATTTATAGAAGCGCTTCCATACCCTACTAGAATTCCTTGCTCCCCGAACCTCTCTTAACATTCCTCTCTACCGTAGCCGGGGTTCAACGAATATCCTCATCATCTAGCTAGGTAGAGGCCTAGAGATTCATCTAACGAAATTTCCCCATAAGATTTTATTAAAGCCGTTGAACTTTGGAGCGAATATGATGAATCATACTATGAAGATACCTAGGCAAGTATTGTATTGTGAAAAAGTTCCGATATCCGAGTTGTATTGATTTTAGCTGGTTATGTTGAAATCATGTACGATTCAGGAGTACAGTAGGTTATGACAGTCTTATCGCAAGGGAAAAAATAAAAGACGTCTCCTCCCGTATTTCCCTCTTCTACATCACTACAATCGACCGACATATCTAACCCAATTTATACCCATAAACATCACACCACCACCACCATCATCATCATCGTCGCCTCACACCCCAACCCCAACTCACAGACAAGATCTACGACGATCCCCCAAATACACTAACCAGAAACTAATAAATCATTCCATTTTCCCTTCTTGTTTCCACTTTCGACTTTTCACGGTACCTCCATACATTCATCTATTCATACATATATACACATTCATACATCTGTTCATACATATATACATCCATACATCCATACATCCATACATCCATACATCCATACATCCATACATCCATACATCCATACATCCATACATCCATACATCCATACATCCATACATCCATACATCCATACATCCATACATCCGTACATCCATACATCCATACAAACGATCTTTTCTCCCTCCCCCTCCCAATCCCCAATTCCACTCCATTCCCACATCATATCATATCATATCATATCATATCATATCCAATCACCCACCTAGGTACTTCACTTCACACCACACCATCCAAATCACACATCACACATCACACAGCCACCACGGCACCCAAACCCCAAAAACCCTCATCACAACACCAGCGATCCTCATAATTCCTCTCCCAAAGAGCCAACCACCTACAGATTTAAAATTACACAAACAGCGATCGGCGCAGAGGCTTAGATCCATCCACTAGCCCCTTTCGTCGTTTGTCGCGTGGAGCACGTGCTTACTTGCTGTTTCTTGGAAATTTCCGATGATTCCGGGGAATTATGATGTGGTGTGGTGTATTGATGAATATGAATGTGAGTGATATGATGGGTTTTTTTTCTATGAGAGTTGGGATTTGTTCTTGTGTTTGTTGATGGGGTCATCTATATATCTCTAGTGAGTGAGTGAAGAAATAGAATAGAAAGTAGATTTCTCTTGAAGAGAAGTCCCGTAAGTATATATCACGTGATACATCTCCAGCGATGGTACACTGTCAGATCTATCTGTCTGATGATATACTTCATGACCCAAGCGGATTGTCAAATTATGCTTAGCATTTCAAGGCTATTCATGTCAATGATGAACACCAAATACTCTACTATTGAAAAATATAACATCTCTCACGATACTTTCATTAGTACAGTACCCAAACACAACTCTTGCTTGGAGACTAACTTATAATTCCCTGTTCATACATTTTCACATATAGTAAATATTCCTCATTGAATGCCTCTTTTCTCTTTCCTTTATTCGGAGATATACTATTGTATAGGTGTCGATTGCTAGTCGCTACATCATATTTACTCAAATCGGCAACAGTATGCCCAAGCAATTTTGTTCATGTGGACTGGTATCATATCGAAACGTATGTATGAGATGGTAAATATGAGGTGAGGGTATGTATGTGTGTGTGTGTGTGTTTTATGCATATCAACGAAGAAATGAGATGAAACAGTGAGGTGAAGTGGTAAGATCCAGAAAAAGGTAGAATCACTCGATCAGTATTTACACTTCCCACATCACAAAGTATATCTCATCTCGCACACCTACCCAAAAATTCCACATGCACCCTCACATCCCATTCTAAACCCCCACCAATTAGATTACCCATCCCCAGAAAAACTACTCTGAGAGTTGTATTGTAAACTGTTTTAAAAATCTTTCTTCTCTTGCGATTGCGAAAAATACATAGCTGCCTATCATAGGAATATAAGGTTATCTTCACAGTCGTTAGAAATTAAAAGGCTCGCGTATATATCGCAGCTCGCTTTTACATAGTATGGTTTGAGTTTTGAGTCTGCATATATCTGAATCTGCAGGCGACGCGGATATAAGGTGGGATTGGATTTGGGTTTGGAGTGATTTCATCGTAGGGGTAGTTTTTATTGCATATATCTAGGTAGGTTGGTAGATTGGTAGGTTGGTAACGACACTTCGTTTATCAATCGTAAGATATTGTTGAGATGAGGAGTTGTGATTGATATAACGGCTGCGTATTACCAAGTCTAAGCGAGCTGTTATGTATTTCTCTTCCGAGAATCTTCTATGAATCCGAGGGGGTAGTTAATGTTCAGGCGGGAGATAGACTGCATGGTGGTTGTGTGGATCTGGGTGGGTGGGTAGAGAGATGTAGTATGGGGGTGTATCCTCGAGTGGATTTGATATAAGTACCCAGGTATAGTTAGTTATTGTTTGGAGAATTGAATGTGCATGTAATTTACAGAGGTGGTATACGCATATGTGCATCTGAATCTGGATCTGAATCTAAATCGCATCTTGAGAGGTAATTCTGAATTTGAAAAATGAAATAGGGGGGATTAATAAATGGTTCGTGTTTATAGGCTAAGGAAGGTACCTAGTATGTATATATATCAATATATCATACTACATACAGTAGACAAGCTTAGATAAACCTCATACAAAGCGATATATTCCATTCCATTCCATTTCTTCTGCGCTGTATATACATCTTGGGATGAGTTGAAGAGGGAAAATGGTAATAAATTAGGTAGATATAGTTTGGATGTTTGTTGCGATTTGTTAGTACTAAGTAGATGAATCTATTACTGAGATGATTAATAGATATAGATGTATATAAAGCAGTTTTTGTAAGGTTTTATTGTGTTTGAAAGTACGTATTCTGTAATGAGTAAGTAATCTTACGATGTTTGGAAATTGGAAGGGTTTGTTCAGGAGGTGTACTTTTGGAAATTTCTAGTATCTATTCTCGTTACTTGATGAGATGAATATGAATTCGAATAAAAATGGTAGTTGGTTGAGAGAAGGAAAGGAAGAAAAGATGATTTCTCGCAAATATAAATATAAATATAAAACTATACAACTATTCTGACCTTCCAAAATATCTTCTAGATTCCTATAAAATGATTTAGTATCTTCTCAACTACCTAAATCTACATCTATATCTAACCCCTTTACCGCAACATCGCAACTCCTTTCTCCTCCCACACCATGGAAAACACACGTATCATACCCTCATCCCTAGAGACAGGTATGAAAATATAAGGAAAGAAGCACACATATACACACGCAGAGAGAGAGAGAGAGAGAGAGAGAGAGAGAGAGAGAGAGAGAGAGAGAGAGAGAGAGAGAGAGAGAGAGAGAGAATACAATTAGAGGTATAAACAGCTAGAAGCGAGAACATATCATGCCCAAGCAAAAGTAGTAGCAAAAACTATCCAGAACATCTGATTATATCATATTATACTACAATTCATATTGCTATATATCAAACCAATCATTCCTAACCTAGCTGATACCCCCGAATCTCTTTATAATATCTATCTTCGTGACGAGTAACACTGAACAATGTAAAATAATCCTCAACCCATCTATCACAACACCAACAGATGCAATATCAAACCACCATCTGAGATCACCTCCCATCCAATCGAAACAACATCTCCCATAACACACAACACAATTTGTACACGATACCAATTCCAGCCATCTTCTTACTCCTTTACTCTCAGTAGGTATAAATACACCATCACCTAGACTAAGAATAAGAATAACTAGGTATTGGAATCACCTCGATGATAATAATAATAATCCCGTTTTTTTTTCAGAATAGGTATACGGTGTGGATTGATATTGTATGTAATCGATTCTAGGTTTTTAGACTATAGAAGCTATCCATATCTTTGCAATACTTGTAAGTACCAAGGAGCTAGCGCTTTTATATATATATTCACTCATCTTGCAATAATGACGTTAAAGTCTAGCGTCTAGATCATGGATAAGAATGAAGTTCAATGCATATATCAAAGTTAAGCATTAAGAGGTTATGATCTTGAGAAATTGAAGAAGTGAAAGGGATCTTGAATTCGTGGATATGGGCTGAGTGCCTAGGTAGTGGAAGTATAGTCTAGTAAATAGTTGCGTTGTGGTTCGATTCGAGATCGTGTTTAGATAGGTAGTAGAAGTATATGAGCATGTTCAAGAGCTTGTTGACGGGAAGGAAATGAGCTAAAAAGGGAAGAGTATAACATCAGTCCATGCAAAGACAAGATCTTAGTTGAAAACTGTGCATGTATTAAGATTCAAGATTCAAGATTATAAATTAGACTACACTACAAAAGCATCACCCAGCAATCCCACCTAAACAACTAACTCATCATAAACCGTTCTTCCTACCTCACCACATAAAATCCATTGACACCCACCCCCGTTTCCCTCAATCTATCAACCTCCATCCTCAACCCCATCTTATGCAAAGGTACTCTATCCAACTCCCTCTGCGCCCTAAACCTGACATCCGCATATCCCGTCGTAGCTCTCTCCAACAATCCTCTGCCTTGCCCTTCCCCCGCTTCTGGTGCAAAAACCGGTTGATCAAGTATTGTCTGCGCAAAAACAATATCATTAAGTGAAGCGACCAATTCCTCTTCCATCTCATTTGCAGATACAGGATACGCATCTGGACGTATGAATCCCATAACTTTGATCTCTAAATTCTTCATCTCGTAGACTTGAGGTTCGAAACAATCGGATATAAAATGGATTTTGAATATTCTTTTGCTGGCTTCGATAATTGTAGCTTTGTGAAGATTTGATGCTTGCATTGGTAATGAGGATATCACGGTTTGAGACCAGATATCCGTATCGAGACGTGGTGCTCCTTTATCAGGACGTCGTCGAATCCATGCGAAATAATGGCCTCGGAGTTGATGAGATATATGTTCTGCAATGCCAGACAGAGTCATGGTAGGCATGCTGAAATAATCTCCGTCTTTGATTTCAATCTCAGATCGTGCTATGAAACAAATTGGATAAGGAGCTCTTGGTCCCGACTCATTGTCTCCACTTCCAGCTTGATTATATGAGAAACTTCTCACTCCCTTATATTGAATATTTCCATTTGTGATGGTCGATTTCACCATTTCCTCTGTTCCGCTTTTTCCATAAAGTGCAACGGCTGCTTCCTTCCGGGTTTTAGAAGGCATGAAAGGTTGAGCAACTTTCATTGCAGTGGATGTAACTGGGGAAACCAATCCTCCAACTGTTTTGTTGGCATAAACAGTTATAGCCATAGCCCCAAGTTCCAATGGTAAGGTACTCAAACTCGCACCTCTTATTGAAGAAGGACTTGTCGAAGCAGAAAGAATACGAAAAACCGGACTTGGACACAGCACTTTCTTCTTCTCGCCTTGACAAAGTACAAGGTGGAAATAGCCATCGCTTGCTTCGACTGGTATGCGGACTACGAGAGTCTCGCGCAATATATGTTTTGGATGCTTTGTTTTCTTCAAAAATTTCTTGATATCTCGTTGCCAGGCTCGCTCATCACTTTCTTTCAGTTGCTCTGCTGAGATAGGAATTTTCGGTGTGACATTAATCCAACTACTATTATTTCCTAAAAAAGCTTTCAGACGCATCCCAGTATTTCCAGACCATCCTTTGTCTTGAAGCCATACCTGCCGATCTGGCGGTAAAGCTGCATCTGAAAAGATTGAAACCGTAAGAGTTGTAGAGCAGCCTTGATAGAATACTAGACCGTGTGAATGCCGTAGAATAGAAAAGTGTTTTGTGCTTTCTGATGGATGAGATATGAGTCCTCCCGCAAAATGTCGTGCTTCTTGCAATGCTTTTGAGACGTAGGATGCGGATGGAGTGGATGATTGTTCTGATAATGTTTCATTCGCGATTTTGGGAACATCATTGACGGCTGGTAAATTTAAAGGGGCTGCCGGGGCAGAAATTGTTCTTTCAATGTTTGTACCCGTTTGAGTGATTTGAAGGGTCTCAAAACCGGCGGGTTGAATAGGATTTGTCTGCGATTGCGACAATAAAGTTTGAGCAGCATTGTTTTTAGTATATTTCCCCGCTTTGCTGTCTTCTGATAGATTCCGACCATACTTCGTCGAATCATAGATATCGATTCCCAAGGGTGTCGCTGGATTCAATTGGGGTGTTACGGGCTTGCGCTGGATTCGAGAGGGGTTCGCACCGTCGTAAGGCCGTAATGGCCTCGGGGTCTCACTGTATGCTGGTGGGGGCGAATAATAATCCATTTGAATTTGTTTGTTAATTGACCATCACTTTCCATGCTGTCAAACCGCTGGTTTGAGTCCCCATTTCATTAAAATGAGTCGTTGCAATATCGTAATGGCCAAGATAGATGACTGTCGGAAATGTTTCAGTAATCTCGGTCAAAGCGTTAGTCATTATCTTGGAAGATATTGGCAGTGAAATCTGGTGAATTCGCTCGTTGTCATATGAGCCATTATATTCACTTCCAGAAACCTCATGTATGAATGAATCTTTTGATACCTTTTATGGTGGTTTAGCCTTATTTATATATGGCTTGCCTTGCGCTCAAAAGATGTTTCGTGCATGCAAGCTTATTTTCCCCACCAAATCCACTTTGAACGTGCCTCAGTGCTTCTCACGCAAGGGACGAACAATAAGTTGCATACCAAGCTCCCAAGTAAACTACCTTGTAAACCTTTTGGCGTCTTTGAATATTCTAATTCGAATTTACCAGTGAACCACTTTCGATGTTCCAATTTAGATTTAAAAATCAAATTCCTCTAATATTCATTTCAAAACGAACAATCAAGTTCTCCTGATATTCTTCTCAAAGTTCAAATTCAAATTAGACAATCAAGCTCCTCGAGTAACACAATTCAAATGTGATATTCAAATGCCTGGGATATCATTTTGGCGTGCGATTCATTCATGTGGAGCCCCTTCACCAGACCCAAAATAAGCGAAACACCGAAATCAAATTTAGATTTTTCCGTATTTGTAAAAAGTGAAGAAATAATTTTCATAACCTGTGTTTGTAGTATACATACATTTGCCTCTGTTTTTCATACGTCTCGAATTTGATACAATCCGAATGAGAAATCAAATTTAGAGTGAATATCAAAGATGACGCATTCGAAAGGCACTCAGTGTATCAGCATTTCTCATGCCTCTAAGGACCCTTCACTAAAGTTCCAAATGCGTAGCCGAATTGCCTAGGGGCTGCTGATTCTCTCCACTTGATTATATATTGAAATAGTTGCCGAAAAACTCGTCAAACAAGAGCAGGCCATGTGGTCTAGTCGTATGATTGCCGCTTCGGGATATCCTCCCCACGTATACTCGTGATAGAATGTGGCAGGCCCCGGGTTCAAATCCCGGCATGGCCCTTGTTTTTGCAAAGTTGGGTTGTGTTTTGATTTGTGAAGCTTTTGATATGGAATATTTTAGTTGGGGCCTCTGACTTTCGAAGTTTTGGCATTTCCTCTCTATTTTGGTGGGGTACGCGAAACACTGACGAATAAGGGTTAAATATGTGATTTGTGCGTACTACCTAGGACAGAGTATGAGATCCTTCTTGACCTTCTTCCATAATCATATTGAAAAATTTTTGCACGTCCCCGGTAAAAAAACTAATTATACTGGTAGAAACCACACGTTTGACCAATCTTCTAACCCTAAATCGACACATTCCATAGCGAGAGGACGGGTCGTTCCTTAGGGGTTTATGTGGAGTATGGGAAAGAAAGTTGAACCTACTCGTGCTGCCAGAAAGTATGCAACTCCGGCGCCCAATATAACTTATTTTTAGGTTTTAATTTAGACTTACTTGAACATCGCGATATTGATAAAAATTCACAAATTGAAGTTCTAAAGGTTCTATGGCCCTCTATAGCTTTAGTAATCGAAAGCCTGAAGCATGCCTTATAAAAAGAAAAAGAAACAAGCGTTCTAGGTTCTAATGCTTGAGAGGGGCATTATTTAAGAGATATCGGGATTTCGGCAGTTGTTGGGGTAAGCTCCTGGGCGTTCCATTGCCATTTCAGACGCTCCCAATTTATTGTCTACATTTGAACTCGCTGTCAATGTCATTTTTATGTCAATCATTTCGAGGCCTCCAAATCCTTCTGATAGATCAGAATAGATAACTGAGCTAAGGGACCTGATTGGACGACGACAATTAGACAAACTCACAACAGTATTCAGAGCCTGGCTCCCTGGGTATTGGAATAGCTACCCACATCTCATTGACCTCATCTTCCTGTAAGTTAGTCACAAGCAATGTGATACAGTCTCCGAGATTGCTACGGTGAGGGAATCGGTTGCGGGATTTCACACTCCTGACTTGTTCCTTCCTATCTGAGATCATTAGCAATTTCGTTGATGCATAGTAAGATTACATATATAGATTTAGGGAGTCGCTCTATGAGTAATTGGGAGTTAGACAATTCCACGAGTGATGAGACACTTCTGGATTGATCTTGCTTCAACGGAAAAAGATCATTGTTTAGTGATGAATGATATTCAGTCATTAGATGAGTTCGAGTACTGGATCTATGTTGAATGTCTGGATTCATTGAGAACAATGATACCCAGGTAGTATCCTAGTGTCTCAAGTATTTTCGAAGATTCGAAGTCGGATGAATTCGATTCGGATTCATTGCAGCCGAACTATTTGATAAATCTTTGGAGGCTACAGGCTAGAGTCTAGTTCGGAAGCCATATATGTCTGTATTCATTCTGATAATATTCAATTAAGTACAGCCTGTCTATCACAGTCTAAAGACCTGAAGTACAATGCATGGGTTGTTATTCAAAAGGGGTACGGGTTTTTACAACAACGTCCTCTACAGTCCATGAGTTATTCCAAAACCTAAACGGCCGACTTTCCTCCTACTCAGAACTGAAGTCATCGAAGTATAAAATAGACGTTGACGTCAACGTTGAAGCCTGCTTTTCTGGTGAAATCTAGTTAAACAAGACGACTCAGTTGTGGACTTCTTTAGTTTTTGAAAGAGCCGAATGAATGCCAGTCTACTTGCTCCGAGTCCGACGGATAGGTTTCAAGGGCTTGAGTATTGTAGCAAGCAGAGTAACCTGATATTGTCATAAGAAAACGGCGCATTTATTCATTGCATGCTGCAAAAATAGAAATTACATGCAATCACTAACTTCGCCAGTATAAAATTTGACATCAAGATTGAAAACAATGGCGCCTTTTGCGCAGACAGTAAAATAATTGCATAAAGATTGCAATCAACTCATATTAGAAGGATAACTAGCAAATGCACAGGTGTCATATAGACAGGTATCAATTCATAAAAACTGTTGCTCTCAAAACACTCAATAGATGTAACCTTCGCTTCCAAACACCTAAATCTTTCCCTCCCGAAGATACCCGCCAAATTAACGCCCAAGACAAATTTTCTACTCATCACTTTCTTCAACAGGTCCACCCATACTTGCAGGTTTCTCCGTAAGTGCTCTCGTGATTCGTGCGTAAAATCTAGCAGCTTGTGGTCTTGGAAATTCTATCTCATCTACAAGATAGTCTGGTAATAAATCCAATAAGGGTTTATCTCTGCTTGGATCCAAAAGTGGCGTATATCGACAATCTGGATCACCGTCTGCCATTTTCTCGCTCTCAACACCTAATTTGAAGTGAAGAGCTAGTATTAAAGTCAGTATAGAGTCAATATATCAGTCAGACATAGGGCTACTTACTACCATTACGACCTGTCTGAATACAATCAAAGACATCTTCTTCGGTTTCTCGTTTGACACCACGTATAATTAGTCCGGTCAAATCACTGTATAGATCTTCTTTCAATTGAGCGGCCTGAGCGGCTTGAGCTGCTTCTTGACTTCCAATAATACGCATACCACCATTGGCCTTGATAGCACTGCCTGGAACCTTGTTATTTGCGCTTTCGTATGATGCTGTAATTTTACGATTGGCTGCAAGCTTGGTAGACAATGTCTTGTTTTCCACCTGTGCTTCTGATAATGCCAATTCTAATTGATGGATCTGAGCTTGTAAATTCGTAGCTAATGCGTCTTGCGATTCGATTGTTTTCTTGAGACTTCGAGTTTCTTTTGCTAAAGAAGTTTGAGTTGCTAGATTGGCTTTTAAAGAAGCGATAAGCTCATTCGATGCTACTCAAAATTAGTGCCTGACCCAATTGCCTAATTTTAGAGTTTCATACCCTTTGTTTTTTCCTCCGCTGCCTTTTTGTATCGATCAAAAGTTTTCTCTGCTTCCTTGACCCCGACCTCTCGAAGATCTTGGTATTTTACCTCCACATGCTCAAGTTTCTTTGAAAGTTCGCCAAGCCTGCGTCTGACAGCTGGCTCATTCCTCTCTGTATCTGAAGCACTGCCAGCTCGATGCCGCGAAACGGACATCTGTCGTCGCCGTGAGTCGTTTTGCGGGCGAGATCCTTTCCTTTTCACCTCAGGTATGCTATCTTCTTGTTCCAATTCTTCGATATCTTCATCCATTTCCACTTCCGTTTCTGGTGCTTGTGTTTCCTGAATAACCTTTTCAGGTGACCCTTGTTCTACAACAGGCTCCTCTTGTACCTTTGCTTTGCCCTTTCTTCCAGGCCTACCCTTTTTGCCCACGGGTACTACGATTTCTTCTGCGATTTCTGGTTCGGGAACCACCGTTTTAGTGGCTCTACCTCGAGGCGCAGTAGATTTTTTCGTATCTTTTGCTTCAACTTCCTTTGGCGCAGTAACCTCACCATCTAGTTCATCACCCGAGACTACATCCTCCATGGTGACGTCTTCTGTCTCATCAATTTGCTCTGCCTCCTTCCCATTGTCTTTCTGTCGATTAATTTTGGCCGCCTGAACATTCTTTCTTCCTCTTTTCGCCGGGGGGGATGATTCTGGTGTTGGCTTCCCATTGATTCTTCCACTCGCGCGACGCGCCGGAGATTTTTTTTTTGTAACTTTTGATGGAGCAGTCTTAGGCCTCCCTCGTACTTTCTTCGCAGCTGTATTATCCTTCGATTGTTGTTTCGACATTGTGCGCTCTACCAAGTGGTCATCCTCTGAGTCTGATCCTATCAGTCCTGCAAGTGTTGAGTTCTTGAACTTCGACATTTAATGTAAACAATGCGCTTGGTTTGCTACGCGAGATTGAATGAGTAACGCGATTTTAGCGGTGAGGCTGTATAATTGTTGAAATCGTCTCAAGTTCGCAGAGTCAGATTCGCTGGTATCATCTGATTTGCGACAATAGAAAACTCAAAAGAGTAGATTTAGTAAGTGCAAATGCTGAGGCAACGAGGTGGCTCCATTCAAAATCGAGGGGAAACCTCTTGCCAAAGTAAACAAAGTTAGACGAGTGGCTTCTGTGGCTCATCGGAGTTGATCCTTGCAGATCCGTGAATAGAGCACGTGTCAAAGCCTTTCACTTTTTTTCAGCCACATTAGACACCGAACGAACGCCACAGCACAAGCAAACCGCCGCGATCTCGAGTCAGCTATTCAGTTCTTAGACGGACGACTACAAAATCGCGTTTCTAGTATAATCTGTTTTCAAAACCTCCTTTTCGAAGTATTGGAAAGCTGTGATTAGGTGGCCTTTACTGTCTCTAAGTTTTGCGCATCATGATGGGGGATGGTAACAGTAGAAAGTATGGCCTCTTACAAGATCTATTATTGATCGTTGTTTCTGTGAGTATGCCAGGAAACCCTTCACAATTTGCTTTACAACGACTAATCTGATTGACGTTCATAGACTGCCTCTTTTTATTACGTCGCAAAGAGTCTAATACCGGCTCTACCTTTTCAGAACGATGCTGAGAAGGAACAACACGAAGAAGCAAGATTAAAAGCCGCGGCGAACCTGCGAAGATTAAACAGAAGGGGTAGTGATGATGAATCAGATTTAGAGGAAACAGTCTCGGGGAGAGGAAAGTCTCGCCGTCCTCGCAAAGAGGACTTGATCCTAGATCAATATGAAAACCAGATTGCCATGGAAGTTGTAGCTCCAGAGGACATTCCTGTCGGTTTTGATGGTTAGTGCTCTGTACTAAAAAGCGATACCAAGGTGCTAATTTATGCAGACATTGGTGGTCTGGACGATATTATCGAAGAATTGAAAGAATCCGTTATATACCCTCTTACGATGCCTCATTTATACTCGCATTCATCCCCTCTTTTATCTGCACCTTCTGGTGTACTATTATATGGTCCTCCAGGATGCGGCAAAACTATGTTGGCAAAGGCTTTGGCGCATGAAAGTGGAGCTTGTTTTATCAACCTACATATCTCGACTCTGACAGAAAAGTGGTATGGTGATTCAAATAAGCTGGTCCGCGCAGTATTTTCTTTGGCCAGAAAGCTGCAACCCAGTATCGTGTTCATCGATGAAATAGATGCAGTATTGGGACAAAGACGAAGTGGTGAACATGAAGCCAGTGGTATGGTCAAAGCAGAGTGAGTAAAATTATGCGGATCTTTCATAATTATAGCTAACGATTCAGATTTATGACACTCTGGGATGGTCTCACTTCATCGAATAAGAGCGGATTACCAGCTAGAATTATGATTCTCGGTGCTACAAATCGAATTCAAGATATTGATGAGGCAATCTTACGAAGAATGCCCAAGAAATTTCCTGTTTCATTACCCTCGAACTCCCAGAGAAGACGTATCTTGAATTTGATCCTCAAAGATACAAAAACAGATCCAGATAACTTCGATATTGAATATCTTACAAGAGTTATGGCTGGTATGTCAGGAAGTGATATCAAGGAGGCATGTAGAGATGCAGCTATGGTTCCAGTTCGAGAATTTATCAGAGAACAGAGGGAAAGAGGCATATCCATGAGTGGCGTTGACCATTCGAATGTTCGCGGTGTACGGACAGAGGATTTCTTCGGTAGAAAAGGGGGCGGCCAAATTATCAAGGACAATCATGCACGACACATTGCTGCGGAAACTACATCAACAACAAGAGGCACGACGACTTCTAGTGATGGTTATGAAGATGTTGAAGAGAGCGTTGCTGAATCAATGGATTAACGAATTTATCACGTATAGCTGGTCATCTGAGTACAATTGCGTTGTAATATACTAGGTAGTTATGCACGGCGTTTGGGGGTTTGTAATGATATAGAAACAAAGAAAGGAAAACTTCCTTTCTTTCCATGATTCAATGAAAATATATTTCATGATGATCTAAATTACCGAGCTTCACCAATTCTTACCTTTACGGATTAACATCATCTACCTTTTGAGCCGCGTCAAAATGATACTAATTCTTCACTTCGCTCGTTCACCTACTATTCATCATCTTTTTCGTCACACCCCTCTCTCTACGTGAATGCTTACAGTCATCCCTTTCTTGAGGCGAATCGTGATAAGTGAGCACGTCATTTTTAGCGTCAAACAACCCCACATCTTCAGAGTCAGAGTCCGATTTACGGCGCTACGGAATCTTCCCTACAAAGTTATATCTGGGGAACCAAATTTCTGAGTCTTACAAACAAATTCAATACTTTTTCATATACTTTCACCTACTATAATCATTTGTTCAACTTATAAGAGTTTGATATATTATACCAGCCTTCAATCTCAATACCAAGTTTGATTCATCATCTTTTATCCTTTTGTATCATTGCTGCTTCAATTGGAATTTCCCCGCTTCTGCAATCTCACACGACCTTGAAACACAATACCAATATCAATATGTCTTCACCATCGGGCTCCTCACAAGCATCCGGAGCTGGCAAAGCCAATGGCGCCCTCAACAAAGCATTCCCGCACATTGACCTGGATGGTCACAACCTTCCTCCCTCTCCTGCACCATCTAGTCCTCACAATGGCAGAAGATATGCCTTGGCCACCGAATTGGTCTATACTGAGACCAAGGATCAATACGGAGCTTCAAGTATGCCGATATATCAATCTGCCACATTTAAACAGAATTTGGCTGGTGGTGGATCAGAATACGATTATACACGTTCCGGAAATCCCACAAGAACACATCTGGAACGACATCTCGCGAAGATTATGAACGCTAACCGTGCCCTCGTCGTTGGTTCTGGCATGGGAGCATTGGATGTTATTACACGAGTTTTACGACCTGGAGACGAAGTCATTACAGGAGACGATTTATATGGAGGTACCAATCGCTTGTTGACATACTTGGCCGCGAATACTGGTATAATCGTACACCACGTCGATACGACTACTCCCGATAAAGTCAAAGCAGTACTGGGTCCTAAAACAGCCATGGTTTTGCTCGAGACACCAACCAATCCTTTGATAAAGATTGTCGATATTGCAACAATTGCAAGGACAGCGCACGAGTTGAATGAGAAAGCGTTAGTTGTCGTTGACAATACTATGCTTTCTCCTATGCTATGCAATCCCTTGGATCTCGGCGCAGATATAGTCTATGAGTCAGGCACAAAATACCTCTCTGGGCATCACGATATCATGGCCGGTGTTCTAGCTTTCAATGACCCCGCTATTGGAGATAAGATGTACTTCACAATTAATTCTACTGGTTGCGGGCTCTCACCAAACGATTCATTCTTACTTATGAGAGGAATAAAGACTCTGGCAATCCGTATGGAACGACAACAAACAAATGCCCAAGCAATTGCTGAATTCCTTGAAACGCATGGTTTCCGTGTAAGATACCCTGGCTTGAAATCCCATCCTCAATATGATCTTCACTGGTCCATGGCTCGTGGAGCTGGAGCTGTGTTATCTTTCGAAACAGGTGATGTTGCTCTCTCCGAGAGGATTGTTGAGGCAGCAAAGTTATGGGGTATTAGTGTCAGTTTTGGTTGTGTCAACAGCCTGATCAGTATGCCATGCCAAATGAGTCATGCCAGTATCGATGCAAAGACCAGAAAGGAAAGACAGATGCCAGAAGACATCATTAGATTGTGTGTTGGAATTGAGGACGTGAATGATTTAATTGATGATTTGAGCCGAGCTGTAAGTACACATCGAAAAAGGCCCACGTAATAATGCTAACTCTACCCAGCTCGTCCAAGCAGGTGCTGTGAAGGTGACTCTCGATGGATTCCATGCTGTAGATACAGCTCAAGCTATTGCCGAGGTACCAATAGCTGAATCGGATGCTGCAGAAGCTCCATTGTAATGAATGATTTAATGTACATTGCCAAGGCGTTCACGGAGTTGTGGGATGATTTTTGATACTCAACTAGCAAATGTTTTGAGGTTACCAAAATGAAAAGGAGCTAGATATTTAGATACACCGCCATAAATGAGGAATAATTGATCAATCAGATCAGGGTTTCGTGTAACTTTGAGACAAGCGCCTCAAGCTTCAACAAAAAGTAATTAGTGATCCACAAAGTATCATACATCCATGGTCCTGATATCGGGACTTTACTGTGATGCAAGGTGGAGGTGGCTCGTTGTGTATCAATACGCCACAAATAGTAATTTCCCAGCTGGAATGTTTCCGACTCTTCAACAATTGATTTCTATTTAACATCTCACATCCATATGCTTTCTTACCGAGTTTGCCTTTGTTTATGAAGGAAGATCTCGTGTCAGATTCGAGGACTCAATGTTTTTCGTATCCGGCTACGAAGAGCATCCTCTTCAACGTCATATTGCTTTCATGTACGACTACCATGGCCAAATTGGGCTTTTCGGCCGTGCTTTTACAAATCATCCAAGTTAATGCAATTCCTTGGGAGGCAGCTCCTTCAACATCGATCGCAAATCAGACTACGTCTTGGCTACCGATTCAGACACCAAAGCCTTCTTTGATTACAGCGTCGTTTCTCAGCGCCAATCATACCCACGAGTCACCAAATATCTGTGGATGGGTAGATCACAACCCTGGTTTGTACTGAATACTCATCAATCTTGTACAACGATGTTAAGCAAAATTAGATAATTCATATACATGTGGGGGTTCCGCAACCTGCTTTTGGGATTCTTCACTTAAATTAGTGGGATGTGGACATACGACGTCGATGGATTATTTCACCTCTTGCATTCCCTACAAGGCACTTAGTTATTGTGATAGCTCCTGCTTTGCAAATCCGAGTATTGTTCGTTGGTATGTTTTGCTGCAATTCTCTCCGGACCTATTCTGATTTGTAAAGTGGCTCCGATATTCCCTACTGCGCAACTCCTCGTGTCGGGCCCGAAGGAAATTATTCAATCCTTGCATGTCAGGGACATAAACCATATGGAAGATCAGATATAAATTTGGTGTACAAAGGACAAACAACAGTCGGTCATCTTCCAAGATATCTTGGTGCAGACGGTATCGTTACATATGCTACGCATACACCGAAAATGCCATCATTAACCGCACCAAGCACCGGAAATCGCTCATCCTTGGGATTCGATGGTGTACCAGTACAAGTCTCAGGCACATTTCTCCAAAAACCATCATCCAATTGTCATTCCAAAGCCTATCATAATGGAATCAGTGATATGAGTGCCGTCCCCGAAGCAGCTATTGTGGCAGGAACTATTGTAGGGAGTTTGGTGGTTATATGTGCAGTAGCCGGCTTCATTTTGTTTCTTGTTTATAGATATATGAGACGGATGCCTACTGCTAATATGCAGGCGGATCTTGATATGATGCCTCTAGAAGAATTGGTGGGGAGGAAAACTAGTAATGGTCGGCTATGCGGACCAGCGCCTCGTGGATCGTTAACATCGCGAAGGTTTTAGCTGGTGGAATGATTTATCGGTCGGTATATGAGATGTCATAGTGTCTTTAGGAAACAATAACTCTACATAGATTTGAAGTGATACTATTTAAATTTACTATTGGCCTATAGATCGTTCAATGGACTGTTGAAGGCCACTGAAACTACCGAGTAATTGACATTGAGGGGCTAAGTCAATCGAGCGAAATATTTGTTGAGCAAGGTCTCCTTTCTGATGTATACAACAAGATCTGAGCGAAAGTAACTTCCTGTCCCATCGCAAGGGAATGTTCGGAAAACGATTCGAAGCCATTTTCCAGAAGAAATATAATTCTGCAGTTAAAATCCGAAGACTCTTGACTACATACCCTCTTTTACATCTGAGTTTCTTGACAGGAGTTTAGTCAACCATGATTCTTGATCAGATCAGCACACTTTTCTGCCACCATTACAGCCGGCGCCTGTAAATGATGTGAAATGATTTGTGGGAATATGCTAGTATCACAAACTCTCAAACCTTTTACACCATGGACTTTTAGTTGATCATCTACTACTCCGGGAGACTCGACATCATCCACAGGAGCCATTCTGCAACTAGAAGAATAGTGATATATCGTTCTGATCCTATGCCTGATGAATTTATCGATTTCTTCATCATTGTTATTCTTCGCATCTTTGGCCTGTTTATCTTTAGGAAAAGTAATGTTCTCTTGTAGCGGGAATCCGGAAGCCCTCATAGTCTCTGCAAGTTTCAAGGAAAGTCGTACAGAGGCTCGGGCAACGATACAGTCTTCAGGATTTGATAGAATTCCAAAATCGACTTTGGGTCTCTGGTGTGGATCTGAAGACGCAAGACGAACGATCCCACGAGATTTTGGTTTCGCGAGAGTGGCCAAGATAGAGAACATGCCCATTTTGGAAAATAAACGTTGGTGCTCCTCTAAATCGTCCATAGCGGTAACAGCAAGAGGCATGAGCTCAATATCTGGAATCAGATCCTGAATCCGACTACTTTCTGTGGCAAGCTTTTCATTGTCAATTCCAGTATAGTCTTGGTTGAGTACCGTGGATCGAACGAATAAAGTTATATTATTTATGGGCATGCTGAGAATGCCGGAACGGAAAAATATGTATTTGAAGAATTCCAGTACACTTAGTATTGGCTGAATCACTAGTCTAGTGAGCGATTCCTTGACTGGAACTTTCCATGCAATTGGGGTACCGTGGTGATCACTCTATTGAAAAGTCAGCATGAATGACCCTCTGGTCGCGCATAAAATTTGGGAGTTCGCTCCATACCAGTCCGGATCCAACACCTGGAAGATCCTTCACAACACTGATTCCATGATCTTCTAGATGTTTCCGGGGTCCGATCCCACTGTTAAATCTGACTGTTAGCACGTCTCACCATTTTATGAGTGTTCGAAACCAGAGAAATAGTGGCTTACCTCAACATTAAAACTTGGGGTGAGCCCAGAGCGCCCGAGCAAACAATCACTTCTCTTTTGACTTTAGCCGAGTATATTTTGTCAGATTTCGAATTAGCAAGTTTGAAGAAGACCATATCGGGACGCGGAACTCCTTCCTCTTTCGAGAAGGCAATTCGTGAGAAAATCGTGTTGGTGCAGATTGTCAAATGTTTCTCTCGTTCCAAGGCTGTTTCTCGAGAAAGAAAGGCGTCAAAGATTGATACTCTCTGTCTCTGCTCGTTCACTGTAGAGTATACTGTTGTAATTCCATCAACCATGGCATCAGGTGTGTTTGGATCGTCAATCTGAATGAAGCCTAGAGCTTTAGCGGCATCCGAAAAGCTGGCAAAGGTAAGCCTTGACGACCCACGCAAGCGAGAATTAGGCATCTTAGATATCAAGATATGCTCACAATCGATACGCATTGAATCCCCAAGTATGAAAAGGGAATGTTCGGGTAAACCATGGACCTATATTGCGATTAGCGCCCAAAGATCCTCCAGTAATTATGGTTTAGAACTACGCACCTGAAGTACCACGATATTTCGACTCTTGCGAGCCCATCACTGTCTCACTTTTCATGAAATAAGGCAAGAGCTTGTCATAACTCCAATCCAGATGACCAAGCTGTGCCCAGTAATTGTAGTCTGCAGCAGTGCCACGTGTGTACACCATACTGTTGATTCTAGAGCCTCCCCCAATAACTTCTCCGCAAAATGCCAAGCTTCAGCGATTGTCACAATACTTCATAGGCTCGCATTTCCAGCTCGAGGCACCACCATCAGAGCGTAAAATGTTCGATGAAACAATGGGTATGCGGGACATGAAGTTATCGTTGGCAGGCCCGCGCTCAAGAAGCAGGACAGACACATCTAGATCCTCACTCAATCGTGAAGTCAGGACACAACCAGCTGTACCGCCTTTCGGTTTGAGAGCATGTGTCAGTCAAGAGTTAGAAAAGCATCGTCAGAAAAGATGAATTGCAAGTGAACAAGTAGAAATACCTCCAATCACAATATAGTCGTAGGCCTGGCCATCGGCACATTCCGGGTGTCGCTCTGGATACTTTCTACTAAATGGCCACCACATACTGAATTATTTCGAAGATTCAGAAAGGAAGATCCAAAAAAAAACTCGGATAGTATGGACCCAGCTCAGTTCAGGTGCTTTGTATTTCGCACGACTGAAAAATATAAGTTGACAAAAAGCTGTAAAACTAGTCTACAAAAATAGAGCTTGGTTCTTGCTGTCGTGGTTGGTTATTATAGGATAAATAACGCGCGCTCAACCGTTTTATTAAATTGATCATCTAGCAGGAGAAATATAGGTGATCAGTCTTGATACTTAGTCAAGTGAAAGTAGATTGCTGCAAATATTTGCAAAGACATAGGGCGGATCAAAAATGGGGGTTTAATAAGTTTTGTTACTGTGCCGCATTTTATTTACCCTATTTTCCAATAGTGCAACAACAAATTACCAACAGACGCCGCTTTCTTACATTAGCGTATAAGCTGCAAACATGACTTGAAGGCTGCTTTGAAAGAATCACTCTCATAACTTTTCATTTTCCGCATCAATAGGGGGGAGAGCTTCTGCTTCGCCTGCCCCTTATTTATCCTAGCCAAGACTCCGAATCGTATAGTCAAGATATGTCATGTCATCATGTACTACCAATGAGCATATTGATTCCCGAGCTGGGGGAACTGCATTGTTTTTATGAGGCATATAGAAAGATATTGGTGAAAGTTTGATATTTTTCATACAAGACAGATATTTGACTCTATCAAAAAGACATCAATAAGTTAGCTTAGGAGAGTCAAGCCTTAAAATCAAGCGGAGATCTGTAGCATATCGTTTCTGATCGACCGGGTTTCAAGGGGAAGTGGTAATTTGGGTGGCTATTCACACGAATATTACCTCGATGGGAAGAGCGACAAGTTTGAAATAGAGACTCGGAGTGAGTGGGCGAGAAAAGCTTCCTTCACTGCGACACTACATCAGTCATCAAATTGCCAATAGTGCAGATGAACACGTGAAGTCTGCTGCGGATAGTTTTAGGAACTTGCTCTGAAATATTTTGTTGAGAATTACTGCCTAGGATCTGTACAAACGATATCAAGCATAACATGTGATCGCAAAATTGTGATCTTGGTATATGACATATAGCAGGATGACAAATTAGGGAAGTTTTATTCTCAATTGTCGTCGGTGATACGGCACCTTCTGTTCATTGTTACTACCACCAAAATATTTGTTGTTATTACCAGTTTTTGTATTGTTTTGAAGATAGCATGTAAGATACTTGGTGACTCGACTAGAGGATCATAGATTTTCAAGGGAGACAGGGGGCATAAAAATACCTCGACGCAATCTAATATACAACTACTATCACTTATAACGTTCTTATGGCTTTATGGAAGCAGAAGCTGGCTGGGTCTTCCTGATATCGAGATTTATTTAGGCTTTTCTTGATTGATTCCTCTGATTTGCCTCCTTTTAGGTCTGGAGCGCTTTCGCAATATAAAAGACAAGACTAAGTAAGTTCGGATCTCATCAAAGCTTGCTAACAGAGAACATCCTATTTGGGGTTTCAGGATACTCAGAATTTTTCTACGTGAGCTACAAGAGCCTTTGAAGGTATGAATGTGGACCAGACGTTTATATAAGCTGATCTTGCTACCTATCTATCTTTAATATAGTTGTCGATTTAGATCTCATCCATGTATTAATTGCTGTCATCTCTTCAAGAACACATCCTCAATCTGACAAATGGCAAAATAACACACTGACCGTAACTGTAGAAGGTCAATCCCTACCGAACCTTCCTTGTCATTTCCGAGACAACTCTTCCGCCCTTAGTTCTCTCTACCGCATTCTCTCTGACAAAGCTCCATGAGTTGAGAATTGATGCTCTTTGTAGAGATATATTGTCTATGGCGCTTCTTGTTTTGAGCCGATGCAGACATAGTATGAAGAATGCGCAAGGTGTAGCACCACTAGCGGAGACGAGTCGATGAAGAGGGTATTTGGCAATCAATATTGCGTAACTTTAAGATAGCTAGATAGAGATTCAAAAAGACTTTACAGCAGTTCAGGAGAAATTCTATTATGACGTATAAAGAAAAATGTCAAAACTAGTCAAGTGATGATTGTCAATTCGATATTTCTTTGCAGCATTTCTGGCTTTGCTCAAGTCAATCTGATTGGAGACAGCAAAACTCAAGTGACATTTGATAGTAGCCCACTACTTCTTTCAAGATCATCGCTTGCGGTTTCTGCATATTGGCTTCACATAATTCATTTGACGCAGACAGTTCGATGTTCATTGAGATTACATAAGCCAGAATCGCGTAATTCAGGAGACACATCGTTAGCTTTGTCTGCATTAGTTTAGAAATCATGCGTCACTCAAAGAGAGCACAACCCGCAAATAGACTACTGAGGCGGTCAATGCTTGCATAGAGAGAAATCAAGAAGGTGCATTGAGAAATCTTCGCAAGCTATGAGATGTTGGAGATGTTCACACAATATTTCGGCATGGGTAGGATGTAATGTGATTCTGTGATAGCGTAAATTGTGAAACTTGCCTCCCCCCCAACCCCTTCTCTACCACTAAGTCTTATTGAGAGACTATAGTCATTTCCCAATTAGTCTTTACACGAGGTATATTTCGAAATCCTTAGTTCTAATAGGATCGACGCAATTCTTTCGTGAGATACATCAGGAAGTAGCAATACTACAAACGTTGCCTTGCGACATTCATTTCATATCTGAAGCTTTCGATTTTCTTGTGCTAGTACACTTTCCATCTTTGTGAGAGTGGTACGTACAGCTACGGCTCTTCCTTGGATTGGAAATAGCCGTCCGACGGCTCATATAACATTGGATTCCGATCAGAAAGTCTAATGCAAACTCCTCGTTCTTTGCGTTCACATTCACGAGATTGGTTATATTGAGCTGCATGAGATTAGTAAATTCGAACGTTATTATATCGAGCGCAAATAGACGAAGTTTGGAACCCTTTGGCAGTCTGTTGTAAATATTTGAAGCATCAGATGGGTGGAGCGGACACTCGGCTTGGATTGCATCCATCACTTGGTCCATTAGTTCAGGAAGACAGATCTTATCGGCCAGAACATAAACTTCGACCAGACCCCAGAAGCCCGCATCTCGTGGTAGTATACTCGTGTAGACCCAATCTACCAACACGTCGAAAGCTTCATGGTCGTCTTCTCGGAGTACTGCACTATTCGTTGTGCTTTCCGAAAATCCACTATTGAACATCTTATTAAAATAAGGTACTCGTGTGCAAAGAAGTGATTTGTGAACTCGGAACAGCTTCATTTCTTCCCCAACAAGGATGTCTACCATCTGGCTTCCCGCTTTTCTAGTTGAATTAAGTCAGTAAGATTCTATTATGCCACCAAGCGTGTATATGTTTGTAGAATGTAGAGACACTGTACTCACTTCAAGAACGTCGTTCTGGTCACCGACTTTTTCTTCGAGAGATCTATTTCGTCTTTCTTCATAGTTGTTCGGTCTTTCTAGCATTAGCAAACCTTGAGTTTATTGAAAGACTAGGAAATAAAAGAGTACCCCTAAATGATTGGCAAAAAGGCCCGAGTGATTTTCGATACAGGAATTTGAATGACTTAAAAACTTATTGATGTACCATAAAAGGATCTTTATACGTCTCCAAGTTCTTCGTCGAGTCTAAGAAAAATGGTCCAGAGAACACTCGAGATATTTAGTATGTTGAATATGCGAGAATAACCGTCTATGAAACATGATTCCACAACAGGGTGCATGGTGATGCCTGAAGACAACAGAAATCGGAAGATTCAGAAATACCGTGCCTGAAACTCGGTGGTTACATTTCAGATAGCATCTTTTGAGGCAATAGTTCGAAGGAAGCACAATTAGATAGATCTGGAGTTTCTTCCCCGTAACTAGTTCTTAGAGTCTCCAGATAGTCAATAACCAATCGTCTTCTGCCTCAAATATTACACCTATGCTGCTTGGTGACCACAGGTCTTCCATACTCTCTCCTTATTATGAAAAAATATACAAAGAACAATCCAATAGATAGCGACGAAGTGGCGAGTCTTCATGTAATCTTGAATACAAGATAATTATATCTTCCCTAGCGTAATTTCCATCTGTATTTACATCCGTTTTTCAAAACATGTCCATTGCTCCATGCATGAGATCGATCAAGCAAAATTTTTCTAGCAGGATCTAGAGTGTGCCAAAGTCTCCACCTGGGAATTTCGTCTCAAGGTGTCAAATAGATCGGAGGTAAAATTCTAGTGTAAGCCCATTCGATCAATATATCGAAGGTCAAAGCATGATCTTCGGGGAGAGATGCCGATTTAGTTCAAAATTCCACGAAGTTACCACTACTGAACATCTTTCGAAGTAAGTGATTATGTTGCACAGTGTTGCTTTATGTACTCGAAATTTTTGTTTTTCTTCGCCAATGTAAAAGTCGGCCATGTCGATTTCAGTTCTCCTAGATTATATAATAGATCCCGAAAGCTCTTAAAGTATTTAGGCGATGACTAGTGTGGGGTGACTTACAGCCGAAAAGTCTTGTCTGTTATTGCCTATAGTGTTGGTTCAGAGTTCCAAATTTTCATGTCTGGTCAGCAACCGCATTCTTTACCTAATTAAATATGAAAGCCAGAGTAGTAAGGACAATACATCATTCGCTTTCTAATCATGGTTTTGAAACCATTCTCTGGAAGAAGAAACTTTTTGGAAGTGTTCTTGGTATTGGTGTATGCACTCAAAAAAATCCGTGAACTATTCTCTGGCCTCAACACCATCCTCGAAATGAGATCTGGAAGAGGAAGGTAATCGATAGTTTCACCCATCACATACCACATGGTAAAATTTCTAGATTTGGGAAGCAGACTTGTAGTTTAGAATCAATTGACGATACAAACCTAGACAATGGTGCTAGGATCTTAAGTCATTGCAGCCACTCTCGTTTCCGCCCATACAAAGATCCATAAATACCCTCCCCACTCTAGAAGGCTGGAGATTCTTCGATTCTCAGCCGCATATTCTCCGTATTCAATGAACAACTACAGCCGATTCTTTCTCCATGAATATGATAAATACCACCATCACCCGCTGATGGATTGGCTAACTTTGGGCCACCGCGGACTTGATCTCGAACGGCTGTGAGGAAATCGGCGGTAAAATCAGTCTTCTCTCTTATTATATCCACTAATCGGACTAATGGTGTTAGATCGGGCTCCTATTTCAAGGAAAGGGCATAGATTAAGCCGTTTAATGTATATAATCGAAGTCTTGAGCCCAACAGCGTTCTTCTGTAAACATAGGTAGCGCGTTCAATCGTGGTTAAAAAAAATTTCCTTCTGAAACTGTCGCATAAGATCCATTGTCTCATTCATGAGGTCTGCATGCATATTCTATTCATAAGCAGGTAGAAACTAATAGTGTTCCAGTTTGAACCTGTAGGCTCGGGCGAATCAAGATTCAAAGGTCGAAGAGGGTGATACTGAAAATACGTCCATTCAAGTAAGACATCGAAAGAACCAACCGCATCTTCAGGAAACTCTGCGGAGTTCCTTGAAGCCTCAGAGAAACCGCCGTTAAACATCTTATTGGAGTAAGGTATTTTAGTACAAAGAACATTCTTGTGCACTCGATAATGCGTGCGACTTGAACCATTGTATAGGTCGACCGTCTCGATACCGACGTTGCTATTGAATGTTAGAGTTGTCCAGATGCTGGAAGGGAAATTAAAATCAGCACAGACCTGAAAAATGGACGTAAGTTCGGGTTTCCTTTAGTGTCTGATTTTGCTTCTGACTTAGGATCCATATTGAGTTCAGAGGGCGGGCGAGTAAATATTCTTGTAATTATCGGGGATCAAAATTTCTGCGCAGTTGAGACTTCGAGTTCAATTTACAAGATATCTTGTAATGAGTTTGCCTTTGTTAAATGTAATGTTAAGGCAAGTGAAGGATTTTTTAATACCTAGGTACTACAGATCATGATTTAGATCCGCGTCAGGCAGGATAAGCAGTTAGTATTAGTGAACAGGTTCAATTTATTAGATTTTCAATATATTCTACTGCATAGTTCTGATGAATTCATAGTGACTTAGACACATTTCCATTGCTTGAAGGTTGTGAAGGTTTGCCCAGAGTCACTAATTGACTTCTTCATTTTGAACTGAATTAATCGTTGTTCGCATTCATAACTAATTTAATGCAATATCAAGGACTTCTTAGAAGATATGCCCAAGAGGACTCAATCATCCAATAAAAAACATGTGGCATAAATTTAAATCTTCTCTTTCCTCATATAACCATGATTCGAAAGTATTAGGTCTCGAACTTGAAGAGAAAGAGAAAAATGCTGAATAGACAGTGAAGTTTTATTGGGCAAGGGATGTTTGTGGACAATGAAAACAAAAACATCAACAGTCATAGTGCACAAATGTTTTGGGTTAACATGAATTAGACTAAACTAAATTTCAGGCAAGACTTGGCGTATGATAAAGCCTGAGCCTGATTGACATATGAATGTGGTTCCCAATGTGAATCTTGAGTTCTGAAAACATCAGTGGCTTTAATCCTCTGCTAGAATACAAGAAGGTCGTGTGTCAGTCTCATGGAAATGGATGACTATCATAGTACATGTGATGTGAAAGCCTGTACTCGTTCAAAGAAAGAGATATCATGACTGTGTATCGAACCGAAACTCCACATATAACACTCCTTTATCCCACTATCATCTTAAAAGAAACTCTCTCACTAAGCTTCGCATTACTACTCAAGTTCTCTTAAACTTATAACAGTCCTCGTTATTTGTATGGCCGTGGTATTCGCATCTGGTGGCAGGAATCTTTGGATCAATGACTCTCGGATCAGTGGGTGCTTCAACTCCGACATGTTTACGAAGTGCAAGCATAAAGTCGATAAAGAGATCATGGTCGCTTTCCATCGTCTGGGTAAAATGGTCATTGACATTGATTCCCGAGTTTTCTAGGGCGTGAAATCTCCAAACCAACACTTGGATAGCATATCGCCGAAGTGCCGATCCTGGTGGAGTGATCTCGTATGCCTTCGTGGCCCAGTCCATGTCAAAGGTTGCATTTTTGACTTTACTACTTTGTCGATAAAGATCCAGGGCACGATCCTCCAACTGAGTGAGACCAAGCTTTTCTGCTAACGCATAAAAGCGTAGAAAATCCCAGCTCTCCGGGCTGCCATTGATCCCAACTTCATAAAATCGAATGTATCCAGAATATACCCACTCAATAAGTATATCAAAAGACTGAGGACCGTCCTCTGGGAATTTTGCCAAATTCTCTTTCGCTTCTATAAATCCACCATTAAACATTCTGTCGAAGTATGGTATCTTGTTGCACAGGAAAGATTTATGGACTCGAAAAAGAGCTTCCTCGGGGCCTACTATGAGGTCGACCATTTCTGTTTTGCTTTACACTGTCAGTTGGAAGTCTCTTTTGTTGTTGATTGTGGAACATACTTAAGGAATGTGACAGCGGTAATATTATTAATCTTGACAGGGCGTTCAGCTTCGTTTGTGTTTTCCGTAGCAACCGGCTTTTGAATTACTGCACCAGAAAGATCAATTATCTCACTAGATAGATCGATCATTGCATTTCCAAAACTACCGCGAGTACTTTCAAAGCTACCACGAGCATGGTCATTGCCTCCACCACCCCTACGAGCAGAACCATGATCACTGCCTCCACGACCCCTACGGGCAGAGCCTTTGAAGATACCGCCTCTACCGAAAGGTGATGACATTCTTGGATATGATTGAGAAGACTATTTCAAGATGAGCTTAAATGCAATATCTACAGATTTAGTTAGCAGGAATGCCATTTCTCAGAATGTAGTAAGAAGCATTTTTGGAATACTTGCGCGTTTGAATGATGGAAACGGTTCTGCAGAAGATCTATTGTCGAATTTGAGAACTCGAATTTTGTGTTCGAGTCAACCTTTTTCAGGAAAAGAAAGGTAAGTTGTCCCAAGAAGTCAGAGCAGAAGGTGAGAGTCGTGGGTAGTTAATCACGGGTTTAGCCCCAGCTACCCGACTGTGCCCTAGCGCCAAAAGGAATACATTGGACCTGTAAGGTTCTTTATATTAGATGCAGGTTTTTTCTTAAATTTGCATACTATATTCACTAAAAGTAGTCACCAAACTTTCATTCACATAAATAGTTCAAGGAAGCAAAGACTATGTTTTAAAACTTGGATGATATGTTAATTAAGATAAAACTACGCCCGAGAAACAGGCATAATCAACTGATGTGAATAAGAAATGGACGTCAACAGATCTTTCAATCATCTGAAAACATCGCTGTAGAGGTTTTCCTCTTCAGCTTGTTCTGCTTTTTTGTACATTCCTCATCAATCTTGTGACTGTGATATACACAATTGTTCCCAACTCTTGGGTCAGTTATGGTTCTGCCATTGGATATCTTGTCTCTCAAAGCGGCAAGGAAATCATTAAAAAGATCATCATCATCTTTGAGGATGTCATGTATCAAGTGAGTTGGCCAATGAGTCGTGACGACAGATTTTGGCGACCTGAAAACAAAGATCAAAGTATGCAACCCATATAGACAATATCCTGAGTCTTTCTGAGACTCTTTGTACATCATCTAATACCATCCAAGTTATAAAACTTATAATGGACTCGCTGAGCATCACGCAAGTTATCTAAAAGCTCGTCCATTAATTCTGATAGACATAACTTCTCACAGATCAAATATAAACGGCGCCAACCGCGTTCAAAGCGTTCGTAATTTTTCTGGTGACTGAGCTGAGATAAGAGTCCACTATAGACCCAGCCTATAAGCATGTCAAAAGACTCGAATTTGTCGTCAGTGAAAGTGGCGGAGTTGTTGGCAGATTCGATCCAAGGGCCATTGAACATCTTGTCGAAGTATGGAATTTTTCTGCAGAGGATGCCTTTATGAACGCGGATGAGCTTCTTGTCAGGTCCAACGAACAGATCGACCATCTGAGTGCCCGCGATACTAATAAACATTAATTTCGCTAATGACGGTTTCTGGGTTGGATTTCTTACTCTGAGAAAGCGCCATTGCTTAGGCTTTTGAGTTTTAATTCGGAAGCCATGTTTGATCCAAAGAACGGCATCATTAGCTACGGCCTGCAAGAGTCTCTTGATCATTATTTTAACTCACATTATAGTATCCAGGCACTTGATTTTCTGAATCTCAAAAGATCTCCAGTATAATATGCGCGTTTTTGAAAAGTTGAGGGGGTCCAGCGTAGACTTGTCAAATCTTCAATGGCAGAGCAAGGTATGGTTGTGGTTTTGAGCTATTCTTCGTAGCGGTATTTGATGACGTGAAAAGGAATCGAGGCTTGCCCAGCTGAGACTATTTGGAATTATCTATAGGTAGAAAAATCTCAAAAGTTTTCTTGGTAGTTGATTAATCGTGAACAAAGGTGAATTATTTATGTTGAGAATTTGTCTTGCAACAGACAACTGCAAGGCTCACAAGGTCACTGCTGTAGTATTCACCTTGACCTTTTCCCCGAGACTACATCATGGAGAGATTCGTTCTGAGTGAAGCTATCAAACAAAACATGAGATGAAAGCTTGATTTAATTGCAAAAGATCTTGATCCTATCTATGATATGGTGCCATGGATACTCATTTTCCTTTCCCCTTGACCCCCTGAAGAACAATTATACCCCCACAAACGCGAAAGAAATTCATGTCAGCAAACTGCATCAAGACATGTGAAAAACAATCTCGATATACTCCTGGAAGAGTAATGAAACAGGCAGTCAGGATAATTATGGAACGTTCAATATAGATCCATCACTCTGGGATCCATCTCATTGCCACTCAAATCGTTCGTTCTTCCTGCCAATTCCAAATAACTCTCCAACATTTCCTTATCTTTGGCTAGGAGCTCAGTGAGGGCGGTCACATCAACACCAGATAATGGAATGGGTTCGCCATAAGAATCGGTCAAGTACTCACGCCCCACAGTTGGTCGTTTCAATGACTGGAATCGAAGCATACGGGCAGCATACTGGCGGGGTGGTGATTTGCTTGCTGTCTTCCCAAAAATATACTGGAACTCTTCAGCTGTGTAGTAAATTTCGCCAATCTTGTCTTCGCCTCGCCAGATGTTCATAACATAATCTTGTAGATTTGCCAAGCAAAGCTTGTCCGCTAAAACCCAAAGATGCAACTTTTTGCGAAAACTTTGACCCCTAAGTGGCCGGATCATATCGTGTGTAACCCACTACATTAACATATCGAAAGCTTCGGGATCATCTTCTGGGAGTACCGCCGCGTTCTCGTTCGCTTCTTTGAATTTTCCGTTGAACATCCTATCGAAGAATTCAATCTTGTTGCATAAAGTGTCTTTGTAAACCTATGTGGCTCGTTAGTGTTTCGGTTGAGGTATATCATGAGCGATATAAGATGTACAAAGCAACCTGTACTATAACTTGACTTACACGAAACAATATCTTTTCTTCCCCGACATAAATATCAATCATTTGAGTACTGTGCTTCTCAAGAAAAGACAGCGATGGTTTTGCCTCACTCTCGGCCGATGTTGAAGCTGCTGTACTGAACTGGACTCGAGCATTCAGGGTTTTTTGATAAGCTGAATATCTCTGAAGTACTGCAATTCTCTTGATATTTTTGGTGATGGGTATCTCCTTAATATCATCTTCGTCTGTGAGATCTGATGGAACCATCTCCCACAAGTCATTTTGACTCGCCTTTCTCTTCTTTGATTGATCAGACATATCCTGCTGAGTTGATCTTTCCGGAAGCAATGGGAATTTTCCCAGCTTAAACGAACTAGCTGAAAAAGCGTCGTTCAAGACAAGTTAAAAACAAAGATGAAGGACTTGATAAATGCTTAAGAAGCACACGCAAGCTTTTTGGAAGGTACAAGTTGCGCTAAAGTTCAACGTGACAGGTACCTAGGTATCAATAAGGAAGGAGAAACGTTGAAGTAAAGTGATTATGTAATTTTGACCACATCGTTCTCGCGTGAAGAGTGACGCAGCAATAATTGAATCTACGTGTCATAATACTGGGAAAAATTAAATTCCTGTAGCCATGGTAATGCTGAGATCACTCATACTTCAAGCACTGACATATTCATCGCGTAGATTCATGTGAGTTCACTCTGAATAGAAAAAACGTGAGTGAGCATACTAGAAGCGTGAATTAAGGAAGTTGTCCATTTTGAAAACTGAAGCTATCTGCATAAATACAATAAGGGTTTTTAGACCGTTGCAACTCTGTATACTTCTATGGGCAGAGATGAGATATCATTATGAAACATGTAATCATTCTCCCAATCAAAGATATCCCAAACTCACTTCATGATACACGTAAAACTCCCCAGCCATAGATAGCAATCTCAGATCACTCCATACCATAAAATTCTCTCCAAACATCCGCAAATTGTACAATTCACCCATGAATATCCTATCGGGGAGCAAGAAATACTGCAAGCTCACTTATCCTCTTGATTCTCATCACGACGCTTGATCCAAATCGGACAATCCTGATGGGAAAAATGCTGATGCAATTCGCATGTATTCCATTTTCGCGGATCAAGAGGATGTGAATAAGTTCCGCGATCTGTGACTTGGCTTCTGCAGTAATCGATGTAGTCGATACCAGCATTCTTAGAGCGGGAGAGGAGATTCCAAAGCTCGGCGCTGGAAGTCTTGAGTCGGCCGGTGTCTCGGTTGCATTCATCGGAGGTCAAGAGCCAGCTGGAGTTTGTGTTAGTTTGTGTTCAAGATTGAGGGGAGGTGGAAGGGGGAAGGCGTATGGGAACGTACTCAAAAACAGCAATATAAAGCTTTCTCAAAGGATTACCGGGATCAGTTTGCGAGTAAACGATATACAAGTCTCGAATGTCTGGTAAGATGACCGCCTCTCCATTACTACCCCAAAACTCTTTCATAACCGAATCCATAAGCTCATGGCACAATCGAGGAATATGAAAATCAGTTGCCATGATATACGTGTCGACGAAACGGTAGTTAGAAAGACCTTCGGCTCGTCCTGGCTTATGCAATTCAAGTGGCATGATTGTACCATCTATAAGCCATTGAATGATGAATCTGGAAGATGAGGCCATATATCCGCGTACATAGACTGAATTGGAACAGGGCTTGCGATACTTCTTAAAATGGGGAACGACCTCGAGTATGGCTTCAAAAACTTTTTCTGTGAAGTAAAATGTCGCGTAGTCTTCTAGCTGACCACCGAGACCACAACTAATCATGTAACTCTTCCTGGAAAATTGTTAGGTGTAGTGGAAAAGCTAGTGGAGATAAACACTTACTCTTCAGGTTCCTCAAACTTGTCGCGATTACGCTTGTTGCGGTATTTGGATGGACTTTGAGATGGCTTCAGTGCCATTCTTGATTTCTTAGCGGGCTTCTTATCCTCGTTCTTGGAGTCGGAATTGTAACTTGTTTCAAGAGGAAGAGGGATGAATGGCGTGGCTGAAGTAGTAGTTGACTTCTTGTCGAATGTCTTTGCGAACTTCTTTGTAGAATTTGCAATGGAAGAAGATGATCTCGAGAGTGCCTGTCTTTCTAATATTGAAGGTGGGAGCTCTTTGGAAAGTCGTGGGGACTTGTTGCGGATTATTGTCCTCTTCCTAATTACGAAAGCATTAAAGGAACGGGTGGCAGAAGGTATAGCTATATTTTTCAATAGTTTATCTGGGATTAGTTCAGGATCTAGCTTTGAATCAATCGATCGATACGTTCCCACCGTATCATCACTTGCTGATGTGGTGACCGTAGTATCCATTGGAGACGGGCCAACGGTTCCGATGGTAGCCATGGGTTGCTTAGCAAGTGATCTAAGGGATCTCTGAGCTGAATTTGATGATTCTTTATTATCGGATTGTTTTTGAACTCGAGTTCTTAAGGAAGATTTGCGATCCGTTTCACGGGAGGCGGTATTCTTGGGAGAAGACATGGCTAGTGATAGTTTAATATCGATTCAAGAAGCCGTGTTTCTTCTGAAGAAAAAGTGAGGATGGTGTGGCTTGTCAATGTAATCTGCCAAATCTATCAGAATCGGGCTGTGTTAATAAAACAATTTATGTAAATTGAAATTGGGCAATTTGACGAGCCTTGGTAATTTTCCTTGGAATTTAAGCGAGGATGTATGGTCTCATTTTGTAAATCATGTGAGCGACAATTCACTCTATTTTCTTCACGCTAGCAGTGATAAGATAATTTCACAAGTTTTGCCTTGAGTATTATTTCAATTCATACATATCTAGGCATATAAAAAATGACTTCACAACAAGTACAGTAGTGTGAAATTCTTTATTTCATTCTATTCACCAGCCTAGACAGCTAAAGTTATGTGCTAGTGGAGCACTCTCGTTCATCTGGTACAACTAGGTAGGTATAAGATATGACTTGAGCTCATTCACCATACTTTGTATATCTCTACTAGTTGGCTAAGTTGGCTCTCATAAACGGTCAACCGGTTCTTACTAGTGGAAAGCGAATTGTCTTGGTGAGAATTCAATGCTAATCGTATTACAGTAGGTATCTAACTTTATTGGGTTCAGTAGGAAATGACACCAAACTCTCGAAGTGAAAATTTGCTTTCCGGGGACATTCGCTTTTCCCGAATAGGAACTTGCTGGCTGCTTACAAAACCCAACTAATTATAACTTCAAAAAAGAATTCTTTGAAATATACATACTTGTGATTACCATCCCCGTGATGTTTTTTGAGAGAAATCAATCAAATTCGATCTCTTTTAAGAGAGGGTTGAGAGTTTCATCCATACGCTGTTAATGAGAATAATCGATCCTGATGGAAACTAGGTAAGATATTAGGGGAAGAGTAATACTGAGATACTATTGGAAAGGAATAAACACATCATAGAAGTCATCACTTTTATTTGAATAGTAAAATGTCATCAATTTCATTTACAAACAAATGGCTATTAGAAAATATGACCTTATGTATAAAATTTACTAATAAACCATGTACTTAAGAAAACAGGACCAACTTTCATTGTAGTAACAGAATATACCTTATCCATAACAATTCCCCAAGCATCGAAATCATCACCACTGACTCTCTACTTCCCCATCACTGGAGCCTCAAAAACCCCCTCAAACGCCTCCGAAAGCCAAGCCTTCCTATCCGCCGGCATCCTCAGCGCTCCCTTCCCAGGCCAGCCCTCTATCCACCCCGCCATTCCATCCGCCTCCCTAACACACTCTTTCCAATCCCCCTCCCTCACATTCTCACCCGCCTCCACCATAACCACCACCACACTTTCCCAATCCCTAAATCCCTCTTCCACCAACGTCTTACTCCCATTCTTCAACCACCTCCTCTCAATCCTCAACCTCACAGCTTTCTTCTCCCCCACCTTTGCCTTTTGCACGATCGTGGAGAGATGTCGTTTTAACTGCGACACATTCCACAATACCGGAATATCATGACACGCCAAATAATGCGGTGGCGTCGCCCCCGACAAATGCTGCTTCGCCGAACTAAAAATCGTAAGATTGATACTGATTTTCCTGCGAGCAGCAGACTCCGCAGCATAAGAATGCATCCAAGCTATATCCACAGGAGCCAATTCGTAGTCAGCGGGGATAGGAGTACGAACAGATGGAGACGGAGCATCGGAAGCTACGTTCCCAGCTCTCTCTTGCAAATGCGCAGGACCTCTGAAATTCAACCAGGAGAGATCGGGAAAATTGATTCTGCCGGTGATGTTTTGGAAAAGTCCACCTCCTTGAGCTCTATTCGCAAGTGTAGCTGCGGCAGCTGCTGCTTCTTTCTCCTTTTTGTCCTTCTCTTTCTTCTCACGTTCCTTTCTCTCCTTTCTGAGATCAGGATTCTGAACTTCTGACTGGAGATTTCCTACTCTTACTGATTTCTCAACCTCTTCTTTTTCCTTTTGTTTCATCGCAATTCGATCGCGTGCCAATCGATCTTCCTCTAATTTTTTCAAACGTTCATTTCTTTCGCGTTCTTCCAGATCACGTTCGTCTCTTTCTATCCGATCTTTCTCCTTTTGCTGTGCAGCTTTTTCAATTTGAAGCTTGTCCCACTGACGATTCACTTCTTCATCCAACAATCGATCATCCTCATCTCTTTTCTCTTGCTCCAGACGTTTCTTTTCCTCATTTTCTTTCTGCAAAAGTTCATTACGTTCAAGCTCCTTCTGCAAACGTTCAATTTCTTCATCTGCCAATCGATCGGCCTCCGCTTTCTCAAGACGTTCATTTTCTTCGCCTTCTTTCCGCTTCTTCTCACGCAGATCTGCCGCTAGTTTTCTCCTCTCCTCCTGAACCCTAAGACGCTCAATTTCCTCCTTATCTTTAGGATCCTTAGCCCTCCGTTCATCCGAAAGTTTTTTCCTTCGAAGTGCCTTCTGTGCCTCTTTCTCCACCCTTTCACGCTCTTTCCGCTCGAGTTCATCATTCTCATCTTGTATAATTTTGTCTCTTCTCTTTCTCGCATCTTCTGCAATTTTGTCCCTTTTCTTTTCCTCCTCTTCTTTCTCTTGAGCAACCTTCTGCAATTTTGCACGTTTTGCCTCAGCTTCTGCTTTTTGCTCCGCAGTCGGCGCCGGCCTATTTTTCAACTCATCTGCCCTCTCCTGAGCCAAACGATCACGTTCTCTAGTTTCACGTTCTCGTTCTTCGCGTGCTAGGCGCTCGGCTTTATCTCTGGCCGCATAATCTACTCCCGGTTTATTTTTTGCCGCCTCTGCCTCCTTTTTCCTCTTCGCAAGTGCTTCTTTGTCTCGTATTCTGGCAGCCTCGAGATCTTTTTGCTCTGCAAATTCCTTTTCTATGCGTGCTTTTTTGGCAGAGTCAGTCTCAGCAGGTGGTTTCTCCGCAGGTTTATCCTTGTCCTTGGCCGTGTTTTCTTCAGGCTTGTCCTTGCCCTTGCCGGCATTATCTTTCCGCGCAAGTTTCTCTTCAATCTTGCGCATAATATCTTTCATGTAATCATCTAGATCCTTCTTGTCCTGCTTCGAATCCACCTCATCTGCTGGCTTGGAAAGGCCGGCCCCTCCAGCTTTTGCCAGGGGACCGTTTTTTATCTTGGTCAGGATATCTCCAGCAAAATCTATTGGTACATCTGGTTTTTTCTTGTCTTCCTTATCTTTCAAATCTTTAACAATCTTGTCCCTAGCAATTTGATCGGCTTTTGCTTTTTCTTCTCTCACCCTGTTGATCTGATCTCTGACTGCCATCTCCCTTGCCTCTCTCTCTTTCCTCTCCTTCTCGGCTCTGTTTTCTTTGTCGATTTCGTTTCTTTTCCTCTCCTCCTCCTTTTTCTTCTCTTCAGCTTCAGCTTCGCCTCTTGCCGTTTTCTCATCGTTCAATCCTTGTTTCCTGAGTCTTTCAGCTTCTTCCCAGGCAGTCACTTCTTCAAGATCCCTCTTCTCTTTGGCCCTTTCCCTCTGCTGGCGTTCCTTCTCCTCGAGAGCCTTCAGCTCCTCTTTGGGCATCGTTGCTCGAGCAATAATTTTTTTCAATCTTTTCTCCGCGGCTTGAATGCGCTCTTGCTTTTCCACCTCTTCGGCTGGATCAATCGGAACAAGATTCATAACTCTCTTTTCTTTCTCCCACATCAACTCCGAATCAATGAGTTCACCTTCACCTGTCCTGACTACCTCTTCGTTACGTCGTACCATCGCCATATATTCCAAGAAATCTGAAACCTCACGATCCGTTTCAAAACTAAGACTTGATCGTTGTTCTTGAATCGATGAAAGAGAGTTGTCGGCTCTAAATGGTGAACCAGGACGTGGCTCAGGAAGTGATATATTCTCTTCTTCTTCGGTTGAATTTGTTTGAGAGTCTGTCTCCGCAGAATCCTTCGTAGCCAAAGATACATCAACGGTCACAGCCGTCTCAGCTGTTTTACTATCTCTAGCTACTTTAGGTGCTGTGCGGACACTGAGTAGACCTTTTCTCCCTGAATCCTTTTCGCCTTGTGTAGATGATTCAGGTAGAACGACTCCCTTAGTTTTAAGACCCGCTACGAGTCCAGAAAAATCCATCCGTTTTCTTTGCCCCGCCACCGGTGGTACGTTTGGCGCATCACGTACTCCCTCAACATCCTCGATTGTCTTATCCAATTCGGCGTCTTCAGCCTTTTTCTTTGCTACCGTTGCCGCTAGAGCGTCCACAAATTGACGCTTCTTTGCCTCTTCCTCTTCCTTATTCCGCTTATCAAGTTGACGTAATTTCAAGAGCTTTTCCTCAGCTTCAGCTTCCGATTTCAGCCAAGCATCTTGCCTATCTGCCTTCAGCTCATCCGCTTGTTCTTTCCACAGATTCGTCAATTCTTTGTTTCTCTGGAGTAATATGGGTCGACGAATATCCTGGAAAGCTTCCCAATATGTATCTCTCTCTTCCGAATCGGAAAATCCACCAATGTGATCAAAAAGATCTTCCAATTCTTCTGGCGCATCTTCTTTTGCCCATTCATCTCTCAGAAGCTGTTCAGCAAAAGACTCTCGAAGTACCATAGGTGTCGGATGTTGTGCAGGTGCTGCGAAATGATGTCCAACCGGTATATTTAGCGCCGCTCGCTCGGCAGGCGTCATATCAAAAACTTTTCTCCAAATGGAATCATGACGCATATGTTTTTGGAGTTTTACTTGTTCGACCTTTTCCTCAAGTTCGACTTCGCGATCCAATTCTTGAAGTAGTTCCTGGAATCTGTTTTTCACAAGGAGATTTGTTTCCAACTCCACATTCTTTCTTAACGCATTCCGATTTTGCCGTTTGTCTTCCAACCTGATAGTTTCCTTGATACCAAGTGTGCAATTGATGATGACGTTTCGCAATTTGAGTATCCTGCTCTTTTCGGTTTCAAGTTTGAGCTGGCGACTCGCTGCACTTCTCTGTTCAAAAAGCCATGCCAGATGTTTTTCACGTGCATCATACAGATAATTTTGAGCCCAACCTTTGAGTTCTTGAGCTGCTGTTTTGCTTTCGGAGCTTCTACCACGGTCTACCCATTCCTTGAACTTTTCATCGACAGTAGGTGAATCTGCAGGTTCGGCAGCCCATCTGCGATACTTTTCACTTTGGCCTGGAGAAGTCTACTGAGGTTAGTACGTGTAATTGCGAAGAATATACCACATGCACTTACATTTGGATCATGCGGTAGAGGATTTTTGACAGGGCGTCTTGGAGGAGATGCGCCGTATAAACTGCCCGAATCATCCGCTATAGGCTCCAGAGCAGCTGATTTTTCTTCTTCCACAGTAGGTTGTTCTCCATTATCCGACTCCTCACCACCAGGTAACACAGTCTTCTTTTGACTCTCGAAATTTTCCGTGCCCTTACTACCCATCGAACTTCTTTCAGCAATAGGGGAGAGTTTAAGGTTTCCCCTCGGTTTTCGTTGTTGTCCACCTCGCCCTCCCGATCTACCAACCTGCGAAGGGTAGACTTCCTCTGCCCTACCCAAAGGTGTCGTTGCTTGTGTAGTATTGAGGGGTTTCATCGCCGGTACAGGAACCGTGGGGCCCCGAGCTCTTTTTGCCCGACGCTCCGCCCTTGATTCTTGAACCCCAGTCTGAACCCGAGTCGATACCACAACTTGTATTCTAGCCATATCATAAGAGCCATCTGGATTTTTGAACTGTGAAATATCCACTGCTTGTCTTTTCGGTTTTACAGGAGGAGGGATCTTGAAATCCAAATCCTTATCAGCCTCCGCAGGTTTGGGACTCGGCTGTCCTGTACCCTGGGCCGGTCTCCCAATGCCAGATAGATCAATCTCGCCATCTCCCGTTCCCGGTAACCCAGGACCACCTCCTCCACCAAGACCACCAGCAAAAACTTGCGGGTGAATTGGAGGCGGTTCATCAGGATCTTGAATCGTACCTGAAAGATCAGCTGGGTCGCAACTGCTGAAACTGCGTCCAACCTCTGTTTCACCACTTAGGCTTTGCGTCTTTCCTTCTGGTAATGTCAACGAACCGGGCCTCGAGTACGATAAATCTCGTCTGCGGCGTCCAGTCATATTGGCCATATTGTATCCAAAAGTCATTGTACTTGAAAACGTTACGTGCGATACAAATTTTTCGGTAAAGCGATCGATTGCAGAAACAATCATTTGCCGTGTAGATATAGATCTAATAGCTGGCTTTATGCATCGCGACCCCTTTGTTGGGTTCTAACTTGATCCGGCCATCAAAATCGTAGTCGTGATTGATTGTTTTGTTTCCCAAATCTCAAATCTTACATACAAAGAAATGTGTTATGAACCGGAATTGGTCACACACACCTTTGACCACTCTCGAAAATTAGCCATAGCAGCCATAAGCCAACAATGTAGGTACGATCAATGCGATTGTAAAACCGCGTCCGAAAAAACCATGACAAATCACTAGCCACGTCCATAGAAGATATATACGAGCAAGTAAGATCAGGATGGGCACTCTGACCGCAAAAGACAGGCAATCTAGACCATGGACAATAATCCACCGCTCAAGTTGTCGCAGGCTCCACTTTCTCGACTTTACAAATAAGACGAATTCGATTTACAGCCTTTCTCGCCTCCTGCCATTGCTCGAAAGCATGCATTGTCGCTTCTTGACCCAAAAACTTACGTTCACCCCACCATCGTCGATCAAGATCATCGAGTCGAGCAAGGAAATGTGCTCCGATACCTTGCAAAACGTTTGCCGCCTAGAAATCATTCCCCACGGTATTAAAACGCATGCCATGAAGCCATGTTTTATTTCCACGTGAAAGTAATGGTGTCGAACCGAATTCAACGATTTCTCGTCTGGAATTAGAGTTTTCAGTCCCTTTGTTATGAAAGATAACAAAACCATCAATCTTATGACTCCAGGGAAGTGTACACAGCAATTCCTTTGTTTTTTGCGCGAGCGAATTGTAGTTTTTCGCTGCCCCTAAAGTTTCAATGTCTCCTATATTCCAGCCCAAATATTTCAGTCCATTTTTCAGACATGTTTTGCGTACTTGCATCTCACTAAGAAGTGTTCCTGCATCATAAAAGGCTCCCCCACGAATCATAAAATCAATCATTGAGCTGAAACATAATCGATCTCTCTTCCAATTGATATAAAGTTGAGATCCCTTCCGTGGTCCGCCAAATACTTCACGTGAAAAGTCTACATAGCTATAATATTTGAGGGCTTCTTCCCTAAACTCTCTGTTGACATGTAGGATGGATGGAGGCTTGGTGTGCGTGACCATTGAAGCTCCACTGTAAACATTGGATGACGAACCTCTTCCCACGTTATTATCACCCTCCCGGAATGAACGATATGATACATCGATATTTCTTTGCTGGCAACAAGCGAACTTCAAGATGAGGAGACGAACTTCCATAGGAAGATCCCTAAAAAATGTGAACGTGCTTAAGGTCGCCATCGTTGTTCTTAAAATTATAGTGTGAACACAACGAACGGTATCTGAACTAGAACGGTGCCGAATTCTCGAGAATGATAATGAATTAGAGAGTCGGATGATAAGACCTGATTCCAGGATGAGAATCTTAATAATTTGGAAAGGTAATAAGAGAGCTTTTGAGGAAGGGATGGATAGAAGTAATGGAGAATTTTCAAGAAAGTTGTAATAGGACCAACAGAAGAATCATAAACAAATTTGTTGAAGAGAAAATCAGAGTTGCTATGAGAAAAAGTGTCTGAAAAGTATCATTCTTATTGACTTAACCAGTGATACTAATCAGTAGCCGAGAAACTATAAATCCCCAGAGAATGATCATCCTTCCCCTCAATCAGCATGAAGCAAAGGGAAAAACACCGTTTACGTAAGCTGAGCCTAATATCTGATTGGTCAATCATCTTGTACGAAATGAACCGTTACCTCTAGACTACCTCTAGACTGGTGTCTAGCTGCCAACAATCCAGGCTTTGACGTCGCTACTTGTTACTCATTTTCGAAAGGACACCTCTCATTTCCAAAATAGGGCAGGTTCCATGAATAGTTCAATACCATCCTGTTCTGATATCGTATGGCCAGGCATGAACTTTCCACCGATTATCCGACCAGATCAATGAAAGACATAATAAGAGAGCTTCTCCCACTTGGGTGCTGAAGCTGTTGTGTGGTCAGTCAATAGTGGTTAGAATAGGAGGGAGGGAGGGTGTAATAACCCTAAACGGCTTTGATAACATAAGATTCCTCAGGATCACAGCATGTATCAGTCAGTAGTAGGATAGGGTATGCGCTCAATTCATTTCAACTACAGTAAACGAAACGAAACCAAGACAGGGTAGTGGAGGTAGATGTATCATATGTGAGTCGGCGAACGAAAAGAGTTGCAAGCATTGACCACCCATCTATCATTCAGTCATTCCACGTCCTGCCAACAATCGATCATTCTGTCAGCCATTCATACTATACATTTCGTTCTTCCAATCCTTCGAACCATCTGCCAACTCCAATCCCAGCAACCTAATAATAGTAGTTCTCATCGTTCGTCCTTCCTCTCATGTATTGAGGCTCGCTACCCCTTACGTAGATATCCTCGTACAAAATCTGTGGGGTTGCATCTGGGAATGGCATCTCTTCGGCTTCCTTGACCTCCGCATCGACCTTGGCTCTTGCCTCCTTGTCAATGGACTTCAACTCATCCTCGGTTGTAACGTTCCATTCAATCAACTTTTGTTTCAGACCAGCGATTGGATCTTGGGTGCTACGCATACGTTGAATTTCCTCACGAGTACGGTATGTGGTTCCTGGATCGGACATGGAGTGTCCTCCATAACGGTATGTGACATATTCAAGGACTAATGGACCGTTACCAGCGTTGGCGTATTCCTTAGCATGCTTGACAGCAGCCTTAACAGCGAGAGCATCCATTCCGTTGACCTTAAGACCTGGAATGTATTGACCACGCTTGTAGTAATCGGTAAGAGCAGAGGATCTGTTGGCTGCGGTACCCATACCATATTTGTTGTCTGAAACAATTAGTATACCCTCAGCCTCATATTCAGGTCAAATACTTACTCTCACAACCGAAGAGAACTGGCAACTTCCATAATTTAGCCATGTTGAAAGCCTCGAAGACTTGACCTTGGTTACTGGCACCATCACCGTACAAAGCAACAGAGACATTCTTGTTGCCGTTGTATTGATGAGCAAAAGCCAAACCAGCACCAACTGGAACTTGGGCACCGACGATACCATTTCCACCATAGAAACCCTTGGTGAACATGTGCATGGAACCACCCTTTCCGTAGGCGATACCCTCACGACGACCCAACAATTCACCGATGATAGATTTCACAGAAGCACCGCGCATGAGAGCGAAACCGTGACATCTGTAGGCAGTAATAATGTCGTCTTCCTTGGTAAGAGAGTGTTCGATACCGACGGCGACGGCTTCTTGACCAGTTGACAAATGACAGAAACCACGAATTTTCTTCTCCTTGTAGAGTCTATCGGCTGCCATTTCCATACGACTAAATTTTCCCATCAGCGGAATCTTCGGTCGTGATACCAAATCATATTCTTACCGCATAGAAACCATATCGATATACATCTGCTTCAACTCCTTCTTGGTGGTCTCCATGGTGTAGGATGGAGGATCGAGCTCGTAGGTCTCGAAAGACTCGTCCGATAATTGTAATGTGAATGGCTTATCATCTTCCTATAGTCCCAGAGAATCATTAATATACACATTCCATGTATGCAATCATCAATTGGGATAGCTCAACAGGAAATCTTACCTGAGGAACAGCATCTTTATCGGCGTGCGCGGAGGCGGCGTCTGTGGTAACCGTTCTCTTTACGAGAGTAGCTCTGGAAATGGCATTTCTGCGCAGAGGTGCGGCAGATCGTGCCTTCAATGCTCTCGAGAACATGGTTGTGGTGGTAGAGAATGTGTTGTAGGGAGTGAGGGAGGCGGAAGATAACTCGTGGAAATTTCTCAGCAGCTGCCAAACAAAAGATGTTGATGGTTGGGATGCTTCGATTAGAGTAGTCCCATTTTGGTTTAGTTCGGACAGATTGTTCCTCAAGCTTCCGACCCAAAATCACGTGTAACGGATCTTTTCGAACCCGACAATTCAAAATTCGGCCTTACTTGCGGACCCTCTTGGCTAACTCGGGTTTCCATGTTCAGTCTTCATTTCATCGATCAGTCAAGAAGAAAAGCCAAAGCATAGATTTGATTCTTTCGCATTTTTACTATGCTACCCTACCAACTCAAAGGACAAGCTTAAGCAAGTAACTCCCTGACCTTGGGGAATCCCTAATGCAAATTCTCTCGATGCTACGCCGTTAAATTCTTCCCTTTGAACTGCCCCCCTTTCCTTTGCCCTATTGGTATTTGAGCTATTAAAAATCATCTGTACTATTCTTCCAACCAGCCAAAAGAAAAACGCCCTGCCCCAGATGCTTCTTTGCTTCTTTATAAACAAGTCTTCTGTGCTTCGATCAATCAAAGGTCAATCAATATGGACATAAAATTGATAGGTGATGTATGAGGATTGCGAAAGGATGATAGTGAAACATGTGAGACCGTATTCTCTCACAGTATCGTAATCATCTCTCAATGGAGAAGTGGTGGTAGTGACTATAAAATCCATGACCCAGTACGTGAACGAAACAATCAGAATTAGTGAGTGCTTTTTTATATAGATTAGTTAAATGGCCTGGATCAGTCATCTTCGTGAAAGAAAGTAGGCCCGGTAGCTTGTGGAGGAGCTGTCGATGGTCCAGCATCGACCATTTCAATATCATCCCTCTGATAAGATGCTTCATGTGTCATGATCCCTTGCATAGCTTGGTCTTGACTACCACTCCGGTATTCAATGGCACTTAGTGGTCTAGCGGGCCCGGTGATGGGAGGAGTTTGTTGGCCGTAGGGGTTCTCATACAGAACATCTTCTGGTGGAGAAAATGACCACACCTTAAATCATGTTAATATAATTCGGGGAAAGAGGAGGACTATGGTACTTACTTCCATTATAGTGCGATTCGATCTGCTTGCCATAACCACACACTTTTCTTCTTCAAAGGCCACTCTCCAGACAGCCTCGGCAGGAGCTGTGAGCTCACGAACAAGTTGACCAGTCTTGAGATCCCACACTTTGACTCGACCATCACTACCTCCACTAACCACTCGTGTATCATCAAATTGCAAACTTGTGACACTATTGTCATGAGCAGCTAGTCGATGAATTGGAGCCATTTTTTCAAGAGACCAAACACGAACAGACCCATCAGAGCCACCGGTAACCAAAGTGTTTCCTCGCATTTGCAATTGCCCAACTAGCGAGGTGTGTCCTTGAAGAATAGCTTGACATGTTCTAATTATTTGTTAGTTTGAGTTATCACATCTCAATCAAAAATACATACCCATTTTCTGGATCCCATATCCGAACACTGGTGTCAAGACTTCCAGTAGCTATTCTCTTTCCATCAAAAGCAATAGCATAAATTTGAGAGAAATGTCCCGAGAGTGTTCGTAAACATCTTCCCTCGGATATACTCCACACTCTAGCTGTAGTATCATAACTTCCAGAAACAACAATATCTCCTTTAATTTCTAGGCATCTAACACTTGCCTGGTGACCCACAAGGACGTTTTTGCAAACTCCAGTCTTAATATCCCAGATTCTTAGAGTGGTATCTCGAGAGCCTGAAATTGCCGTGTTTGCATCAGACATCTTCAGGCACCGGACTGTGGAAGTATGTCCGCGCAGAGTATGTAAACTCTCACTGTTAATCGTTAGTAATATGTCTCAAACATGTGATTAGCAACACATACCCAGCAGCCATGTCCCATACTCGCACATCACGATCGCAACCTCCACTAACGAGTGTATCCTCCCATGGTACCATTGCCCAAACACCCATTACGTGCCCTGTCAAGGTCTTTTGTGCATTTCCATCCGTATTGAAAACATGAATCTTAGCGTTGTCCAACGCTACGACAATGTACTTTGGTGTTAGATGTAGACTTGTAACAACGCCCTGATCTTGTGTAATATGTCTTGCGATATTTTGTCCTCCAGTCCTCCAGGCGGTTTCGACCAAATATCTTTGTTTAAAGTGTGATTTATATGACCTTATCTTTGGTCTTCTCAATGCGCCAGAGGCAGTAGCACTATCAAAGCTTCTGGAACTTCCAGGGACTTGTGAAAATCCTGCGCTGATTCCGGGAAAAGAATGTGCAAGAGCCGGAGTCTCTCCTGCTTGTAATGCCTTGTGAACAGGGTGTGGAGGAGGTCGAAGTGACGGTATTAGAGGTGTAACGGGATGATGTTCTGACATTCTTCGACCATAATCGTGCTTCGCACATAATTTCATCCAAGTAACATCGTCTGCAAGAAGATCTCTCCAACGTTTCGAAACCTGGGACGAGCGCGCAAGGACTTTGGGGTCGTCGATACAAGACAGAATCTAAATAAATCAATTAGCTTGGGCTTCACCTCTTGAAAATGGAAACATACACGAAGGCATAGTTCATCTGGCAAAGTGGTAAATGGATCTTTCTTCAGTAACGGGCTAACATATTGATGTACAAAGCTTAGTTGTTGGCTGGTGCACAAGTTCAAAAGATCTCCTAATATCCTCGTTCTTTCGGGTGCTGAACTTTGCGCGAAGTATATTCTGATTTGGGATAAAAATATGTCCTCCTTTTCTCCCGCCTCACTCCAATCTGGTTGCGGGTGATCAGGACCTGGACTTGCTGCCGGTGTAGGGGGAGGAGGAGGGTCATGACTCGAGTGTGTAGGAGACTGTATATCGGCGGACGAAGTCATCATATTTGGAGTCGGAGGACCTCTTGGTCTACTTAGGATCTTTTCTAACCTTTGCGGCATTGGAATGTGGTCGCCATTTGTGTCAACCGTTAACGCTCGTGTGGGAGACATTTCGCCGTCTCTTTCAATGGGTGCAATGGAAGCCCTTCTGTCTGTTAAGCTCAAAGGTCTGAAATTATCCATACCCGCTTCCTTCTTATCCTCTTATTTCAACTAGTCGTTCCGTCTAGGTTGAACGCTTGAGAAAGGGTTATGGTCGAAGATGCGGAGGTCGTGAAGGTCTTTCCCGACTAGATTGAGTCTTGGGACCAAGGGAAGAATTTGGATTGACAATCAACGGATGAAATCTCAACCATGGAAATAAAAAACGATTGCGCCAATTGATAGAAAGGTGAGTATATTAAATTTAAACCAAGGAATCGTCTTTTAACGTGTGTTAAAGGCGGTGTTGAGAGACGGTCGTGCAACGTAGTGTCCAAGGGAACACATTCGAATGCGTTGTCGTTAGGGTTGAAACTCGATGATTAATGGCACAATTTGAATCAAGTATGTTTTAATATCTATACCGATCACGAATATAAATGGCAAGAATCAATCTTAATGATATGGTCTATACTTGTTGAAATGTTTGACGAGAAGATGGTATTGCCAAAGCGAGTAATATAAATGCTTTCGTACTTTTAATGTACTTTGTACTGGCTGGGCTGAGGTTGATCTTGAGATGAGAGAGAGTCTTCTGCGTGGTAAGCCAGTGGAAGTGGAACGTCGTGGGTCGTGGGTCGTGGGTCGTGGGTGGATTTTGCTAATTGGAGTTAATGAACTTTTGGGTGGTCTCAGTCATTATTGCGGTCATGCCTAGGAGGCAGGGATAATTCGTTAATGAAGTAAGGATGTTGAAGAACTTTAAAGTGGAAAAAATGGATGATCAATTCGATGTTATCACGAATGTCTTCTGTATGATAATGATACAGCCATTCAGGGTTTGGTCGTTGACTTGGATGGAGATGTTTTGGGGGATCATGTTCCTGATGTTCTCGACTTGAAGATGGCCATGGATATCCAAATCAAGGTATGGCAAGTCACTGCAAGCAGACAATAACATATGGTAGAATTACCTAGTACCTCGCACTGGGTGAATGAACCTCCACGTTTCTTGTTACTCCTTTATAAACCGAGGGGTAGATCTATCTGTACGGCCTGCACTACTTAGGTAGTCTCTATTGAAGTATCAACATCACTCGCTTCTAAGTTGATCAATGATTTCAGGTCTTCGTCGTCATGACTTATCGATAGTGTAGAATTTTGAAAGACTGTCAACTAGAACTGAGATCTTTCAACCTCTATTTTAACATCAGAATAGTAGTTCAATGAGAGCTTCAGTGAAAGAACTTTAAGATATCAGGGGGGCTTAAGTTCTGGTACCGATTCTTTGATGGACTGATTGGGTTGGTGGTGGTGGCGGTGGAAATGTCATATAGCTCTAGCTAGGTAGGTAAGATACAAAGATCCCATTAAAAATCATTATTCTAAAATCTAATTTTCCCAAATGCCTAATACTAATTAAGCGTCTAGGTAATGTCGCCATCATTACTCAAGTATCTTATATGTAGGTAGTCTTGGGCAAGTTATAAGGGGCGAATTACAATTTCTACGCAGTGAGCATTGATCTTTCTCACCCAACCTACCTATCTAGCTTTATCAACAGTAGCACCCAGAGAAAATCTAGAAGACTCAAATAAGCAACATATCAGTGCATACATACCACATGACCCATTTTGTCTTTCACCACATACATTAATCATCACGAATCATACTCTTTCAGCCAAACCGACCACATGATATCACGAATCGTTGCAATCGAGAATCCACTCCATCGTCTTCATAAAAGGGGGGGCGAAAAACTCACTCACAACTCGTGCCGTGCCACTAAATAATCTAATCTAACACCACCTAATCGCCTCCCTTTTGTTATCGCGATAAGGCCTCCTAATAAACATTTCCCAAATACATCATCGCTCTGCTCGCCAAAATGGGGAGCACGATCACGAACTTTTCAATAGTCAAAGGTTAAACTCAAGGCTTAAGCTAAAATACTGGAAACAGAAGGCCGTGCATCGATTTCTCTCGTTTCAAATCCTCCAACCTTTTTACCCCTTACATTTTGTACTTTTCTTAGCTTTTCTAAGGTTTCAATATCGAAAAGCGCAGGACTTTTCATCCCGAACAATGAAGCGAAACCAATCCGCATTAATCTGGTAAAATACATCTGAATTGTCTGTTCTCTAAAAATAGTATGGAGTCAAAGGGTCCAGTGTTTCGAGATCCAAGGTTCTGTCTCGAAGTGGAGCTTTGATGTAAGCGAATTATGCGTTCATCCCCCTCTTCAATTTCTATTTGCGAACCTAATAAGGGGAAAGTGATGGAAATAAATATCCTAAAAGTTCCAATGGGTAGGAACATAACATAATTGGTATCGTGTTCCTTCCTCTTGTGCCCAATCTATATCTTACAAGAACATCCATCTATGCACTTTATCTTTTGTATTCTCGTACTGGACCAGCATGAGTTTCCTTTCCATTCCATACCCTTTCTCCTTTTTGATATATACATAGCCCTCCTTCATCTAACCGCCCTTTCAATGATCGTGGCCAAACTGTGTTAGTAGGGGGATCAACATTCCCCCAACCGCTGCGAGCGTATCTCTCATTTGCGGTTTCGCTTGTTTACGTTGCGAAATACCGTCAAGATACCCGTTGGAGTTTGTGTGTTCATGGGAATGTACCCCTGAATCTTCTTGCATAGCATGCATTGCGACGTATCTATTGACTAGTTATTAGCCCCGTCTGCCTTTGGGTTGTTTGAAAAGAATTAGGGGTTGCTTACAGAAATGTTCCACCAGAAAACAATAGTAGCATTCCCGTCCACCATTGTCCTTTGGCTCCCTCAATATTTCCACCACCAAGAATATTTACTAACAGAAATGTCGTGATGGCGCCGAATGGAGCTGCGAGACTAAACACTATGAGATGACCACGTGCTGCTCGCTTCGAAAGTCCTTGCTTCAGTAAGACAGATGTAAGTCCAAAGGCGGCAGGCGCTTTATGAACCATGATTGCAATGAAAATGATAAATCCTAGTTTCGTGTTGGATGTAGAAGCGGATGCACCCATAGCTATTCCATCTGCCGATGCATGTATCACAAGCCCTGTCGTTGTAGCCAGACTACGACTTTGCTTCGGGCTCGGCGTGAGTGATTGAAAAAAGCCGTCTGATTCTTCATCAGACGAAGAGATGTTTGATATTCCTTGAGATAGGTTATTAAGAGAAATTTGCCTTGGAGCTCCCGGGGCTTGTAATTTCTCGGAAGCATGTCTTGGAACTTTGTCAATTAAGAACATAAGAATGAATCCCAAAATCAGAGATAAACCAATCCAGAATGTAGGTGATTCGTCGTCGTTGTGATGCACATCGCTTTCACCCGTTGGTTTCTCCTCCAACTTTTCTGGTGCACCATTTTCCTTTTCCTCTGCCAAAGTTTCCCTGGTGATAATCTCAACTTCTACAGGTTGCGAAGTCCTTGAATTTAGCTGAGCATGTCTTCGGTTGACAATTGCTTTGTTCGAGTATGCGATTGTGTTGACTCCACCAACCCATGATAGCTCAGAGCTTCTCTCTTGAGCCTTCATGCTCCGTGCTCCATGAGTATGTGCCGAAGATCCTGCAGTATATACTGCCTCAATTCCTTCGGGTATAATAACAACCAACGAAATCCCGACAAGTACTCCCATACCAATTGTGGATATCAATCGAAGTTGGGACGGCGATAAGGTCATAGATAGTGGAATTGCTCCAGCAAGAAAGCAACTAAATACTTCATCAGCATATGAACTACAAGCTCTGCGAAGGGAATTACCTCAAACACATTATCACGCTCAAAATGAGCAGCATAAATAAACCGTCGAACATCGTAAATACCCTCTACTTGCACCTTTAAAATCTACGTCGCAATCCTATGAATACCAGATCAAAAGGAATATCACCGCTTCATTTCGAAATCAGAACCACAATAAGTAGAAAGGAGACAAGACAATTTATTAAATCCTCAGAAAGGCAGGTGAAAGATATTTTTGCCTATGATTGCGCACTCCCACTCCCTTTATATAAAGAAATTAATTCGTCACTCCAGGATGACAGATTTGGGGTCTTACTCAGTGCACGAACGAGGCTGAACTACCAGATTGAATCAAGCTAATAATAATAAAGAGTGCCACAATGTTAAGTAATTTATTAGAAATCCCTGTAACTTCTGGGGAGACAACGCGTCTCAGCCGAAAATCACTCTACTCCCTACGCGATTTATTAAGCTCTGGTGAGTGAAGCTTTGAACCTGAACAAGAATATTTACAATTGGTCTCAATTGACAACGACAATTGATCAACAGACGTACCTACCTTTCGCATTAACAGTATCAGCAAAATCGGTGTCGCAAAGATGACTGAAATCTATTCTGATTGTAGGTTTTAACAATTTCTGTCACCCAAAGTCCTTTTTATTGTTCCCGTCGATCGGTCGTATTCCTCTCAAGATATGTTGGCTATTGCTTCCTCCCCAATGCTCCATGTTGAACTGTATGCGCCGATGAGCAATAGCTCACGAAAATCAATTTCATACTTCACAAAAGCTAACATAATGTAATCCAGGGTCGTCCGACTCAAATGAGGCCATATATATCTCTCTCGTCACTCCAAGCACCGAAGGCATAACCTCACTTCATACTTTTAATCCAAAATTCACATATCCCATTTTCGGAGATGAGGAATCAATATTTGGATATCAGGGATTGAGAATTAACTTGAAATATAATGCCTGTGATATGCGACCTGGCCTTCAAATTACCTACAACAAGAAATTTAAAGCAGTCGGTGATATAGAACCAACAGACCTGAAGGCAGTGCTCGAACCATTCTTGCCAAAGAGTATGTTCACTTCACGAAAAACTTACAGGAACTGTCACTAACATCAACATAGCTGCTTTTGAAAAATCAAGTGTTTTCGAATCACATGTTTCAGCTACTCCAGCAGATTGGCATCCACCAGGAGAACTCTTTCGCACAATTGAGATCGGTGGAGAAATATTTGAGATATGGAAAGGCAATCTCTCGGATCCAGTCATTCAACAAACCATCAAGCGGGTGCAAACTCTAGTCCCATTATTTATCGAAGGAGGAACATTACTTGATCTTGATGAATCGGAAGATGATCTTGGACGTTGGACAGTATTCTTCTTGTACCACAAGAAGCCAGCCGCAGCCTCATTTTTTGAGAAATCTTCATCCTACATATTCATGGGCTTTTGTACTGTTTATCGCTATTTCGTGTATACGCCCGCTACTCCTCCACAATCCCCTAATGGCGACAAAGCATCTCCCGAGTTCACAATCCCTGTTGGTGGTGTATCGTTTAATACTCTTCCATGTCGTTCAAGGATATCGCAATTTCTCATTCTACCACCTTTCCAGAGCGGGGGCAAAGGATCACTATTCTACAACGCCGTATTCGACTACTTGTCTAGTGACCCATATACAAGAGAAATCACAGTGGAAGACCCGAATGAAGCATTTGATGATTTAAGAGACATCAACGATCTAGGTCGTTTACTCAAAGACGAACGTTTCCTCAAATTAAAGCTAGACTCAAAGGTGAAAATCAATCCTAAAGGTCCAGCACCAGCCAAACTCTTTGATACCGATGCATACGAGAAGCTTCGAGTTCAATTGAAAATCGCCCCTCGACAATTCGCTCGCCTTCATGAAATGTACCTACTATCTACAATCCCTCCGTCCGCCAAAGCAGCCCTTCTCCGCGATACGGGAAAACCACAGAAGTCTCTTCCGCCTCCTAGAAAAGAAGATGAACACATATATTATCTCTGGCAACTCCTTGTGAAGCAACGTCTCTATCGTCACAACAAAGATGCGTTGGCGCAATTTGATCGTGGAGAAAGAATCGATAAATTGAACGAAGCTTTAATGGGTGTAGAGGCTGATTATGGAAGATTGATTGAGATGGTCGAGGAGAGAATTGAGATGGATAAATCGACTGCTGTTGGAAAGAGGAAGGTAAAGAGTGTGGCTAATGGAAATGGAAAGAGAGCTGTTAGTGAAGAGGACGATGAAGATGATGAAGAAGATGAAAATGAGGAGCCTTTGGCTAAGAGGTTGAAGTTTGCTCCTTGAATAGCATGAGTGGTAATTTGGTTGGTATAGGACGGAAGAGGCACGTGTATTAAAAGTGGTACCGCAAATTGGTACTCACTGTTTCATGGAGTTCGGGCGTGATCGACTTTAGGGATGATATCAGGAAATGCTTGAAATCTTTGGTTTTCGGATGGGAAAGAATAAATCTGGAGAGAAAGAATGAACAACTTCAGACATCGATACGCAGCGAAATTCAATGATAAGATATCAATTCATACTTACGCCAATTATTCCAGTACTCCCATTTCCCTGAATTTCTCTATTTCATTTTGACCAACCATGTTTTCATTCCACCTGCCCATTGCCCATCGCTCAGCACCAAACCCAACCGTTCAACCGCTTTAACACCTATAACCTCATCCCCTTAACCCTCACGACTCCCCTTCCGAGCTGCCCGCCACAACTTTCGCTTCTCTCAAAGCTCTCGCCACCGTTCCCCTGACTCTTCACTCCTCAAACACCAACAATTCTCCTATCGTACATCCACCTGTCGTACTCACTTTATCCCTCAAAAGCGCAGGATGCTCACCTAGTAGAATCAAACCAGCTGCACCACGCATAGTCTGCGCAGCCATTTTTTGCGCTTCTGCTCGCGGGAGTCTCTTTGCTACTGCACCGTCTGTGGTGGCCGCGAGCATCAATGTGAAAAATACCAGGCTGGAACCGCAAAGTGCAGTGCAGGCATCCATGGTTGAAGGAGGAAGAAAAATAACTTTGTCAATTCGTATGGAAATCTAGGTTGAGAGTCCAGTTGTGATTTCAGGGAGAGGAGGAGTAGAAGTACTTGTTACCGTCATTGATTCTCGGATCTGGGAAGCGGTATTGGGCATGCGCGGATGATGGTACAGGGTTAGAGGCGGATGCGAGGTCGATGAGACCTTTCATTTATTTGGCGAAGAGTTCCGTCTGGAGTTGCCCGACGGTTATACTGAAGTAGGTACTGATTAGAGGTTAACTGGCTAGGGCTTTGCGCCATGCCGGGCTTGGATCTAATCTCGTATACCAGCTAGGATTTACAGGCTAGAAGAATTATGGAGGCACGTTGGACGGCGAGGACATTTCCGTTTTGAAGCAGGGTGATTCTGCTTGTGGGAAGATAGGGGAACTATGTTTGTCGTACTTGCTTTGCGGATTCGGGGCGGCGGACACAGGCGATGAATTTTGAGGGGAGACGGGTGGGTGGTTCCATTGGGTAGGCGGAAGTTGACGTTCATGATGTGGTTGGAGGGATGGCAATTGGGATTTGAGGCTTATTGGGGGAACTGAATATTCCAGAGAGGATTGCTATAACAATCGTTCCCATATTCAAGCATCAGTGTTGGATTTGGTTTTGATCCATGTTCTGGTACGGCTCCCAAGAAAAGTTAGCAAAACAGTAGATATTTATCGACAAATCATTGGTATACTGAACAGATGTGCATAAAAATGGAGTTTGTTTCTTAAAATGCTATTGTCCAAGTGAATAATTTAGTAGTTGCAGAAATATAGCAAACTGTAACATGGATATAATTTCTCTGCGCATGTGGGAGAAGTACATGTCCATATCTCGTCTCAGAGCCTACAAGAACGGGTACGGATGGCTGATGGCTCCTACTGTACTCGAGAGGCACTTCACTATTTCCAAAAAAAAATGAGTTTACATTGGCAATGTAATTCTCTCGAGTTCATCTCCTCGAGTCAATAAAAGAGGTCCAGAAGAAACAAACACACAAACATACCACAACCAAGAACTGTCAAGGTCATTTCTAATTCCATATTTCCAATTAAAGAACTTGTATTGATCATCTACTTCTTCGATCGGAATCATTATCAAGGTAGTTACCTAGTTTCAATACATCCTGAAAGTATCTTCTTCATAGATATCCCTTGCCTGGAATATATTGAGGTTCTAACCTTGAAGTCAGAAGTCAAGCAAAGCTCCCTTCCCCACCACACCAAAATACTGCCAACGCTCCACCGCCCAAATTTCACCCGACAAAGCATAGTGCTTCAAAACTACATCATGGATACGACCAGACCAGCTCCACTGCGCAACAGTAAACTGCTAAATTCCATTGAAGACCCGACTTTTCGCGCGAATTTACCAGATCTCATACCAAGCAAGCCGCTCAAAGCGAAGGTCAAGCCAGCGCAAGAAGAGATGGACCCCTTCGAAGTGCGCATTCGTTTTACGCAATATTTACAACATTTGAATGCGAGTGTTACGAGTGCGAATAAGACGGCACAGTATGCGTTGAAATATAGGGATATGGATGAAGATCTGCATAGTTGCATCCTGGAACAACTGGAGAGAGTACGTTTATGGATTTTTTATTTACGGTTAGAGATTGGATCTCTGGGATCCAAGAAGAACGAATCGCGTTTCTGAAATTTTTATGGCAGCGACTTGGTTTGTCAAAAAGAATGTAGCTGACCTGAAATTCAGAATTCTATGAACAATAGGGCAAACATCATGTTTTTCATCGAAATTTTATGCGATATGGCATCGAGAGAAGGACACGATGATTATGTACGCATGATGCAAAGAGATATTCTCCGGGTAGTCGATGCCGTTGCGCCAGAAGATGGCTCCGGAGCAGCGAATGTAAAAGTAGTGCGCAAGGTTCTCCAAGGCCTTCAACGAAAATCATTCCTTTTACCTCAAACTGTTACGGAAATTGAAGAATGTCTCAAAGAACGCGATACTCAACCCGACGCACTCATGTCTTCTCCGCCCGCAAACGAAGCCAATGGAAATGGCACTTCACAGCATGCTACCCCCAAACAAACCAAACCAAATGGAGTAGGGAGGTTGGATAAGAGACAGATTGAACAGAGAATTGAAGAGGATCGCGAGAGACATAAGAGATTGAGAGAACATATCTGGGCTGTACCGGCCTTGGGACCCAATTCGGAGTTCGATAAATTGTGGGATGAAACGAGTGATTTGGGAGATGATGATATGGATTTGTATGAAGAAGAAGCTATGGAGAGAAAAGAGGCTGGAAGGGAATGGTTTAATGAGCAAGTTCATAAAAGTAGACTCGAGGGACAATCTTGAGTGGAGGGTTACTTTGCCCGGTCATGGCGTTAAATTGCATCATATGGCGGAGTTCGTGCATTGGCGTTCTACGGTTATTCAGGTATACCGAGGATCATTATGTAGCATGTAGGATTACTTGGACGGCGTGGTTATATATAGGTTTGAGGACGTTTGCATCGCGCGGCTATATAGCCTTAGGTGCTCAGGAGTCGGCACATAAAAATGCGGTAATACCATTTTGTTATACAGAAATTTGGTGTTGAGAATTCAGCTCCCATCAAGAAACAGAACGGGTGGGACCCTTAAAATCATGGCCACTATCTCTTCATAAGCATTCTCTCAAGATTACTTTGATTACAATCACAAATTTACAATTCTCTCCAAAGTCTGGAATCATCGAGAAACATGGATTCTGATTAGTGCAAACAAGTGTGCGTCCTATGCGGCGTGATCATCTTTACTTCCAGCTGCGAGTCCGCCTGTAGTTCTCATATTTGGGGTAGTATTCTCTTTTCGCTGGAATTCCTTGTGTGTATCTGAAGATTTCGGAAGGCTTGAGATGGCATTTCGGCTGCTTTAGGACCCTCGCAGTAGCAGATCAACTCGTTCCTGATGTATGTTAGTTTGAGTATGTGGGCGAAAAGGCGACAGTTCACAAGCACTAGCTTTCCCTTAATGCCACTAGCGAGCTCTTTCTATAGATTCCTGGCAAAACGATCTAAAGTTGGTATACATGAGGGAGACTAAAGATTATTTCAAAAGCGGTGTTCTGTCTTTTGATCTCCTTCTCGAGCCTGGATTCTGAACCAAGTTCATTATCTTCCCAATTCTCTTTTTCTTTCTATTTGTAGACATAGACGCCTCAGAAACCGAGGAGTCACTGAAATCGTCGTCTCGAGAATATCGAGAGTGATATCCTGCAGGAGGTGTGGGTTTCGACGAAGAACTAGCAGTCAAAGCTTGGGCACGTTGCTTATAGGTAGGCACTGGCTTTGATGAAGCTGGCTTCCTCGAAGAAGGCGCTTGGTCTGATGCTGAATCTCGTGTTTCATTGCTTCGCCCTCGAGGTGAATGCGTTTGTGAGATTTTAGGTGACCTCTCACTACCTGTATGCGAACGCCTCAGTAGTTGATTACACAATTTCAAACATCCTTCAAGGGTTTCATGGTCAGATTTCGTTATTTCCTATTGATTTTTCAACGCTCGACGTTCCCTGTCTTTACCGGTTGCGTTTTTAAGGTGGTCGTCGATACGCACGTATAGATCGTACCGCCAATTACTTGGCGAGCTAGAAGGTTTATGTGAAATTGTTGCTAGAAATTCTTGTCGTTGTTTGTCTAATTCATCAAGTGCTTCTTTGGCCTGTCGTTTGCCCTTTTCCAACTCTGAAGCTGTAGGATGCAAGTAGTGGCGAGATGGTTCAAGAAACATTAAAACCGGTAATTCAAACCAAAGTTTTCACAACCATGCTCCACGTGAAGTTCCATTCAGTCGTAGAATTTCATCGGCAAGTTTAAGGCAATCACTGTAGCCCTCACCAGCATTAGCAAGACACACTGCTTTACTCATCGCACTTCTCGCTTTAATGAGCATTCCTTCGCGCTTGCTCTCAAGATTTGAATGTCCGTCGCGAAGTAATTCTTTAACTAGGCTCGAGAGTTTAGACCTGCTTTTACTAAACTCCCATTCTTTTTTTTGTATTTCGGAGGACTTTAATTCATCATATATCTTGCGGTCACGGTCATGATCAAAATTTGTATCATCCTGATAAAGACGACGTATCTTACCATTGAGCCATTGTTTCAGAAGATAGGAATAGCTTTCGAATCGAGCTTTCTGTACGTTAGACATCTCCTCACGGAGATTGAGTTTGTAAGTTCTTGCAGCTAACCATACCCAGAACTTTTCAGCTTTTAATTCCTACCCAAGATCTTTCGTCAGTATTGATTATTTGGAAAATCGTAAGTAAATGCTTACTTCATGTGCCATCCAATCTTCCTTGCCGTTAATAGAAATCATTGTGTTCCAAAACCGCTTACCGAGGATATCAAGATCCCATTTATCAAGAGGTTCGTCTACAGAGCCGCATATGACACTAAACAATCGCTCGGTGAATTCACACAGAAGATTATGGTCCCAAGTCACAGAGGCTCGACACCGTTCATTGAGAAGATTGGCTCGAACAGCATTCTTGTGGGTCACACCAAAGACAAGTCTCGCAACCTCCACAGCTTTGCTGCGACTATCTTCGGAAAATCTCCCAAGCAATATCACTGATTGACCGTGCTTTTCATCTTCATCTCGAAAATGATAATAGTTGTTGGTGTTACGTTGAAGGGCTAATTTGTAAAACATCATGACCAAGATCTTGTGGATTGAACGACCTCTGATACATCTGGGAAGAGGAAGTTTTCCCAATTATATAGTTTGTGATGGGCCATTCTAGAATGCTTGTAAGAAAATTCTATCTTCTAATATTGATTTTGACATGCACCACTGCAAACATGTAAATAAGCAAAATAGCAAAAATGCTGACCGGTAAACTGTAGATGGAAACGTCGGAGGTTAATTTGAAGGTCTCGAACACCACGTGTTACGCTTTGTGTAATGCCGTCAAATTGAAATTATGGTCAAATCAAGACGGCAAACAATATTTGAAGTCATAAGACTGAGAATGAGGGGCGCGATAAATGGTAATTAGCGCAAATGACTGACATAAAACAATCTTTAAAAAAATGAAGTATCAGCGAATTCTACCGTTTGCAATTCTTGCTGTCGGGAACTATTTTTTTCAGCCCTAAATAGTACACGGTATTACAGGGTAGATCGCACAGGCTGTTTTCTGGCCGATGAAATTAGCCGAACCCTATGAGAGGCTCGGATTTGGGGTATCTTGCTCCCCCGCGCTTAATTATTGCTCATATGGCAGCAAAAACGAACATGCAGTTATGAATCTGATACGTGGGAATTTTGACTGTAAAGAGATTGGTAGTAGAAGTCGTTATCGTGAAGTAGTTCTGTGCTCTTGCTTCTGGGTAGAGATTTGGGCTTTATTATCTTGCCAGGAAGTGAAGGCCTACTACCTCTGACATATCCATCGAACAAGGCTCGGATATGACTAGTAATTCAGTAACGCATCGAGAATGCTGCGATGTATAATCGCGCCATACTAATTATTCACTATGAGGTCAAATATTAGAACTCCCCCCGCGGCAAAAGTTGCGATATCACATCGAGAAGTTTCTTCTTTCTCGTCCCACAATAGGTCTGATAACCTCAAAAGTTCACTACGACTTCTCAAATTATTAATATTGTGATCCCACATGTAGGATTCATCCTTCATAGCCTTGTCGCCATGATGACTATCGAGGATCGAATACCCTGAGACTATTGACGGGCAGGCACTCCGTGTTTCTGGCCAACTTATTTTTCGGGCCAATTATTAGTCAACTTACAACTCCACGGAAACTATTTGAAGACCGAAGCATCACTTACTGATATATCAAAGCGGAGCATCAAACGTGGGAGGACGACTGATAAGACAATTTGAAGGGAGGGTATTCATTGCTGAGGTATGTGTATTCAATAGCTCAGTTCTTCTCTGGCAAAGATTTTGTAATCACGAACACAACATGCGTATTCATGTATGATAGAAGTTGTGTAACTGCGATTCATTCATTCTGCCAGAAGCTTAACTCAACCGGAAAATCAGGCTTTCTGTCAAATTGTGATATCTTCCTCCCAGACTCCTTAGCCTACCCAATATCATTGTTCAATTACCAAAATAGATATCTTGTTTCTATCTTCCTGCATACTAACCATCTCAGCATCAATTCTGCGAAGCCGAATTAAAATTTTACGAAGTTCTCCATCTATTTCGTAAAGTACTCCACGATCGCCACTCGCCGTTGCTCGGATCTTGGCCCTCCTCACTCTGGTAAGTCTAGCCCTAAATCGTCTAAGAGTTTCCCGGTCTTCGTCATTCTGAACACGTAGTTTCTCTAACATGCCATCAAGGTCCCTCTTCGCCTGTTGGAACTTTGCTGAACTATCCCCGCTTGTATGGGCGGAGAAGCTCGAAACTCCTGACCAGTTCGTCGACCTCCTCTAGTGATATTTCAGAACAACTCTTTTTGCTGTGCATTGCAACAGAATATGATAAGGACTTACTCGCAAAGACGTGTCTGTCCGAATCAGACATTATGAGCATGCCACTGATTCTTGTGTAAAAGCCTCAACGTTGACCCGTTGAACTACAGCACTGAATTTTGATCTATAATTTGATGCGGGTGAAGGCCGAATAAGTAAGATTTGGATGGTAACTTCGGAGGTATCAAGCTGACAGCGATTAGTAGTGAGCAAAAGGGGACGTCTACAGAAGGCGTAACTTGATCTGACACGAAGCTTTTGAAGTTTTCAATTTTGTTCTTTGGTGGTTAATGTGCTGTTGTGTCTGAGGATTGAATGTAAGTGGGCTGGAATATGGAAACTATTTAACGCATCATTAGAGAGTTATTGTGTGGCGGAATTGAGAATCATTGTATAATCATTGCATCTCAAATCATGTTATACTGCGTCACAATTCGGCATTGGAGTCACTTCCACTCGAAGAATACACCCGAAGGACTTTTCAAGTCACTGCGTGATACGTTCTCATGTCATTTCTGTCAATCCTACCAATTCAGTCACTGAAAAACAGAAAGCATCACTTGTACGACAGACCTACAATGTTCATGATTTCTAAAACAATGACCAACTCATCCATGTTAATTCAGCGCTCTATGGACTGCTAATTTGGGTCTTGGAGCTCAAATATTTGTGTCACAATCATATCACATATGGAACAGAGCGAGTTCAACTGGAATGCGATTTATTGTGAAAGCTCAGCTAGTCACTTGAATAGTCAGGCTTTCTGCTGTACAATTAATTCCCCCGCTTTGCTCTCTAGCATTCGTCACTCCATACTTCACCGAACTGTCAGAGCTATGAAGGATTGAGAGAGGTCTGACGTGGAGTTTATGTGGAGAGATATTAGGATCGATATGAGTCCCAATCGCGAGCCACGCCTCTGTAGCACTCATTTATGTCTGGATGAATCCTGAATGTAAACATACGATGACCTGGTTCTAAGTACTTGATCAACCGATCCAGATATTCTCTATCTGTCATCAGGCTCCATTCTCTGATCATTCCAATATCTCCAAATTTCTCAAATCTCTCCTGCAGAGCACCCTCCAGCAAGCTCTTAATAATTTGATGATCTCTCCCGTTCAGCGGAATTCCAACTTCTTGCCCCAATTTTTTTCTCAAATCCTGCTTATATATCGATCTAATTTCGTGCTCAAGATATTTTCTCTCGTTGGTCAAGGAAATTTCATCACACTGGACTTCGTCCCTCAACTTCTGAGCTTCAATTTGGCAACTGGCACGAGTTTGACGATATGAGCTGTCCGGAACACCTCTAAGATTCCTTATCGACTGCAATAAGTCCATAATGTGACCTGAGGAGAGTTCAATATTGTTTCATTGAACAGAGAGTGGATGATGCTATACCAGTGTATTTGGGATGTTTTGTGTACTCGAGCTGGAGTCCGAGTTCTGGCATGAGGGCTTCGAAGCTCAAATCGACGCATGGAATATTAGATATATCTATATTTTTTGTGAAAATATATATTAAAAGATGTAGTCGAGGGAGATATGTCAAACTTTGAGGTTGTACGAATGAATCTTAATGATGTAATAACAGAATACCGATGAATCCCGAGTGTTGATTAGAGATGGTTCTATCTTTTCGTGCTTTTGTATCTGCTAAGCTTCGATGAGAATTTCGGCGTGATGTCTTGTGAGTTTTCGAATGAATGTTTGATGTTCAAATGTTTCTGGATATTGGAAGGAATTGAAACAGACGGGGACTCAGAGTATTTATGCTCTCTTGAGCTCTCTTGTAGAAGCCTCCAGTCATTCCGGATCACTGTGTCGTTCAATAAGAAAGGCTTTGAGTCACATTGTACTTCATAGACTCCCTAAATTTCTTCAAATGACTGCGTAAACCCCCCCACCCCCCATGTGATTCGAATCATCGTTCATAATCTTCTTAGATGTCTTTCGAAACGATAGTGCCATCAATACCAAGTCAATTTCAGAGTCAAGGGTGAAGGAAACTTGCCCCCAAGTTATATTGTAAGCAGAGTCATAGATCATCAGTCAATTTAACAGAAGTTGGACTAGAATGTTTGCTATTGTAGAAACTAAACTAGTATAAAAAGTCAGGCTATTTGTTTAACAGTAAAATCCTCCACCCAGGCACCTTCAGCTATCACATTACGTCCTCAGCTAACCATCATAGACGCATGGAGCCAAGAGAATCTATTAATCTTCGTCATAATGTGAAGTGAGTGTAAAGTGACTTTCCTTCTCCTCATCTTAATGATACTGAGACCGACTGTCGAACTCAATCCAACTGTCGAGTACTCTGTCGCAAGAAGACACAAAATCTTTATACTCTTGAATCTTCTCTGGAAGGTCTTTCACGTAATATTCTAGTACGTTTTGTGCACCGTAAACCGAGTTTCGAGCCATTTTATACAGCTCACTCTCTCGCCCGTGGTCCCGATACATTTGATTCATGTGACTAATCCTGCCAGATACCACGCTCTCCTGTGCTAGTTCTTTTTCTTTGATGTCGGCTCTCGCAGAACGGATACTGTTTTTCATTTCAGGAATGCTAACTTTTAAATGTCCTATTTTAATCGCGCGGTCTGATTTGTTCTTTCGACGAAGATTGCGGACGACGGCATCAAGGCTGATGAGTTTTGAGTGTGCAAAGGTAATATCTATACTTCCCGTCGCTGGTATCAGGTCAGTATGGTTATGTTCCTACTCTGGGATAGTTGAAGAATACTGACGGACGGTTTTAGGTTCTGGAACACGGAAGAGGCCGGACATGAGGTCGGACATGATGATGATCGGAATGAGGATATGTATTGAGTGGTCGATCTTGTGATTATTTGAAACCGGCACTGATGCTAGTGTGTGTTTTTGAGGTGGCAGTCCGAACAAATTTGGTACTTGTCTAGAGTCTTTGAGGATTTCGACGAAGAGGATCTCGATAAATTGGTTTTGGTTGGTTCTACCTCGAAATGAATCAGGTTTCTTTTGAAATCGATGAGGATTCTTGATGGTTTTGTTTTCGCTCTCGAAATTCGACTTTGCTTGGCTTCTAAACTTCCACCTCGAGGGGAAACCCCAGCCTATTTAAGCACTCCAAAGCAGCTCCAAGACCCCTCAAAATGATTAAACCATTGACTCTTAAATCATTTGTCGGGTGACTTGACCCTGAAAAACACCCCAGACAGACTCATAACTCGACATTCGACTCATTCTCCATGCGCATTCTGCAAGAGAATCATAACATCCACCATTTCAGTCACGATTTCTCTCAAAAGAGTTCATATCGAGGTGATTCTGGAGTCACAATACATTTTTCGAGTGATCATCGTCAAAATGACTCTAGAAATTTGGACTTCCAGTCATCTTCTCCTAAATTAAAGATCGTAGAAAGGTATGAATTAACGTCGTAGTGTATATTTACTCAAATCACACGCCTTAACATGATAAAACTCGAGACCTCGAATCATCATATCCGATATCTCCTCGAACGATGAATGATTTATACAACATTACCTTCGAATCATTCTCGAAGTCAAAGACTTCTAATTTTAGACTTGATATTCAATCGTACCCATAGTCAACTTCGACTCAAGCTTTCTCAAATCATAATGTAATATTACATAGATCACTAGACCACAAGAATCATTACAGAGATAGCTCATGTCATTCCTCGAACAACTCCAGCTCTCGTTCTCACGCCAACACATAGATCCACCCACCGACGCATATTGAAAAGTTAGCTCGCCTTCCCGACTTCCACCCTTTCCATTTTCCCTCCATATTCCCCTCTCTCCTTGAGCCATCTTCCTCTCATCAGAATTCCTCAAAACAAACTCGAGCTCGAATCTTTCGACCACCCAAAAGCACAACCCGTCAAAAACTCACCTATCCATCCATCCAACCGAGTCCTCAACCATGCATCAATACACAAAAAACCTACTTACAGTACTTAAAAGCACATTCAAAACCAAATAGAATAAATAAAAAACTCCTTTATAATTCAATTCATGATATATAAATGTCCCCGCCGCCAAAATTCTTCCACCCAATAATAATATCCATGACGATATCCATGCCATATAATTATTCTTTATTTCATCGAACCCCATACTGAATTAGAAGGAAAACCCTAGGAAGAAAAAACCCCTAAAATAAAATAAACCGTAAATGATAGGAGTAGAATACAAGAAAATACAGTAGTCAAGTATAAACCCGATCATAACAGTCATAACCTTCGTAGCTCTATTAAGCTTTTGTTCGTTTCTTTCATCATGAATCCTTTTTCATGTCTCATCTTGTGGGTATTGGGGATGGCATTCCGATCCATCCACGTAAATAAAAAAACAAAGCCTTCCTGCCAAAACCAACGATATTCTTTTTCCCAAATTTACGCCTGATGTTGTGCCGTCCAAAAATTCCCAAAATAAATAACAGCGGAAGCATTATGCAAATAGTGTAATAAAAAACAATCCCCAACCATCATCTCATAGTACAAACCAAGATCCGACCTATCCACCTCATCAAAATTCCTATCTTTACCATCCAATAATGGACTATCCCAAAGAATATAAAAAGCATGCCTTTATGCCTAATCCTTTCCTGGTATCTGATCATAATTCATTTACTACGTCTCGAATGCTCCATCTCCAGGAGTTTCCTTCCGTGTTGCGTGCGGCGCCGATCCATTTCTCACACTTTCTCCTCCAGCGCTCTTCCTCCTCTCTCTGTCGCCTAACGAATTCTGGACCGACATCAAATTCTTCACCAACAAGCCAGTCGCTGAGACCACTGGCACCTTCACCCTTCATACCAGAAACTTCATCAGACTCCTTAGAGGGCCCTTCCTCAAGATCAGGAACGTCCTTGAAGACATCGTCCTCATCTTCGAGCGCATCAAATCCATCCATGGTATCACCAGATTCGCTTTTTGCTCTTTTGTTGTCCCCTGGCATTTTAAGCCAACACATACGTTGCGGGTCAAAGACCATTCCGCCAACGACTTGGACATTTTGGGCAGAGTTTATATTGGTGATAAGCGCAGGACGAGGTGTCGAGCATTCTTTTTCCCGATATATCTGCGGTGCTATCGCCCTTGGTGTCTGTACAGGTATTGAAGCTGTCGGGGTTGCAGAAGCTGGCATATCAAAGGCCGATACTTCAATTTCGTTGCCTTCCCATCGATAATTAATAGGATCATATTGCATTCCTTTCACAGCTACACAGAAAGATTAGCGATAGGTTAAAAGTTATGCGGGGGGTATACGTACATCTGGGATTGTTTACATTTCCCATGGGCTTAATAAGTTGTGGCTTTTGGGGCACCTTATTCTTTTTTGATCGAACTGAACCTTGTGCATGAACCGGACTGAGTCCAGTCGTTGCTGAAACCTTCGCCCTCCATTGATTTGTAAGGGCAGCAAGAGGAGCTCCAGACCCAGAGACAGTGCGATGAGATGATGTTGCTTCCCGAGCCATGCGGCTGGCGGCAGTATCGCGCGCAAAGCGTGGTAATTCACTCCTGCTCTTTGCTGGTGTCAATGGTGTTAGAGGTACAGGTGATGAGTTTCGGATGGGCATAATGTGTTGATGAGCTCTGTTGCGAAGTGAAAGCTGTTTAGGCGGGCCGCGGCCAATCGGCTCTTTGACAAACTTTTGCTCTGCATCTCGCGAGGTAGGTAGATCATCAAAAGCATCAAGTTCACAGCCATCACCAAAATGTCTTCGTCGAACAGGTTTCGTGATTTGCCGCTTCATAGTAGCTTCACGAGCAAGCATATCGGCACCACGAAGAGATCTGCGCGGACTGGGCGATCGAAATGTTTGCCTTGAAAGCGTCCTCGACGGAGGACGAAAATCGGCGCTATTACTTGAGGACTCAGAGTCGTTGCGGCGAAGATGCCGGGATGGTTTTGCAGTGACATGATGTGATTGAGAACTGGAAGCACCACCAGCAGGTAAGAATGGAACATGATTTTTTCTAACAAAGGACATGCTAGACTCAGCTCCGGATCGATCTTTTTCGACAGGTTCCTTGGACCGAGACATTGAGAGTGGCCTATTATTGATTTCCGTTCGAGACTGAGGTCTCTCATATCGTGTAGGCATTGGCTTAGCTGGCGAAGGCTGATAAGTCTTCATGGTTGGCATTGACCGCTTGAGCTTTAGTAGTTGGGAACTGGTCGTTGTAGGCTCATTGCGCAGAGTTGATGTGGATAACTTTGCACCTAGTTCACGACGCCGAGGAGTTGATGGAGGTATTGGATGATTAGAAGATGGTGCGTTAGACAATCCAATACTATTGATTGAAGAATGGACTGAATGTCCCAACCTAGATTGCGACCTACGATTTCGACTCGGTATTGGCCCACCACTCTCTGAAACTGGTTCGAGAGATGATGGAATACGTTCATGTCCATGTGGCCTAGGGAGTCGGGAGGTGGAAGGAAGCGCAGGTTTGTTTGTGAAAGTTAATGAAACCGATGGCTTGGGTCGAGTTGGGCTTTGTTGTTTAGTAGGTAGAACCTTTACGTTACGATTTAAGGTGAGCTTCTTCGAATCGAAGACGTCCCCATCGCCAATCTCAAGCCCAGTCAAAAAGTCATCCTTTCCACCCAAACTTTTTCTTGGTTGCTTGGGCTCTAATGGACGTTCTGGCCAATCATTTAGTTGACGCCTCTTGAGAATATCCTCGAAATTAAGAGGGCCACTCGGTAAGATTAAACCTTCAAGACCTTCATCTTCACTCTCAGCAGTCATGGAACTGGCGATGCTAGGGCTCATAGCGAAGGAATCTGAGTTCCTATTGGATCGACCATCTCTTTGTGTTCCACCAAATCGAGTACCTAAACTGCCTTCACCCCAATCGTCAAAATCGTCCTGGATACTCTGAGGGGTCTTCGGGATATCTTTACGAGTAGTGAGCTTCAAAGCTCCATCTGAAGGAAGTTGTAGATCTTGCTCGAAATCTTCTTCGGTTTCCTTGCATTTTTCTGGTTTCGTTGACGCGACGGAGGGTGCCATAGACTGAGGGTTCCGTTTCTTTGTAACTTTTATGGTTGCTTCGCCATCTCCAAAGAAGTCATCGTCCTCCTCATCTCTGTAGCGATCAAGCATGTTCGACGATGCCGCCTTCGTTTTCAATTCGGGCCTCGGACTAACATGGAATATCGGAGCAGCCATCAATGTCTTCTGCGGACTTACAGATCCAGAGCCGCTAACTTGACGTAGTGTTTCTGGGAATTGAGACCCATCTTGTTGTTTGATCTTTAGGGCTTCTCCAATTGGTACTTCGATATCCCCATCATCCCAATCGTCTGAAATCACCTTCCTTAATTTTCTTCCACCAAGTCTTTTTATACTTCCTCCTAATAAAGCCGAGGAAGGTACGTTTTCCGGTAAAGGTATACCGGCTCTTTTCGCTGTCGCGATCGCATCGTTCATTGCTCGTTCATCGTCTTCTGGTAAATGTACTTGTCGTTCCTCGTTGTAGTCCGATCTTATCGATAAACGTGAAGAAACCGATTCTCTGCGTGTCGACGCAATGGTTGCAGTTGTTGCTACTGAGACACTTCGAAATGTAAAATCATCGCCCCCAATGTCAAGGTCGTCATCATCCCAGTTTTCCACATCGTCCTCCAGGGGTGCCCGTGGCTTCAATACCAATTGATCCATTTTGAGCCCCGATTGTGTGTCGCAAAAGAATCGAAAGGTTGATAAAATATTGCGACCGTGTACTGCTTCTCAATTATGAGCTTAAAGATGAGTTGAAGATTTTCAATCAGCTTAATCGCGGGTAGGTAACTATCGTGAATTCATGTCGTAAAAAAAAGCTTGCAGATCGGAATACTTTTTGTTGACGTTGTCGTGAAGGAGGAACTGCAACTGCAACTGTAATTTGCTTTGTTTTGTTTCGTGTTAATTGAATCAGTGCATTCGTGGTCGCAATGGTGATTCCCTGGTTTCGAATTTGTGGTGCTCGGTGTGCTCGGTGCTTGGAATCTTGTTGTTTTGAGTTCGCTGGCTTCAATTGAAATGAGTATCAGTATCAGGATCGTGTGGTATTGATGCTGATGTTTTCTTCCACCTTTGCTGGTATCCAAACCTCCAGCGCCCTTTTGAGGGCAGGTAGCAAAAAATTGTTGTTGGAAAATCGAAAGGCAATGAATCTCTTGACACTCCTGGCGGGTGGGTATTGAATGATGAAGTGGGTTGAAAATTTAGTTCTCCGCTGTATTCAGTGTTCACGGGGGATTGAGTGGATGAGTCGAATGATTGAAGCTCTGTGGCTGGCTAATTTGAGGAAAGAATCATGGGAATTGACCAGCCACGAGGATTTGATGCGAAGAAGAAGGAATGATTGGGTGTATTAAACGAAGAGAGGTGAATTAAGGAATATTAATCGCGACGCGTATGTTTCTTTTTGACTTGATTGGTGGTATTTGCTTTATTTGACTTATTTATTGATATTATGGTATTAAATTGATTCTTTTATTTTTGTTGGATTTATTATGATTATTGTTATTATTGGATCTATTCTATAGTGGTATAGATAGTATGGACCGTACGCCGTATGGACCATATGGTATCGTATTTCATCTGAGTGACCCGTCCGTACCCGTGTTATAGCTATGGATTATACCATGTAAATAATGTAAATAACACAACCAACACGAACCATCTTCCTAGTACTAACTCTTTCTTTTCTCTCTCCTCGTGCTGAGCCGAATTAAAATGAAGTCTGATATCTGTCACTACCTAGGCAGAATGAGAGTGAAGTGAGCAATAGAAAATCAGTTCCTCATCGTTGCCTAATCTACCAGCAGATCTCCCATCGATATCTAGGTATCATAGCAAATAGTAAATAAATTGATTATATTATCATCACATTTGTTTGTATTTAATTCATCTCTCTGGAACGTTTAATACGGATTCACATCTCCCCTTCCCTTACTAATCCTTTGATTCAGGTTTCCTGTTTCATCATTAATCTCATCACTCCCATCACCAACCAACAACCTTATCAAACCGAATTAGATCAGCACCAGGAATACAGCCATATCCATACTATGGCGGCGAAGCAACTTCCAGCGGTTCTTCGCATTACATCGAGCGCTACGAATCAAGATGAGGTTTTTCTTCTTCACGTCGAATCCGCTGGGTCACAACCTTTAGATCTTAAGTTGGTTGGGACGGATGGTGAACTCGTATTTGCGGTCTCAGGTAAGCTCCGACCTTTGTTTGGATCGTCCCGCGCTGGAGGTCCCTGATTTTCAACCCTGATTTTCACATTCATGCGTTAATTGCGGGACCGCAAATTAATATTCATTTTCATTCTAGTAAAGCACAGCAAATTATCTTCGCTCAAGTCAAAGAATTCTCCATGTAGTGACGAAGAATGGATTCTGATTTTGTCATCCATTCTGCTTCATGAGCCGCCGAGGGAAGGGAATGAGAATGTGACCAGAGGAGTCGAGATTCATGCTAAAGTGGAGAAGAAAGCCGTGACCCTCGTGATCCAAAAAGTTATCGAAGGGATCAAAGTACGTACCCTCCCAGTCATTATGTTGGCAATCTTATCATATTACATACTAATTATACATCAGCAACGTCTCGGCGCAATCAAACTGGATGAAACCGAAGAAGAAGAAATTGGCCTTTTTGAATGGTGCGCTCTAGCAACAAAATCGGCAGATTCGGCAAAGGATGAGTTGGAAGCATTACACACCAAGTACAGGGAACAGCAGAAAATGTTGGATGGACTCAATGAAACTTTCAGGGAAGTAAATAAAACAAAATCCGACTATGAGATTCAGCTGTTGGAGAAGTTTAGCCTCTTGCAGAATGTGAAGAAGCTCAAAATAAGGGACCAACAAACCTTATTAGCAAGCGCCAAAGTTGATCCAGAAAAAATCGATACAGTGCGAGCTACAAGATCTGGGAGGCTCAGAACCGCTGGCGCATCGAGAACTGGGAAGCGTAAAGCCGGGAAGGGAGTGCAGGCTGAAAGCTCAGATTCAGATGATGCTTTTGAAAAAATGGATATTGACAAAAAGCAACAGGAGGATGATACCGCTGATGAATCAGACCAACAAGAAATACAAACTCCTGATCGCTCGGATGAAGAGACTGAAGATGAGGCAGAAGCTCCACAGTCAAAACCTCAGCGTCGCAAGGGAAAAAATACCGTTCAAGATGATTCGGATGAGGAAATGCAAATAGCGCCTAAATCAACAGAGACAATAAAAATCGCCGAGCTACCAGCTAAAAGGGAACTACCATTTGCCAAAAAGCCAATTCCGGTACCTGCAGATGATGGATCTGAGACCGAATCGGGCTCGGACGATGAACTATAGTAGACATTCTCATTCCAATAAGTATTATCCTTCGATGAATAACGGGTCAAATCAATGAATGTCCCAAACTGTCTCATCGATATTTCACCATATACAGATGTGATTGGATCTCGCGAATAATCTGACTCTTCCCAAGCACAAATGATATGCAAATCATAATCACGATTCCAATTCTCAATTCCCATTCACGCACTTCATCCACTTGCACCAACTCGGCAATCCCAAAGCTAAAGCTCCACAGTGACTCGTGCGTATCCCTGACAACCACCATCTCGAGCGGGATTTACAGAGTTGACGATATAACGGTGGGGGAAATTGTGCATGCCGCATGCACAGGTGGGGTGAAATATGTATGCACTCTATGCACCACGAGAGTGTGGATATCACACCGACATTTCTACATGCTGCGAAGAGGGGCGTTACTGGGTGATGATTATGTCCCATCGTGTGGCGGGGGATATATAAGGGACCTGGAACTCTTATGAGGAATGGGTATTTGTGTGAACAATGATTGAAAGAAAGGCTGGCGATAGTTGGTGGTGGTCAGTATATGGTGTGTGCGGAGATGTGGCTGGACGCTTTGGGGGCCGCAAAAAAATATGAAGGTGGTAAATAAATAAATTTCCAGCCTTCTTTTGTTTCTGTGGTAATACTATCTTGCCCCGAATATATCATTTCAATCCAGCCTCCGTCAAGTGACGGGATTATTTCGTGGTCATGGAGTCTTGACCGCACTATCAATCACACGAAGACAATTTAAAATCTCACATCTGATGACTATTAATATCTCATCGAGTGTGATAATTTGTCCGTCATAACTAGCTTCAATTTCGAGATTTTTTTTGGGCACACTCTCAGATTATATCTTCCATTATAACTAGGTACTCATGGTATGATATTTAGTGCCAATTTTCATTGCTGCAATCCAGGGTACCAAATCCTCGCAGGGAGCATCCAGATCGCTCATTCATTAAGATGCTCCGTTTGATATACTCTTCCATGTTAGGGCATGCTCGAGAATAGTTATATTACCGAGATTACCACCCCCATGGCTACTGCTGCATACATACTCTACCCTGCAATTTTACCCCATCAGTAACAGAACAGACTACAATAATGCTCTGCATCTACGCTCGTGAAAGTAAAGTCAAACAAGAGATCAAGGGAATTCCTCATGCGAATAAGACTCGCCCCTTCGATCTGCGAAGGAACATGCAAATAGCATACATAAAATACACGTTAGCTATATATTATCCAAAGCCTGCAATTCTGTCACATACGACCATAGACTGAGGAGAATTGGGCATCCCGTCCACTCTGCCATACACAAGCCTCAGATCGGTAGATTAGTAGTTGGGTGGGTGACCACCAGCGAATCCCTACTGTTGTATGTTTTTGATTTTTTTGCTCTTGCTTTTGATTTCAATCGACTGTGTAAATATGGATAGATGAGTATCGATTTTGATTTCAATATGTTGGGGGGAAGAAGAGGAGTACTAGATAAAGTCTTAGGGTGGTTACTTTTCGAAGAAAGAGAGAAAATCAAAAAAGGACTTCAAAAGTTGGAGATCATTTGGATACTAAGTAGGGAAACAGTTTTTTGGCTAACGTGACTAGCAACGAGTACATATTTAGTAGCGTTTACCAAGTGGTTTGATTTCTTGTTCCTGGGGTAAAATGTAGGCAGCTGATGAGTTTTTTTTGAAAATATAGAAGCTGCGAGCATGGAGTATATCGAAAGTGAAATGAGATCGAGATATGGTTTTCATTTTCCTCATAGAAATGTAAAATATGATGCCAGATAGCAGGGCCAGGGAACCACGGAATTACAAGATACATGTATAATATAATGTATACTTTCTATTATTCCCATGGCAGATCTTATAACTAGAAAATCGAAACTGTCTGAGATATCCAGCTGTTCGTGGAGCTTTTTACAGGTTGATGGATATACATGTAGATATGATAGAATATGACATGTTTCCTATCCTCCATTCGAGTTGAATACGAGGCCGAATTTGATAAATTCATGCATTCATTTATTTGTTGTGTATTGTGATTCTGAGCAATTCTTGTCATGAAGCGCTGTTTGAGGAGGATTGTTGTTGTAATGGATTTATTACAGTGTTGATATATCACATATTACCTTGCTCTTAGTGGACGTTTAACTCTAAAGAAAAAATCAACTGAGAAGAAGAGATTCAGGATTTCGTACTGGAGATCCTCCATATCAGAACCGAAATCGAAAGCTGTGAGCACTTTAAAATGACGATAGAGGTACAAAGACATTTGCGAAAGCTCGCGGTAGAGTTGTGGAGTAGTGTGTACATGCAATATGGACCCGGGTAATATATAGGCGAGTTGAGAGTATGGATATCGGGACTGTGGATGGGGTGAATTCATTGCGTTGGGGGGTTTTGAAAGGGGATGGAGAGTTTGAGATGGATGTTTTTGATCTTGTTTTGCTGGATTTATAATCTCGTATCAAGAGGGAGGAAGATGGTGGAGAGAAAGAATGGGGTATGGAATTAATGTCGATATTTATCTCTTGGAATTGGATTCGTGGTGATTAGCTTGTTGTGTCATTTGACATTCTCAAGGTCAGCGACTTATGAATCTTCCTGGAAGGGTGTTTTTAGCTATTGTGTAGGTATCTCTCGTGATGCCAAGATGCCATCTGAAGCTGCATGCGAATGGCAAAGAGGAGTCAAGTTCTCGATAAAATAGCTTGCTTTTAATTAGGGATGTATGAATCAATATGAGAGGGAGACGAGTGTTTGATAACAATGTGTTCCTGTTGTATGACTTGGCTGATGAGAAGATCTGAATGGTAGGTACCTCAGTATATATAAGGTGCAGAGACGAATCAAAGGAAGAGATGGGCCATTGACCCATTATTGCTAGAGGAGAAAACAATTTCCAAGTAATCGTTGATATGCGAAGATAGGTAGAGCACCAGGACTAAAATATGGTGTTGAATGAGGACGCGAGGAAAGAAATTGAGTGGTTTTATACATGGTGTGGACAGTGAGCAATTTTATGTTCCGAGGCAGTGGAGTCTCTACTCTGAGCAAGGAGTCCACTTCAAAAGTATGATAGATAGCTTTGCAGAACTGAGTTTGATTGCTAGATAAATCAACTCATAGACGTCCTCGAAGGTAAACATTTGACTGATAGTCTTCTTGCCATTCTGCACCTCTCCATTATAATAGAATGCGAAAATGTGGTTGTGAACAAGTGTGGAAATAATGCAGATCCTCAAAATTGCTCATTCATCTCCTCATGAGGATTTGATAACCTGAAATGAACTGCTTTTTGACTAGTATCTAAGGGTAGATGTTCGGGTACTAACTGCTCACTGACTGAATCTATTGTTCCCTTTGTGGTATCAAAAAGCGAGTTGAATATATCTTTATTGACATAGATTGGTTCGATTATCATTCTTCTCGAATCTCGAACCATCTGCGTTGTTTGTTGCGAGCTCTCTTGCGTGACAATATCGAAAACCAGAACGAGAAGACTGTTGGTTTTCATTTTCTAATGTAGTAATGTAGTCGCTCCCAAAATCGAACTAGCCCCAGAGAACGAGATATAGAGTCATATGAAGGCTCTTCATATTATGAATTCTCTTCCTTACAAGGTCTGGAGGTAGGAGATGATCGAAATCTTCTCTGCTATCCTGCGCGGCCATCACCATGGGTTGTAAGAAGCCAATCGAAGATTCTCAATTCTACTATTCCCAACACCGCTTCAAATATTACCTTCAATCTTGCAAAGCACGAATTGCCAATTCCTCCGCTTCTATATTATCCTCTCTCGGCACGCTCCAAAATCGAACCAAAACTTTGCCCTCCGCAAGATCCAAAATAGCATTATCAATCTTGTCTACCAACTCACCATTAACCACCTGTTTACCTTCATGATTTTCAAAGCCATCTTTGCGCCATAACCAAATCGATTTGGTGAAGGTATCGTAGACATGTTTTGAGTCCGTCATGATGATGATTGTGAATGATCCTTCACGCTCGCCATTGGACCGCCAGTTTTCCAGGACTGAGCTGTTCTTTATGAGATCCAGAGCACAATCAACGGCCACCAGCCGCGCGTAGTCTCTGCTTTGCTGCTCCCCATCAAATCCCTCTATCGCATCATATGTATTGAAACTTGAATTCTCCCCGAAGAATATCCCATAAGATGATTTGCATTCCGAGCCGCTCCCGTCTTCAGAGCAAGCTCCATCAACAGCAACCACTAGACTGTTCTTGTCCCCGGCCATCTCATTAGCATCATGGACATGAGAAATCCCAGAAGATTTATCATAATAGATGAATCTCTTGGTATTTCTACTAGCCGGTGAAAAATACTGATGGAGATCAAATTTACGAGAATATGTCTGCTGATCCTCCAAAGATCTTTCCCTATCCCGTCTCGCCTCTCGTACCAGATACTTTTCCAACATGATGGATGTGGGATGAGAGGACTTTCCACTTGCTCAGAGATGGTAATTTGATGGAAGATAGTGGGTGGGCGTCAGTGATATTTCATGTCATGATAGAGATGGGGAAATTTGTTACTATTGGGAATGACTAAGCAAACTAACTTGACCACCAGTGGGTGTACGGACTCACGGGACAGTACAAAAATGAACTTGTAAATATCTTTTGATATATTGAACCATTTATTTTAAAATTTGTTATATTTCTTGAATAAAGATAAAATAATCAAAATACAAATTCTGATATCAAACAATTGAAGAATGGATTTATTGAAAATATTGAAAATTGGGAAGTGTCCCGTGAGTCTGTGCACCCACTGGTGGTCCACCAGTGGGTGCACAGACTCACGGGACACTTAAGAGGAAAAGCACAATTTCACACCAAAAAGAGCTGTTTTGATAATTCAATTAAAATTCAAAAAATTGATATTTGACTTTGAAATTAAGAGTTATTATTCTCAAGTATAAGAATTTTATATAATAAAGTTTTATTTCAAAAAAAAAACAAGATTCAAGTTTATATAATCAATTATATAATATCCTATCAAAAAATTTAATAAGAAAATATATTATTTGATTTTTAAATTCAATATTCATTTTTAAGATTTAATCTTTATATATTATATAAATCTTATATTTATAAATTATATATCTTAATTTGAATAATATTAAATAAAATTTAGAATTTTGATTAAGTTTTGAAATTAATAAATTTGAATGTGAAATTGTGCTTTCCTATCACATTGTCCCGTGAGTCTGTGCACCCCCTGGTGGACCACGACCTCACAAGCCAATTTACCAGCACCCTCCTTTCATAGAAGGACACAAAACCCAGCACACTCTTTTTAACAACACTACTACTTCAACATTAAATAGTAATCCAACTGATTTTAAAAGTTCCCCAAGAAATCCAAAAAATCACAAACTACAAGCCCTACAATCCTTGAGCACAAATTAGACTTCAACACATAAAAAATCTAATTCACCAAACCATTCCGAAATCACAAGGTTAATATAATTGTCGGCTCTTCAGGGGAGAGGGAGGGAGTGGAGGAATTCCCGGCCAGGAAACTCTACATAACTCGATCGGATATGAAGTCATTTAACCACCCCAACGCCATTATATTGCGAGATAGAATCTTATTCAAAACATATTGCTATCTTGCTTGAAGTGATTGCAATGCTTTTCTCGCCAGAGATAAGGAATAGGGATACCAGCTTTTGCCGGTGGAACTAGTCAGCTGCTGGGATAGCGGATTGTTAGAGGATATCCTTGGATGTATTGGTATTTTTATTCTCAGTGTGTCTTTATTTGGGCCTTACAATTGATGATCACCCGTTACAGAAATGTTCGACCAGTTCAAGTACTTTCATGACTGTGCTCCGACAATTTTACCTAGGCCCGCCTAGCATATTTAAGTTATGTCACTTGCTCGATACGGAGTCTAACTCGACTAGATGAAGTCATGCAAGCTTCTCATGATGTTCGCTAACTTTGAAATTCTGGTATTGGTATTTTTGACATGATAAGACAACTATGAGCTGAGCTGCCAGCATAAGCACGAATAAATTGAATCTCGCAAACAAGTTCACTGATCAAATGTGGTTGCCAAATCTTCCTCAATCTTTCCATCGGTAAATCCATCTATGACCTATCATCCGGCGCAAACTTATCCTTCCAAAAAGCTCTATAATGTTTCTCGTTACCGATCTTGGCAATCTCCTCGACCTCCTTCGGTGTCAGTTTAAATTGTTTGATCTTATGAAATCCCTTCAATCGGTCCTCATCACCACTAGTAGTCAATGCCACGATTCCCTGATCAATAACCCATCTCAATGCAATTTCACCGGGTGTGACTCCATACTTCTTAGCCAGAGCAGAATAGGTATCGTCCAAAGGTCCAGGAGAAGCCTTGACGGCAGCGGTCAAGGGAGAGTAGGCTGCTATTGCTATATCCTTTTCGCGAAGGAAAGGAATCAGAGAGCCATGTTGAAGATAAGGGTGGTATTCAATCTGGTTGATGGAAGGGATAATTTTCGCCGTCTCCAAAATAGTTTCAATGTCCTTTTGTAAGAAGTTGGACACTCCAATAGATTTTGCTTTTCCGGATGCATGAATTGCTTCCATCTCTGCCCATTTTCTTTGTAAATCTTGAGGAGTCTTGGCAAAGAATGGAGCGTGAATCAAGTAGAGATCGACATAGTCGAGTTGGAGCTTCTTTAAGGATTCTTCAAATGTAGCTTGCGTGTCAACTACTTCGGTACCGGTAACTTTGGTAGTTATGAAGAATTTCTCTCGAGGAACAGCGGATTCTTTGATTGCCATACCCATCTCGGTTTCATTTCCATACACTAGAAATAAGTGTTACAAGTGGAGATGATTTGAATGCATTAAGTGACGGGAAATACTTTGAGCTCCATCTAAATGATAATAGCCGGCATGGATTGCCATTACAGCCGTTTTCACAATCCCATTATCGACCTGACCATCTGGGTTGGCTTTGTAATGCGCAGTTCCAAGGCCATATCCAAGCATCGGGATCTCAGTCCCATCATTTAACTTGAGATTTTGCAATTGACCTATTTGCTTTGGAGAATCACCTGAATTGCCTCCAGGTCCAAAAGAACTTTGATATGCCGAGGTTTCAGAATTCATCATGTAACGAGCAGTAGGTGCAGAGAAATGGAGGTTACAAGGACGTTTGATGAGAGGACGAGTGGAGAATCTGAAAGCAGAATTGATCAATATATTCATAGGAAACAACAATGAAGGAAGAGGTAGAATGTAGGTATGGATTACCTAGATATTTATCGATACTGTAAAAACAGAGAAGGAGGGAGAGTCCTTCCCGTTCCATGACGATTTTAAAGTTCATCGACCCCACCAACCCCACCCACCACACCACCGTATTGCTATTGCTATTGCTACTCTGTTCTGTCATCCGAGAAAGCTCCCGTAAAACTAAAACTAGGGGTAGCTTTTAGAATTATTTGGTCCATAAGGATTAGTAACCATTCCAAGGTTATTCACACTCCGATCAACCTTGAGCACGACATTTGCCTCCTCTTGCCCCTCATTCTTAGACGCAAACCAGAAGTACCTAGGTAGGTATTAAAAGCAGTTCCAAACTATACCCAATCACAGAATACTTTGACAGTTTCTCAAGTTTAATAGAATACTTATCAGCTTCTGTTTATCTAGAGTATCCATAGTATCATCAAGGGAATTGATGCTCTTGGACTTCTTCTCAAGACCTCTGGTACCCCGCCTGCGCATAGCTCAGATGGCATCTCATATCTCTCAAAGCAGTACTGCGAAGGCCTCTTCCTTTGCCGGAGAGTCCCTCGCAGACCTTCCTAAATCATGGACATTTACCTCATCACTCCCTCCCGATCCTCAGTTTCCCACACCTGCCGCATCACACAAGACTGCCCGCGATGAAATTGGACCTCGGCAGGTAAAGGGCGCATTATTTACTTGGGTTCGGCCCGAACATTCAATAAATCCAGAACTTCTCGCTGTAAGTCCCACTGCGATGAGAGATTTGGGAATTAAGGAGGGAGAAGAATCTACAGAAGAATTCAAACAAACAGTTGCCGGCAATAAAATTCTAGGATGGGATGAAGAAAAATTAGAGGGGGGATATCCATGGGCGCAATGTTATGGTGGGTGGCAATTTGGTTCTTGGGCAGGTCAATTGGGTGATGGGCGAGCAATCTCTTTATTCGAGACGACAAACCCGATTAGCAATGTTCGATACGAACTACAATTGAAGGGCGCAGGAATAACGCCATACTCCAGATTTGCAGATGGGAAAGCTGTATTGAGATCAAGTATAAGAGAGTTCATTGTCTCCGAGGCTCTGAATGGATTGAATATTCCTACTACTCGAGCTTTATCTTTGACTCTCTTACCGTTTTCGAAAGTCAGGAGGGAAACACTCGAACCTGGGGCCATTGTGGCAAGATTCGCACAATCATGGTTACGTATTGGAACATTCGATATACTACGAGCGCGTGGTGACAGAGCTTTAATAAGAGAGCTTTGCACGTACATCGCGGAAAACGTATTTCAAGGATGGAAATCATTACCAGGAAGAAATTCTGCAGATGATGGCAAAACAGAAAATATTGAAAGAGGGGTATCAAAAGACACAATTGAAGGCCCGGCTGGTCTCGAAGAAAATCGCTTTACTCGTTTATATCGCGAAATTGTACTACGCAATGCAAAGACAGTTGCAGCATGGCAAGCATATGCCTTCACAAATGGTGTACTCAATACAGACAATACATCGATCTTTGGATTGTCCATTGATTTTGGACCATTCGCTTTCCTCGACAATTTCGACCCTAACTATACTCCTAATCATGATGACCATATGCTACGCTATTCCTACCGCAATCAACCCACCATAATCTGGTGGAATCTCGTCCGTCTAGGTGAATCTCTCGGTGAAATAATGGGCGCCGGTGCTGGTGTCGACTCCGAAGAATTTATCGAGAAAGGAGTTCGTCAAGAAGCCGCCGACGAAATAGTTTCCCGCGCAGAAGCTCTCATAACCCGCGTTGGCGAAGAATACAAAGCCACCTTCCTAACAGAATACAAACGTCTCATGACCGCCCGTCTCGGACTCAAGGTATATAAAGAAACGGATTTCGAATCCTTGTACAGCGAATTGCTTGATACAATGGAAACCCTAGAGCTAGACTTCAATCAATTCTTCCGTAAACTTTCCTCCATCCCCATTGCCTCTCTCGAAACCAGCGCCTCCCGAAAAGAAATTTCCACCACCTTTTTCCATCACGAAAGCGTCACCGGTCTTAACAACACCATGGAATCAGCAACCACTCGTCTCGGCGACTGGCTTGAGAAATGGCAAGGAAGAATATACGAAGATTGGGGACCGGATGGTGATGACGAAAACCGCATGATAGCAATGAAGAAAGTGAATCCAAAATTTGTACCCAAAGGATGGGTTTTGGATGAAATTATTAAGAGGGTCGACAAGGGAGGTGAGAGAGAGGTATTGAATAGAGTCATGAAGATGGTGAGTGATCCATTCAAGGAAAGTTGGGATGGGGACAAAGAGGAAGAAGAGAGATGGTGTGGAGATGTGCCAAGGGGGGATAGAGCTATGCAATGTAGTTGTTCTTCGTGAGTGGAGTGGTTAGTTGCTCGAGTCAGGCGAGATGATAGGGGTTATAAGTATATATATACATCATGTATCATGGGTAATTTTAAAATAGGATATCAGAATATATCACATCACGTAATACATATATATAGACGTCTGTTTAAACTTGCTAAAACTTGCTAGAACATGAAAAAACACTCTTTTTCAATGTATCAATGAAATTCCGAGTGCAAGAGAGTCTTTCCCAAAGCAAAAGGTGTTCATCACAGTATTGGTCTGATAGTTGTTTTCATATTTCCAAAAGATGTGAACTGCAGTATCTAGTTTTCCACCTTTTTGTTGACCATCAAACTCATATCCCCATTTTCTCACTCGTTCAATCATGCTCATCTGATCCTCATGACTTATCCTCCCCTACTGAAGAAGTTTCAAAAATCTTCATCGAAGATGAACGACAACCTTCATTCGAGCAAAACCGGCCCTTTCAGCTAGCCTTTATTTCGTCTTATCATTGACACCCAACTCCCATAGTATAGTTTGTGATATCAAATAACCTTTTTATCTTTGTGAATAAGGAAATCCCTCACTCCCTTCATTCACCAGTGATCTGCTTCACGCGCCACCGAAGCCGATGAAGGCCGAGTTACATCTCAATCTAACTCATGAGACCCTTCGTGGTAATACACGCAAAAATCAAAATGCAAAAGAAAACGACTGTAAACACGTTTAAAGGAAAGAGCTCCTCCCCCTTGCTGTTTTGATCTGAAATTAAAAAATTCGTCGCAAAGTTTTTGATACACAGCAAAGAAAGTTATCCTGATCCAGCAAATTTCGATTCATGATTGGGTATGGTTTATTGTGACAAGGTCTGGGAATCACCACGACCTCGATATCCCGTACCACGTCCACGTGTAGGCTGTCCATTACCGGCATAACCGCCTCGTCCTCTATATCCACCACGGCCGCGACCACGACCGCGGTATCCGCCACGATAGCCGCCATTATCGACACTTCCTTGGCCGAAGGTTTCAACATTCTTCTTTTGCTCTTCACCTCGCCATTGATGTCCACCAGCTCTGTTTCCGGCAGCTTCTGTGCGGTCCTTTGCCTCACTCGAAATGTTGTCAAAAAATGATGTGGCTTTGTTATATGCCTTGGGTGCGGTTTCCTCAACCTCAGCCTCAGGCGCAGGAGGCTGCTCCCCAAGGGGAGATCCAGCGATAGCCTCCTTCACTAGGTCTTGTTTATTGAATTTTGCATTAGCAGATTCGAAATCGAAGTCGGCCGCGGGGACATCGACTTTAGCTGGACCAGGAGCCCGACCACCACGGCCTCGTCCTCTTGCGGCAAATCCATTAGTGCCTGGCTGTCTGGGAGCGCGAACAGGTTCGGTTGTTCGCATTTCGTTGACCTTTCTGGTTAGATTATCAACCGCGCTTCCGTTGGTTTGTTGGCCTCCAACTGGAGGGAGTTTGGCCATTGCAGCAGCAACAGCGGCAGTCGCAGCTTGTGTGGCATCCCTTAAACTCGCGGAAGTATCATTCTGTTTTGGAACTGCAGATGCAGTGGTGTTTTGTAATGGAGCTTTGGTTACTGCAGGACTAGCTAATGGGATTGCTGGTTGAACGCGACCGCCGCTTCTAGGTCCACTCGGGGTAGCTCGAGCAGCGGGAGGAACTATAGGCTGAGATTGTTTCGTGGTACTTGCATCTACCTCGCTTGGGGAGGTCTTAGAAGGAGGTGGTGTCGCTTGCTTGGGAGCTGGTCCAGCATCGTTTCCAGCACCAGGAGCTTGAACATCTGCTGGTTTGTCTGTTGAGTTTGTGGAGGTAGGAGTTTGTTGTTTGTTCGCACCAGGTCCGATTGGCGATGGCTTTTGTTGCTGATTCTGCTGTTGGAAGTGCTGACCAGGGGGTGGGAAACCATAGCCCGGAGGAGGGGGAAATTGGCCAGGGTGTTGAGGGAAGCCATGTCCAGGTGGGGGGTACCAGCCTGGCGGGCCACCAAATGGCGACATTCCTGGAAACCCTGGACCAGGAGGAGCTCCTCTACCCCATCCTGCAGGCGGAGGAGGATAAAATCCAGGAGGTGGGTATTGTCCAAAAGGAGCCATGCCTGGGGGTGGCCCTTGTTGCTGGGGAGCATTCTGTCCTTGCGGTGGAGGTCCCCGAGGATTTTGATTTTGAGGAGTAGGGGGTCCCGGCGCGGATGTGGGAGCTGGACGAGTTCCGCTCTATGATAAGTAATCTTGTTAGCCAAAATGCTACGAAGGTCAAGCAACGAATGTATGATTGGAGTGTCTAAATCAGAAGGAAGGCAACGGAAAATCTCCACACGGTTTTGCGCTCTCGGAGACAATATGATTTAACATCCGAAGTATTTCATCACTAGAAGGAAGTCGAGAAGTGGCACCAAGAATCACTTGGTGCGCTACTCAAAAATGATAGTTCACTTACTCCGAGAATCGCAGGATCGTTGGGCACCTGTGGTGGGATGCTTTCTCTGGGCGCAGGCGCTTCCTCAATACGTAGATCCTTTACATCACCACCACGGAAGACAATGTACTCGTAAATGTTATCCGAAGCCGCAATCTCCTCATCTGGGTTGTCCTTTCGCCCTTCTGTTCCATGAGACTTGACATTTTCCAAGGCCACCGTTGCGTTTTCCGAGTTAATCTCATGAAGTGTACCGACGTATCTTAACTCGCGTTAATACTTGGCCCAATATGACTTAACCATCGTAAATACCTAATATCGCTCTTTGATACCAAGGAAATCCTTGATCTATAAACGCGCCTTTGTCAGTATGTGATGTAGAGTGTGGAAGAAGATCTTCCAGTTTCAGCCTTGGAACTCACCCTATGAATTCAGACATGATGCCTTGTTAAACTGCGATCAGCTCACAGCCCACGGCTAGCTGTAGAGTAAAGAAAAAACGAGTAAAATCAAAAGAAAGAATGAGTATGTTCGATGTCGGGCAATTGAGATGTATGATGTTGAAGATGTGTTGGAGGGAGAGTTGTTTAATGTTGGGTGTTACTTTTGTGGAGGGCATGAGTGTTATTCTGGCGAAAAGCTTAAAGCTAAGGTGCGGTGCGGCAAGGAAGCGCTCGCTTGAACTCTGTTCCTGTTTCGGTATAGGACCCGTCCCAAAGCTCCAGCTATCGACGGAATTATGTAATATGATTGGTTAGATCTATCAATTACGGCGTGGCATATGGCAGCTTGGTTATTCACTACGGTTAGTCAAACGAACCTATAGAACACCTTAACCCACCATCCATCTAGGATTATCTCAGCCTTATTACAACCACCTACGTGACCCCACCTCACCCACCTCATCATCCTCATCATCCTCATCATCCTCATCATCAACTACTTGTATTATTACGATTCATTCATCTCTATAAATTGAATCTAAGAGCTACATCCTGCCAAGAGCTAACTAGGTATTCTTAACTAAAACCTCTGAATCCTTCCCATACATTTCAACATTATCAAACACATCAACGATTTACCTCATTAATATCACAATACCACGACACCACGACACCCCACCATCTTTGATTCTCTTCGCCTTATAGCCACCATCTAATAAGACTGCCTCGCCAACATCGCGATTTACCACTACAATTTCTATGTTACACCGTAAATTTCTTTCCACTAGAAGCTTTTTATCCTTTCTCTCTTGATCATCATCTTATCTTGTTCTTCCAAATGGCGACAGAGACTTCAGATCAATCAGGAAGCAGTGATATCAGCATTTACAAGGATCTTGCATCATATCCATGGGATACCGATAAAGAGTTCCAGGTAAACCTTTTGCTATCTTCTTTCAACCCCTCCTTCATTTGCCCTCGATACGTCGTTCAAAGTTACAAACTCTGGTACATCATCGATTAACATACAACAGGGTGGTCTATCAGCTATATTAGGCAATGCATCTTTACCTGAACAAATTCGAGAACTGACGCTTCGGGCTCAGTGTTTCTATTTCTCTCGCAAGAAGAAGATTGACATCAATTTTGATGGATATAAGGCATATCTGGCGACTCATCCATCCACATCTTCTTCTACTGATGCCCCTGCGCCTGATAGCGCCAGTTCAGTGAATGATACTTCATCTTTCACCACTCCAAATTTCGACCATGAGAATGACCTACCACCTGCTACCACTACAGCTGATGAAAAGGCCCCGCCACCATATCCTCCATCTTTTGCTGAAATCGTCGCTTTAATCACAGCTGGTGCCACAATCCCGGGAATCCGTGATATCCCCGATACGGTTCTGACGGATCAGGGTACCAAGCCAGTTGCACGAAAGCGTCGGAAGCCATGGGAGAAAGACGTTGACGAGGAAACAATTCAGGGTGGGGGAACTTTTGGCGACCATCGAGATACCATTATCCAGCAAGAATATCCAACTGATGTATAAGAATATCTATTTGCAGTGGGGTCACGTCTTCTCACAAATTCTTGCCATTTTCAAATATTATGAGAACAGCAATTTCCAAGGACCGATTACTTTGTGAAAGCAGCCAGGCATTGATTGAGCCTCTTCAATTGTTACCTTCCTTCTCGTTTATATGACAAAAGACCGTGGACATCAGGTGGCTTCATCAAGCCAGAAGCCCGCAAACTAAAACTTTGTCATGTTGCTCAAATGAAAGCTATTGTAGTTTTGATCTGTTCTATGGATTTCTTTGATGCACGCGGGGTTGTTCTAAAATCGCTGCTCACGTTACTTTCCGAGCTTGAAAGAATTGCCAGATCTCTTCAAGGCAACCCCTTTCTGCGTTCTAGTGAACCCTATGTTGCCAGTCGAAGAGTGCGGTATGTTTAATAGCCCCAAAACTTCGCGCAATCATTGTATTGGGCAGGACTGTATGGGAATCTAAAGATTCATAATAAGCCAGGATCAGAATACACCGTTGTGTCGGAATTCATTTAATAGCTTTCTGGGGCTGAACAAACGATTTTGGACGAATCTTCATCCTTCAATTTACAATCGAATTATTTTAAAATAGCACCTAGAATTAATCTTTCAATTATGACAAACCGTCTTCTCTCCCCAGGTTATATCTTTTGAATTAATATTTGAGAGCTATCTGATGAAATTTATGGTTAGAAGGTTATTGAACATGACGAATTAATACAAATTTGAACCAATCATCATTTTCGGGACAGCGGTCATTAGATGATGTCATCTAACACCTTCAAGGATTTTTATTTTCTATTTTGAATATCTTGCAAGCTTTGAAATCCACTTAAAACATTGAGTTTTTGCCGACTTCACCTCCCAGTGTAGATCGTTTGCAATGTACATTCTCATGTCATTAATTATTTTGCTATAATAAGACGTCTGCAATTGTGATTGTAAATTGAGGGGATGATAAAAAGATTCCGCATGCTAGATCTGCAAGCGGTTGCCAAGCACTATCGTTTATCACCCTGCTAAGGACCTCAATTAGCAAGCACAAGTATGTATCTGGTGTTCTAAATCGTTCTATTGTTATTTCATAGTCATCTGCCATTAGGCAAACCTTATTTTCGAACCATTTTCTCTTATAGTAAGGGAGTCTCACTTCGGTCATTGTCTTCCAAGATTGTGTTTCAGATGACTAATCTTGATTTCTACTTGTCTAATATTCACCCTCACAGTCTACGAAAAACTGCTCTTATTACCCATTATCCTCATTAGAATTAAGAGGACCTTTTTAAGTCCTGCCTATCTACTTGAATAACATGCTCTTGATAAATTCTTGACTTCCCAGCCTACAAAATCAAATTTGACAAGAATCAAAAGCACACACAACGACTCCAAATCCATTTACCATTCTTGCATATACTAGTTTTGCCATTCCTTTTATCTCTACAATATGAAGGTCCTTTTGTTCGTCTCTGCACTTGTTGCATTCATCACACCTGTGCTAGCTGGAACGGTTCCTCTCGAATCCAGGCAATCCATTGTCGGATTGTGGGGAAAATCAACCGATATTCCCGTTCTATATTGCTACAGTAAGTAATGAATGCCTAAGTTCTGAATGAGTTTATTTCATTTCAGGAAACTTGCATGTCTGGACTTTAGTTAACCAATATCGTAGTGGATGCTGCCTGCATGCAAATGCGAGAGCATTGGCAATCGTATCAAGTGGATCTTTTCGAAGACGTCAATGCACCCATCGGCAATCCCACTGCTCGCAATGAATTAGTAGCAAGCTGTCTTTGCAACGCCGGCATGCCTGACTTAACATCCGAATGTCTTGCCTGCATCAGTCTTGCTAGCCAAAATTTCTTGGTCCAGGAAACTTTGCATACGCTTGCGCAAGATGTGTGTGATAAGAAGACTACTCTTGGTCAATATGAAAATTATGCTTTGAAATTCGGTGCCGCAGTGCAGTTTCCTCTTATCTTGCCATCGCTTTGGCTTAATGGCACTAAGGTTTCGTCTCCGGATCAAATTGTTGTCGAGGAGTGAAATTTTTGGTCGTGTTCGTGAGTACATCTTACAGTCCATCAAGCGTTCACAGTTTGATGTGTTCTCCGTCGTGACTATTTACTAATGAGTGTAGAATTCGATAACTTCCTGGTGGAGATCGATTTGAGCATGCGGGAAGAATGGGCGCGCTCGTGGAGTGCAGGTCTATTATGAAGGATCCATTTCCTGGATCCGTCCTTGAAATTGCGATGTAGTCCAGGAATTCGGCGGTGCTATTTACCTGGGGAAATGTCATTTTTCAAATTTAACGAATTGATTTGATGGTTTTTTTTTAAGTATTCATTTTGAATTCATAATGAAATGGCTTCACGTTTATGCTTATAGTTGCTACATTTGAATCCAGTTCTTGCGGCTATGACTACTATGTATATCGCGCTGGGGAGAGACCCCACCAAAAGGATAATATACACAGCACAGCACAGATACTTGCTGCTGCAAGGCTACATGTTTCGTTCCTCATACTCATGATACTTATTTGCGTTGCATCAGAAACCCCTCGCCATTATATTTGCTGCTACCACGGGATAACTTGTAACACTTCAGGCTTCCTAAAGATCTCGTATAATTGATTCATGCATATCACTATCACAGGAAGAAGCCTTTTCAACGAAACCTTATTATTTGGCAGGATTTTTCGTGGACACAAATAACTATCGAAACCTTTTCCAATGTGACGATAACTCAGATCAATTAAATACAGAAACTTTTATAGCCGCAGCCATAGCCCAACTTCCTCGTCTGCTAGACAATCCATAGTACGAGATAACCCCGTTTTTTGTACAAATATATCCTAGCACCAAGACCCAATTTCCTATTCCTCGATCCAATCCTCTATTCTGATTGTAGGAATGATATCTCTTTCGCCTCTGGACGTACTCAGACCCGCAGTGACCACTTGAATAAATGGTATTTCCCATCTTTCTACTTCGCTTGGATCTTTCCAGGGAGAAACAGAGACTAGTTTGACACCCATTAGTTAGCTGGATATTCACAAGTCCTAATTAATCTTCGTCATGTTTTGATGTAGTAGAAGTACTCACAACCTCGGTTCCCAGCTTCAATAGCCCGCGATTTGATAAAGTCGAGTATCAGCCATGCATCGGATGCCAGTCGTCTTGCTGACCAGTATTCAGTATGTAGTTCTACTTCTGGCGACGCAACTGGTTTGCCTAATACCTTTCTCCAATACCGAGAGAGAGATTTCCGGGATTTCACAGAGACATCATGGGGAACACTTGAAACCATTCGAATTTTCTCTGGGGCATAGAAATGTATCTCGCCATTATAAATTGGTCTCTCCGGTACCACATCTTCGACTTCTAGTACCAACATGATGCCCTGAATATTTGCAAACGTCGAGATGATGCAGCTGAGGAAACTTAGCATGTCTTCGAGGTCGAAAAGAGATTTTCGTCTTGTTCTGTATGGAATGGCGAGATATTTCAGATTATGGAAAGCTGAGCGAGCAAGTGCTGATCTTCGTAGTTCGTCGAGCCAAAAGTCTCCTTGGATCCAGATGATATCTTCAGGGTTGTAAATTATGTTTCTGTACGTGCGCGTTGAATATATGGGAAACGCACTGGGAGATCCATCAGTGAATGAATCACGTAAAGCGGTATTGCGTTCCTCATTAGCAATTATCTTTAATGCATCCTCGATGCTCAAAGTTGTGCGCGATCTTGTCATTCCTGGCTTGGTGAACCTATCAAGAAATATGTTCCGGTATTCATGGTTGAGACATAGGATTGGGGGCAAGGAACCGCATGTAAGACGAAAGCGCTTTCCATACATGTGGTCATGATGTAGGAGATCGGATGAAACGAAATTCAATGTTGTAATGCGTGGTTCTTCGAGGTACAATTCCAAAATGTCGAGCTGTTGAGATGCACAAGTGTCAGTTGTTTTTCATTAAGGAAGTCTTGTGGAGTACAAGTAGATATTAGCAAAGAGACACTTACTCTAAGTTCAATTGGCAAGTCTTGAAATCTATTGAACGTTCTTTCTTCTTCCTCTTCATCCCATGGCTCACCGTCATGAAGAACTTTTCCATTACCTTTTGATTCGCCAGCATTCGTGGTATTTGTGGCAAACTCATGATTCAATGAAGAACTAGAAACCTTTGAAAATAAATGCTTCGAGACGGCCTTAATTTTGTAGAAAAAGAGACGATTCCTGTGAGGTTTTTCCGTTCCAGTCGAAGCTTGCTGGTGCCCATGGACAATAGCATGATCTGTCACAGCTGTTGATATTCTTTCGAGCCGCTTTCTTTGAAACTCAGTAATAAATCGAAGCATCCTGGAAATCAAGCAAGAAAATAATATTCATGGGAGTCTGATTTTGCAATTTTGTTATGTAGGTAGCAAGTTTTGTGACTTCAACTCCGTGGATGGAATAGCCAAGGAAGTATGCCCAAAACAGTTAGTGCGTGCAGACAAACTTAGCCATCATATTCACTCGAGTGGATACTTACTTTTCCTAGATTTGATGAGAATCAAAAAGATACACAGTTCACGATTGATTGTATTGATAACAAAGTGGGATGAGAGTCAAAGAATCCCCCTCCCCCCGCATCTGAATCAACCCGCTTCTTTATTCCGTATTGCTCAAGATGATAGCAGCCGGTTTTCACACTCTCATGAAGTGGGTATTAATCTTCAAATCAACATTAAAAATACTTGAAGCGAATTAGTGGCTTTCAATCAAGACCATATCTAAGGGAACATCTTGAATCACTTCACTGCCAAGCTACATAGAAAGCAATGTAAGCTTTTGGCGAGCATGGTCGTGAAGCTAGCGATCTTTGATAAGAATCCCGGTCTCAACGCAAGTGAACTCATACAAGTTCGCTGAACGTTGCTCCAAAATAAAACATAAAACAAGTTCGTCTCTCAATAGAGCTCATAGAGAACTCTTAGAGTGCACATGAGGTTCAGAGTCGTTCTACTTCAAAATTCACGACCTCTTGGCGTCCGTCCAGTAGAGTAGACAATAAACCATCTATCCAATACTGCACTCATTTAATCCCATGCCATGTTAGACTTCAAGGACCAGCCAAAACATCCGACAAGCATTTCAAAGTCATTGTCTACAATGGAATAGCCAGATCATCGAGTATTGGGAACTTTTCCGAGGTACAATTCATTGCTAGTCAAGCTCAATAACGGGTGCTGGTGGTGTCCATATCTGCTTATTCAATCCATAAATTTGATGACATCACCCAGTTCTTCGTTCCGACATGCCATGAACTTCTTTATCAATTAGCATCACTGACTGCCTAAAACTAAAGATTTTAAATAAAGGGCAAGTTTCCATTGAGAATAAACTACTTATGATAAAGCTCCAATAGATTTCTAGTACTAAATACACGCTGTAGCCACGGATCGTAGCAAGAGTAGGCAGAGAAATATTTAGAACAGTCACGCTCGAACGCTGGATAGCCAACTCGATTTTTGTGGGCCAGCGACATGATTATGTCGCTTTCAATTGCTCTATTGAAAGACATGACTAATTCGATTTCTGGCCACTTCTCTTCGGCTTGCTGTACCGCTCGTCGTTCTTATGGTACCCTTGATATCTGCTGGAGCACGATGTACATCGAAAGTCAAAGTGTCCTAATGGAAGAGATATTAGAGAGCTTATGATGCCTGGAAATATTTAGTATTTGATCATCAACCACTAGGTTACAGTTCAAACCTTACATGCCTGGAACTCTCCAACTTGCTCAAAATAGAAGTCCTGCAACGGCAATTTACTTTCTTACATGTCTCTTCAAAGCTGATTTGAAATCAGCATATCGCTGGGGATTCTCAATTGTTCCGCCAGCCGATAGTGTCGTTCTCTCCACCGTTATAGCCCGCTTTCCAATACCTTCCCTACCTAGGTACCTACATTAGAAACCGCTCGCTTACGAGGAGACACTATCTTTTGCCTTCCAGTCTGCATTTCAGGGGCTTTCCCCATGGCGGCAATCGATTTGGCCCCTATAGCCTTCCCTCCACTTGTGGTTGAAGACACATCTGTGCGGGGTCGTTTCAAACTTATTAAAGCTAAATCATGCTGTTCAGTAGCTCCACTAGCATTACTTGACTGTTGAACTTGGGTGACCTTCTCAGTCTCAAGCTGCTTTTCAAGCAGATCATTAACCTTGATCACGAATGTCAACTCCTCCCAAGTCCCATATTCCTGTGATATATTAACATGAATCTACAAGGAGTTAGGGCTCAAAACCCACATCAATATTATTTGCTCGTAGCACTTGAAGCGCGTGTTTCCCAAAACATTCCACGGCCCGGTCTCTCGCCTTCTACACAACATCAGCCAATGGCAAACTCAGTGTAATGTATATGTACTTTTGTTATGTCAGATTTGCGAGGAGCCAATCCATGATATTCAATCGCATGATTTCTGATGCAATGAGCCAAAATATTCTTAGGGCCGACTCTTTTCTAATTTATCATTGATTAGCTATAATTTGGGGCGTCTTTGTCGGGGCATACCGTGAGTTTACATAGACTCCCATCCTTATTAAGCGCACGACAAAAAATTTCGCCTTTAGGTATATAATATCCTCTTCCACTTCTTTTCGACTTTTCATCTATCCAATCTTCCATCTCCCATGCCGTCATTTCCTTCGGACGGATAGTGAATTGGTCATACAGCTGGCCCAAACTGAAGTTCATTATATCTGATTGTTAATCAACGCTATGTGAGTCACTGCTAAGGGTCGGTATTATGGCTTTGCACTCGTATTTAGACTTGGAAGTGGATTTGATATGGTGGGTAGGGCTATGAAGCACTGAGAATTGAGGTTTTGAATGTAGGCGATAAGAAGTCTAAGGATAGAATTGTCGATTACTGACAGACCAATATGATGTTGATCAGAAGAATGTTTTATTTAATCAATAAAGTGATGCAAAGTGTTGTATTAGTTGGAAGAATAAGAACGGGAAGTAGCATGACCATGTGAAATCTGTATTATTCTCTCCTAAAACACGGAAGGAAACACCATCGCTTAGGTAGCAAAAGTCTTTCCAAGCAAGCATCTTTATTGTTCTTTCCATTGATAGCTATGTGTAGGAATGGGTATCAAACCGAGGTATGGAATGCCACAAATCCTCTTGGATCAGTAAATTACATGTTTCCAAGCTTCCAAGATGATTGATCTAAGAAAGACTGATATTTTTTCTCTGAAATACGTTTAGACCCCTGAATACATATAACGCTTTTAGAATTAAACCATGAGTAGAAAAGATGAGATTATCTCTTCTGAAAGGCTTGAGATTTATAAAATACATGAAGGTTCCACTCAATATAAAAGAGAAACACAAACGACAGAATAATTTCGTGCTAATCGATTGAATTGATGCTTTTCGTAGTCTATTCTTCATTCATATTATACTACCAAAGTTCTCAGGTCCTGATATGCAATCTTATGCTAACATATCGTAATATCCACTTAGCTGACATTTATTTCCTCAAGTTACTTATATGTAGTAGCGGCTAAATTTTTTACAGATGGTACAGTCCATTTTCGAAGTAATTCTGTTACCTGTGGAATCTCTCTCGGATCTGCTTATTTCATGGTTAGCAAAATAGGTTGAATTTTCGGCTTAGAAAAATGGAAGATAGCTCACGATTCAACATCTCAGCACGTATCTTGTCATCGCGAAGAGCGTAGTAAAGATCATCCGCTGTAATAGTCTTAGTCGAATTCGATATTTTTTGTACTGTCTCATGTTTCCGCATGAAAGGGGACTTCAATGAGTGCTTCAAAGAACAGGCCAAGGTGTACCAGTGATCTAGCTTCCATTCCCCGTAGATTGTACCAACTATAAATTCTTCGCACATGGAAAGAGTTGTTGGTGAATAGTTGGTAACAGCGCAGTGTTTTGAGAAGCTTTCTGGCAAGAGGTTTATAAAGGTAATCTCGTCGGGTAAACCAGGAGTTGTAAGATCATGGTAGTCCATAATGACAATTAATTCCCGCAACTCTTTAAAGAAATAAGCAAGAACGGTAGATAAGCCATGAAGATTTTCCCTGTCCATGAGAGCGTCTCGAGATGATAGGGTAATGGCTAAACTTTGGACCATCCACTTATCACGATAAAGAGTTCCGAGGCAGCTCATGTAGGTTGGCACTAACCAAAAGTCGATTTCGCGCAGCCAAAGTGTATCATTGGCGGCATTATATATGGTCTTTGGTATTCTTCTGGATCCACTAGTACAACCGCTGTAACGAGCTAAATGTCTTTGAATTGCTTGTTGACGAGTCAGACGATTGACGTAAAGCTGAGGATGTCGTGGATCACTATAGAAGAGCGAACATGATCGCGGGACGAGGAACTATGTTCCATATTATTGAATGAAACGGAAACAATTCTTGGAGCCTCGAGTGCGTAGTTCCATATTTTCAGCTAGACTTTTGTTAGTTTTCTTCGCTTCCGTGGCTCATGACATCTATATAGTTCCTACTGCGATCATATTTACTTACTTTTATCTCCGTTGGAAACCACTCAAATAAACCAAATTCCCCCCCCATTGGTGATCACCGTAACTCTTTTTCCTGCGACAGTGATATTGAATCGATTTTTAGAATCGATTTTTTTCGCACCAATCATGCCGGCTAGAAGTGTTTGTACAGACTGGAGGCCAACATTATTGATTGCAGAAAGAAATAGATATTTTCTTTTCGAAATTGATTCTGGTTTGGTTTCCGAAAGCTCTGGATCTTTGTTGTCAGACATGGAGACAGTAAAATCGGGCGAAATTTGAGGGCAAAACTCGGGAGGTGAGAACTTTGCCGGTTTGATATGGCTATGCGGTTGCAAAATGTCATTAAAGATCCTCCGAAGATCAGTGAGAAAGCCGAAGTAGAGTTCCCTTTTAAGTAGCAATCGTTGATGATTATTCTTGAAGCGTTAATGGAGTTTCATGTGAGATCGATCGGTTTCCGAAATCGAACATGAAGATAAAGGCACGAAGTATGGAGTTACCCGAGGGTTCACAGGTAGCGTTGGGCATCAGACTATATTGTATTTCAACAAGCGCACGAGCACAGCAGGACAAGGACAATGTAGTGAATATCATGTATTGAACAGAATGAAATTTATGCTACTTATCAACATAATAGGTAAAGATTGTATTCTAGGATCAATCACATATAGAAGATTCCAGGATTGGATTGATTCTCAAGTACCTGGTTAGTCATGGAAATGCTTGCTACCAAATTTGACACAAATATTAAACTAGTTCTTGCTACAATTTCTACTTGAGGTCCTTCCAAGAGCAGAATTTTGAAATAAACAATCTTTTTCAATGTGAGATCTTACATTATTGTTAAAAATGTATCGATGATGAATGCTCTAGAAAAAAATTACAGGACTCAATTCATATCTTCACCATCTAACAAGAATTTGACAGTTAAAGACAATTAATCAATATCTCTTTCTGGCAAAGTGCTTCCATATATCATGATACTTGTGTTAATGAATCAAGTCTCCAAGACATGTAGTGCTTATACAGCGGTGTATATAATTCTGCTATTGATTGGTTCAAAATTCAAATTAGTCAAACAACTCATTTCAAATCGGTAACTTCACTCTTCTATCTTTCACTCATTTTACGCTAATCCAAAAAGAGATTGCTTATTGATCGGAGTAGGCACTCCTATCATCCATCATGTGTATATCTTTATAATTTTGTCTTTCATTCAAACCACAAGCCTGCCAGCTTTTTCAAACAACACATCTTACAACAGCAGTGACGACAACAACAAAATGACAGATCACACACCAGGTATTGTTTCCTCTCACAATGAACCTAGAGAAATGAAGCTTGAATACAAAATCGAGAAATGCTTAGGTTCTTCAAGTCACCCAAAAAAGGAAGTGGAAGAAGTAAATGATATCTCCAATGAACCTCTCAAGAGCAACATTTTGGACCTAATCAGGAGTTCAAAAAGTGATGCTTCACATGAAGATTCTCAAAGACTCGGAGATGGATGCACAGAGATCAAAGCAAGAAGTACACCTTTTGATGGAAAAATTCAGACTGCCAGCAGAAAGGAACGTTTTTATGAGCTGGTGACTGCAACTCCTCTTCATGGAATCACATCATCTACTCTAGATTATATCTACACAAAATTGGAGGATGAAAACTTGTCCAAAAGCTCTGAGCTTAATGACAACATCAAACAAGCCTTTTCTGCTTTGGAAGATGAACTCTTTGAAGATAAGGAACTGATGTTTGAGAACTTCCCCAAACTCCCTCTTGAAGTTAAAGTATGTTAAACATTTCAATGTGTCCTTTGGCTAGTTTAAAGACGACCTTGAAGTTATCGGGATTCCTGCTGATGTTTTCACAGATAATGATCTGGGAAAAGGCTCTCCTAAAACCAAAAGTTGTGCGCATCGGCATTGTGCCAACAGAACGCACGGTAGGAAACTGGGAATACAACGGTGGTGAACTTATGCAAATCGACAAGGACGTACCGATGCTACTCGAACGAAACCACTTTCTCAAGAGCCCCTCCTGTTCACTTCTCTCTGTCAATAAAGAATCTCGAGCTCAAGCATTACAAGTACATGGTGTATTTCGGGAACAGAGGCGCCCGTGTGCAGAAGCCGAGGACGGTTATGTTCCAATCAACCGCATATATGTCAATTGGGAGATCGATACTGTATGGTTGGATTACAACCTCTCCGTCGCGTACCGTGATAATAAAATGGATCCAAGCGACACTGAGATCACACCAATTCCGGCATACGAAGATATCCGTTGTCTTGCAGCACCTGCAGAATCTATCGAATGGTCTTCTGAATATCAAGTATCGGATACAGGTTTAGCAGTTGCAGATTTCCCAAATTTAGAGGACTTGATTTTGCTAGTTCCTACGAAAGAGACAGAATGGAGCAACCCAATTCTTGTCCCAACGGCACCAAACACGACATTCTTTATCTATCTCGAAGAATTCGATATGGATCACTTGGTTCGGGTCTCGAGTTTTTTATCGGCGAAGATGAATACGACATTGCTATGGAGAATTTCGATATGGGTGAATTGACAGAATGTGTATATTATGTCTTTCAGCACGCTTTTGATAATTTCTTTTCTTCAGATAGAGAGGAAGACATCGCAGGTAAATCCAACGTCTCAGAAATGTTAAATTACGTAACTAACTACTCTTACCAGCGGGACATATACGTGATCTTTCCACCTGGAATATGCCAGACGTTCATTACATGAAAGTAAGCACAATTGAGGAGGAGAACGTCAAAGTTAAAGCTAAGGCTCTACTTGAGGTTTTGCCAGCAGAGGTTTATGAAGTAGACGAAGAAGATACAAACGGACGACGCCGTGGTGTCAACAATCTTAGGGAAGGCATAATAATTGCGCGAGAGTGGCGGTTGAAGGACTTCTTGAACAGGTAGAAATCTTCAGTCGAAGAAAGACTAGCATCTTGATTGAGTTTCCCAAGCTAGACTTGCAATAAGGAATGTTTTATGATTTTTCAATAAATGGATGATATAAATGATAGTAAAATTTGACACTATGTGGTGCTTTTATAAACTATACTAGTACAAATCAGAAAGCTCAATACTCATTCTTCACGAAATATACATGAAATCCTTGAACGGGAAAAGGAAACGGCAGAGCTGATGTCCCGACTTCCGGTCCAAAAGGATACCTAGTTTACTACTAATGTGAGAGATTCGAACAACGTAAGCAGAGTTTAAAAATTGATATCAGGCGAAATGCTCTCCTATTCTTCCATACCTTCCAAGTCATGCCTCTCTGTTAATTATTCCACTCAACTTTTTTCTCTCACAGCACCTATCACCTGCAAAACCAAGGCAAAAGATAATTTCAGTATCACTAATGTTACATTTAGATTGATGAAGTAATGAATGATACTTGATATCATTAATTTACATATTGTACAAACTTTGGTAGCTTCAGGCAGCTGACTCATAAAGATTTCCGAATTCCATCAGAATCTTTGACCAAAGATTACGCCTGTGGATAATCACAATAACTGACAGGTAAATAGAGTACACCAACAATTTCAAAATGTACCCCCAAAAGCCTTAATCGTAAAAACATCTATCTTCGCGGATCCCGTTGATCATCCCGGCTTCGGTAATATTGTTGTTCTCTTTCCCTTTCCTGTCTCTCTCTTTCACGTTCTCTCTCATAGTGGTGCTCATAGCGCTCTTGATTTTGTTGTTGTTGATATTGCATATGGTGGGAAGGTGCTTGGGCATAACCTTGCTGACCTGAAACTGATATAGATGGAGCAGCATTATAGTTCCGGGCATCAAAGCTATTTTGTCGTGAATTGTGCACATGATGACCTACTTGATGACCTTGAATCCATTGGCCACGTGGTGCTGGTGGAGTTCGATGTCCACTTTGTCCACTTTGTCCGAATGCCATAGATCGATGACTGGCTGCCACTTGAGGTGCTGAATGGAAGTCTACCGGTGTATTCGGTTGTTGTGGCACGGCGAATTGTGATTGACGATTATATATATCACGATCGGAAGCTTGAGGCAAGTCATGAGGGGACGACATTGTCTGTCGTGCCATCTGTTGACTAGCAGGAGGTGGAGTAGCAGAATAAGGTGATTCATTAAGCTTCGTAATTGGACTTCGTGTATATCCGCTCGGAGCATTTATTTCGTTCAAAGGCTCTCGACGGATAGATGAAGACTGTGAGCCAATTGTTTGGCGAGAGGGTTGCGAATACATCTGGTGATGTTGTACAGTTGGTGGGGGTGCATGACTTCGGCCTTCATAAGGTGTTGGTGTGTAACTGCGACCCACGGAGGATGAATGTTGATGCACAGATTGAGAAGATGGTTGTGGATACCCATGCTGTGGATTTGTTTGAGAAGATATTTGATGTTGAGCTTGCTGCATCTGCTGATTTTGTTGAATTTGCTGGGATATTTGTTGCGACTGTTGAGATGAATGCGATGAAAATCGTGAAGTCTGTAATGAACGTTGAGGTGGTGGAGTTTGTGAATTTTGAATGGGAATTGCCGCGGCACCACCAACTCTCTTCGGCTGGACTTGTGCTATGGGCGGAGCTCTGCTAGGTTCACTGGATTCATCGTTCAACAAGGACATGATATTGGAAGTCTTTCTTGGTGTGTCTTGCTGACGTATAGCAGCAACAGCCGCTGGTGGAGGCGGTGGTGTTGAATACTGCTCTTGGATTGGCGGGGTAACAATGCCCGAACGACCGAAAGCTGGAGAGGGAGATGGAATCAAGTTTGGAGCAACACTCATACCATCACTAAGCAAATTCCTGACACCTTGACTTCTCGGGTATTGTTGGTTTGGTGCTAAAGATGGTGCTTGTCTTCGGACCTCCGTTGCGGTGGCTGTCGGATATGGAACCTCAGGTCTTGTAGGTGCCATTGATCCTGTACGGCTAGAGTGTGCAGAGTATAGTTCATATTGTTGTGGATTTCGGACATCGATTTCCTCTTGCTTCATCTGAAAATTCCGTTGTTCTCGCTTTTCTTTTCGATCTTGTTGTTCTCTTTGTTCACGCTGCTCATGATCACGCTCTTGTTTTCTCTTCAAAGTTCGTTCTAGCTGTTCTTGTTTTGACTCCCTTTCCCTTTGTAGCTGTTGCTGTCGCTCGATAGCCTCCATTTCCCTTATCTGCTCTCGTCTTTGGAACACCTGCTGTTGCTCACGATGTGTCTGTTCTCGCAAAGCCTGCTGCTCTCGAAGGGCTTGTTCTCGCTCTCGAATCGCTTGCTCTCGAATAGCTTGTTCTCGAATAGCCTGCTGCTCTCGTCTGGCCTGATCTTGTAAAGCTAGACGTTTTATGGCTTGTTGCTGTTCCTGTGACATCCGTTCTACCTCATGCTCGAGAGCCTTCTGCCTCTCGCGATGGGCTTCCTCAGCGACCCGGGCTGATCTTTGAGAAGCAAGTGTAGTTGGATCGGAAATTGGTGAAGCTGTTTGAGATTGCTGTGAAAGATTACTCTGTAATGTGGGACGTTGATTATCAGTCGTGAAGAAGCCCATAGCAGGACCTCTTGGTTGTCTAACTTGCTGACTCTGAATTTGTTGTGGTTGTGGTTGTATCTGAGAGGCTGGTGCTGATGGTGATGCTGATATCGGTTGCTGCTGTTGCGGAATCTGAGATAAGCTGTGTTGATTAGCCTGATGATGGGAGCGTTTGGATGGTAAGGAACTAGGAGTTATCGTTTGATTCATTGATTGGGGAACTGGTCCAGCTTGGGCTAAAGCTGGGAACCTAGTACTCAATGTGGGTTGAGGAGGAGAGGCTTGGGAAAGAGTTATGGGTTGGTTAGCAGATAGTTCATCAAGATCCATAGCAGAAGCTGATCTTGATAGAGGAGCGGGTGTGGGGTCATATCGTCGCTTCGTCGGAGCAGTTGGTGTTGGTGCGGGTCCAGTAGATTCGCCTCTCTCACGTTTCGAGTCAGCATCTCGAGTGATCGTTTCCCATTCTTTCTTACTTCCAGAATCAACCGATCGTTGGTAGTAGTTCTTGACCTGTTCAGCAATGTTAGCCAGCCGCTTAAGGCCTGGTTTTCCTTTCTTGATATCAAGCCAATCAGAAAATATATCGTTATATACCATGGTATGTGTTTTTGTTCCCATATGTTTTGCAATCCCTTGCCAATCCGTACCAAAATGACGTAGTAATTCAGGAAAGTCATGAACCTCCGGGACGCTCCAATAGCTGGAGGTTTGTTGTTGGGCAGTAGAACGACGATCCGGTTGAGGTTCAACAGTTGTTGGAGGAGCAGATCCAACACGTTCAGGTGCGATTGGAACCTCTAGATTAGCTGGTGTAAGTCTTTCAGGTGTCATGAATGGTGGTGAAAATGCCGGAAGTGGTTGAGGAACAATACTATCATATGGAGGGAAACGAGCAGGAGCTACAGGAGGTCTAATCGGAGTAGGCTCGGGTGCAGCGGTTGATGGAGGAGGATTTGGCGATTCATCGTTACGGGTAGCAGGAGATGGGGCAGCTGCTAGAAGTTGACTAGCCTTGGGTTGTTTCGGAACCTTCTCTCGTGGAACCTTTACTTTCCTTTTGGGTGGAGCTGAGTCACCATTTGCATCTCCTTTTGGGGTAGCAACTCTTTTCGCTGGGGTGGGTGCAGGGCTGGCGCCTTCATTATCAGTTGGTGGAGGTGCTTCAAAATTCCAGGTTGGAGCAGCAGCTCTTCTAGGTCGACGTCTTTCGTTGCCATTTTCGACATCTGGTGTAGCGTCGGTGTCGTTGCCACCTCCATTTTCTATGTTGGTAATGAGAACGCTAGATTTTTTCGCCCCTTTCCTCCTACCAGTTTTAACTTGATTATTTTTCTTCTTGAAGATCGCTTTCCATTCATCAGTTGTTTTGATAATGTAATAGTGCTGAATGCAGGCCTTGTAATCACGATATGGAAGGCTTTCTGCGATAACAGAAAATTGCTTGCCATTCTGAGAGTACTTCTCTCGAAAAATCCGAGCCTCTTCTTCCGTGAAATTGTCGATGGATTCTCCAAATTCAAGCATACGAAATGATCGCTCAAATGGAACCTTATGCGTAGTATCTACAAACATAGTTTCTTTGTATTCATCATCCCAACACATATCTGGGATGCTTGCTTCCTTGGAGTTAGCGGTCTCTTCCCTGGCATCCTGTTCTTGCTGTTCCTTCGATTCTTTAGCTTCACGCTCAGATTCACGAAGGACACGTTCTATATCGTGCTCTGTCGCAAATCTACTCCCAGTGCGCCGCTGACCCTCTGTCTTCGGATCTGAACCATTTACCGATTTGCCTCGTTCGACCGATTCCTCGGCTTCCCTGTCTTGGGCTTTAGCAAATGCTTCTCTACTTCGCACAGCAATCGGATCCAGATCCATATCAGTAAATGTGCGGTATTTGGCATAATTGTCTGCCCACAGTTTCCCTTCTTCTTGCTGTCTTCTCCATTTCTGCGCCATTTTTTCTTCCATGAACCTCGTAAGAGAAGGTTCGGCATCAGGAGCAATTTCAAGAGAGCTCAAAAACTCCGGGTCCTCGTCCCATTTATTATAATCATACATTGGCAAAGATTCCGGAGGGGGTGTCTTTGTATCCCTGGGGTGCTTGACAGCGTCGAGAATCTTAGACTGGCGATCCTCTTCGAGGGCGGCTTCTTGTTGAACAAGCTTTTGTCGTAAAAGTTGGAATCCGGCTTGTTCAGCTTCATCTTCATCATCATCACTTTCTTCGGGGATCTCCATCGTTAGTTCTGGGGCCTGCGGTACTGGTGAAGGCATCTTTTGTGGTCCAAAATCATAATGACCGTCTTGTTCTTTTTGAATACGGCGAACATCTTCTCCGGAATTGCTCATGTCATTAACTGCCTCCTGGTTGACGGATTCGTTGTTTTCAAACGTCTCTGTACCCTCCATCTGATGATCACCATCTGCATCTTTATCCATTGATCTTTGTACTGGAGCCTGAGTCCTGGGACTGATTAATGAATCGTCTTCAGGTGCTTGAGCATCTGGGAGAATCTCGGTATCGATGGTTCCTAGAGATAATGGGAATTTGTAAACTGGATCGGCTTCTGACTTTCTATCTGTCTCAGCAGCTGATCCTGACACTTCGTTTGACACAGGCGGTTCTATATCCGTAGATGTCTCTACAAGTTTTTTGTCGTCAAGAGGCTCCAAGACACGCTCGGAATGGTCCTTTGATAACGAAGAGGAAGGCGGTCTCTCTGAGCTAGAGAAGTTCGCATCAGCATGTTGAAGCTCCACGCTAGGGAGATCTTGGAAGTCGTTGTTGGAGGTGTTGTTTTCAAGATCAGTTCCCGGTAATAGTGATGACTCGGTCGTAGAAGGTTGGGGTTCTGTGAGCTCAATGGTAGCAGGTTGAATGTCGGATGATGCAGTATCTTTAGATACTGCATCCTTTGGCGAGTTTTCTTCTGACACGCCAGCTTTAGAGAGACTATCGTTAGTGGGCCGGTCCTTGGAGCTCTCAGCATCTGCTCTTGTGACTGTGGAATGGAGATTATCACCATTGGTCTCGGTGGGTTTGGTGGGGGTGCGAGACTCTTCAGGTGATTGATTTCTTTCAATAGGCAATGGGGCAGGATGGATCGCTGGCGCTAAGGCTGCTTCCTTGGTGATAGAATCCTTTGTAATCAGATCAGTACTGGAATTGGAATCTTCGGTGACTGCAGTGGGTGGTGATTGTGGTTCCTCAGAGGGGATAGCTGGCTTTTCAGGGTCAGTAGATGGAGGTTGAGTTAAATGTCGATCCTGTTGTTCATTAATGCTCGATTCGATTGTCGCTGCTGGAATGGCTGGTTTCAGAAATGGTGAAGCTGGACTTTGAAGAACTTCATCGATAAAGGGCTTAGAATCGGATGAAATGTCTTTTGTCGGGTCCAACACTACGTCGGGCTCTTTCCGAGGCTCTGAGTGAGGTTCAAGCTCAGAAACAGATTTTTTCCCCCCCTCAGTCAGTGCGGAAGGCATATCGTTTGTGGATTCAGAGCCAATAGGTTCAGTCAAAGTATCCGGAACTTCTCTTGTATCTAATTGCAAAGGCAGATCTCTAAACGAATTGACAAGAAAGAACTGGTCAAGAGGAGGTAAGTCGGGTCTGTTGCGAGCATCGTTCATGCTACGCCTGACCTCCGCCAATTCACTCTCGAAATTGATCTCATCCTCGGGGTCATCATCATTGAAAGGGTCCAAATCGGAGTCGGAATAATCATCACTGATCTGTATTTTGGGCGGACGCCTACCGAACAAGGGCTTTCGCTGGCGACGTTTCTTGTCAACTCGTGTTACCTCATCAAATTTGTGTTCTGGTGTTGCGACGACTTGTGTGTCCGATCTATTAACTAGAGGGGGATTTTCAATGGACTGTGGAACTATAGATTTTGCTGGAACATAGAGACTGCCCGGAGCCCCACGACCGGCATGATAACGGGGCGCTGTTGGGACTGATACACCAGGTACAGGACTTTCACTGACCGATGCTCCCGTTGAACCAAATGCAGGAACTTGAGGAGGAGGGGCTTCATATGGTCAGCATCATACACAGAATACACATGTTGAAACATGCACAGAAACCAAATTGAAATACCAAGAACAGGAAAAGTAATTAAATCGTGAGACTTACTTGCGGATGGTTGAGTTCTACGTGGAAAATTCGGTTCAGGAGATCTACTGCGGACTTGGGGTCGATGATAATGTTCATCGTAGTTATAAGGTCGGCCACGTCCACGTGCTAATCCATTTCCTCTTGCTCTACCATAACCATGAACAAATGGTTGAGATGACTCGGACGAAGGCGAGGTAACAGACATCGGACCGTCTCGTGAGCCTCTTCGAGCACGATCGAGGTCCAAGCTTGAAGGTACGTCACGAGTATCTCTACTATTGTAATTAGGAGATCTCCCCCTGCCAAGAGGAGATGAAGGCCTTCGTCCTTTGAAGGTGTCCCGACCACCCCATTCTCGATCACGGCTTCGATCATCGCGAAACGGTACTAAAGGTCCTCTATTATCCCTTCGAATATCTCTATAGTCTCTTTCTCGTTCTATTTCTCGGCCACGCTCTCGATCTCGATCTCGATCCCGATCGCGGTCTCTACTCTCATCTCGCCAGCTACCTCTTCCGCGACCACGACCTCTGCCACCTCTGAAGTCACCCCGATACCCGAAATCGCCTCGATATCCATCGCCAAAACTGTTGCCTCTAGGGCCGCTTGGGGGGTCGATATAACTTTTGGATCCAGCCCGTGGTCCTCGAGGAGGGTCGCGTAATGATGAATCTCGATTTGTATCTCGTGAAAGTGTATGCCTATCCGAGAAAAGCTCTCGATTTTGATTGTGATTAAATGCGGCAGTGTTTGCTCTTGAGTTTGATGGCGATCGGCGCCTGTCACCGCCGCGCGCAGCCCCTCTATAAGTATCGGAATCGCGGGAGTCAAGATATCGCCTTGGAGATCGATCCACAGGAGAGCGGGCACGAGGTGATGAGTGTGGTCGAGTCCTGAAACATTGAGGTTAGAATCAATTTTCACATAGCAATCATTGAAGCGACAAACATTGCGATGAGATTTGCAAAAGGAGAAGACTACAATTTGTAGCAATCCCCAGTCTCTGTCGTCCCTTCTTTAGTCGGTATCTCAGCGCCTGACTACCTAGTATTTATCGGTATGGCTACAGCAGTTACGACTCTGATCCGGCGCTGCTGTTCATCAAATGGATACCGAAACAATGTCAAGAGTGTAAGCGGTGGGTATTGATGTTGAATCACTGCACTGAGTGTTGTCGCTGGCGCAATATCGAATTTTGAGAAGCACGCGAAATGGATTTGATCGAATACTGAGGTTGCCGCAATTGTTCATTCCCGCAGCACGACCGATATAGTTCGACTGTGCTCTAAAGTTTTGACCAATCAAATCTCGTTGTTTCTGGTCCGATCCTTCAAGGTTTTATAGCCTCGAATTTTGACCTCAGCCTCAGGGTTTTTGGGCCTAGCTTCGAATAGTATCATGTGATTAGCCACACTTGTATTGTTTTCACAAGGAATCAATTGATACTATTTGGTTAATTTATATGAATTGGTAGTAAAATTTCCCATATTCAAATGGAATTATGCTTTAAGAATACCTAGTAAGTACTGAATGATTCATCTACACATCAGATAATTTTCTGATGATCCCCATACCGAAATCCCATTAACCTGCCTCCAGCTACCTAGTAGGCACAGGTACGTACCTACAAGCATTTAAACATTTCCCCGCAACGATTTAATCCTATTGAAGTCGCACAAGATATATGCTCCACTATCTAGCCACAATATAGAAGCAGGTGCCCCATAATATTAGCTAATCATTCAAGATGTGGCTTGACTCGCTTGACTAGGACTTTTGGTGGAGAATAAAATTTCGACACTTCAATCAGAGCCCCAAAAGTTAATGCGTAACACGGGCCACAAATCGCTTCTCCCTGCATCAAAACTTTTGATCACATTTCCTGACCACGACATTTGAAAATATACATGAACACAACATATTCATTAATACTTCTTGGAATTTAATTTTCTATATCATTCTCTATCTTATTTGATACCAGCATATTCAACAGAAAAAGCCCAGACATGGCCTCAACATCCAATCCCGATGGAGCACCTCCATCCTCCGTCATGGATGCAGTTCTTGTCCCTTCAAACGAAATGCCAGTCAATGCACAAAAAGTCGAAGAGCTCGACTTTAACAAATTTGCTGGGCGCCCGATAACCGTTGATGATCTATTGAGTGGTATGAACAATATGGGCTTCCAAGCAAGTTCCATTGGTGAAGCTGTTCGAATAATTAATGATATGGTACGTTATTCCTCTCTCATCGTTTCTACAAAACCTAACACTACTAGCGTGCATGGCATGGTCCAGAACCAACAGATCGTACCACCATCTTCCTTGGATACACCTCAAATTTGATTTCAAGTGGACTTCGTGGGACTCTTCGCTATCTCGCTCAACATCGTCACATTTCTGCAATCGTCACCACTGCCGGTGGTGTCGAAGAAGATATCATTAAATGTCTTGGCCCCACCTACATGGGTTCATTCTCTACTCCTGGAGCTGAGCTACGTGCCAAGGGTCAAAACCGTATTGGAAATCTTATTGTTCCCAACAACAACTACTGTGCATTTGAAGACTGGGTAATGCCCATTCTCGACACCATGCTTGCTGAGCAAGAGGAATCGAAGAAAGATCCCGACACTGACAATCACATTCACTGGACACCCAGTAAAATCATCAGAAGATTGGGTAAAGAGATCAACAATGAAGAGTCACTACTTTACTGGGCCTATAAAAATGACATCCCTATTTTCTGCCCGGCACTTACCGATGGTTCCTTAGGCGATATGCTTTACTTCCACACTTTCAAATCCTCTCCAGCTCAACTCCGTGTTGATCTTGTCGAAGATATTCGCAAGATAAATACTATGGCTGTGCGAGCCAAGCGAGCAGGAATGATTATTCTAGGTGGAGGTGTAGTCAAACATCACATTGCGAATGCTTGTCTGATGAGAAATGGAGCCGAGAGCGCAGTCTACATCAATACTGCGCAAGAGTTCGATGGGAGTGATGCTGGAGCAAGACCTGATGAAGCAGTTAGTTGGGGGAAAATCAAGGTTGGAGCTGACAGTGTTAAGGTTTATGTTGAAGCAACTGCCTGTTTCCCATTAATAGTGGCGGGTACCTTTGCAAAGGACCAAGAGAATAGTGCATCCCAAACAACTTCAAAACCCTCTGATAATTAAAAATAGAATCACAATTACAAATTGATACCTCTCTACACCAGTGATTTTATGTAGATAACAGGCTATTTCATAGCCAAGAATTAGAGACTGATGGCCATATTAATTTGTGCTGTCAAATTATCGATGCTTACATGATATCCACTCTCGGAATGAATGTTTACCTAGACTTTCGTCGGTGTTTCGGCAGATAAACTATCATACACAACCGCTTCCGTTTATAAACCCCAATAGTAAATAAAGTAACAGCCATCCTGTCTGACACTTCCCAATTTCAGCGGTATGGGCAAGCTTCTATCTGAGAACTTCACTCTTCCGGGATTTATTTACATAGTTTGTGATTTCTACTATCGGGATTGTGATAGGTTACGTGAAATTTTAAAAATCAAGTCAGAAATTTCTCTTGGGGCATCAGAAAATTTACTTCTCTTGTAAAGTAACTCGTTATTCTTGAGACTATTTATTACTACAATGGTAATTATGAATGATATATGATGGTTGAGACACGTAAATTTACTAACCTGTTTTCTGTGCACTGGAGGTGAATCGTGATCTTGCTTGGAGAAGAATGAGTTCTCTCATTCATTGCTGGACATGAAGCCAAACACGAGAATAGGCTTTTTTGAAGTCACGCATGGATTCGTTTGTATCTGTAGAAATCATGAGAAATGGAAATGAAAGGTGGGTATTCTTGTTGCTGATTGCGGTGGAATTTCTGTATTCGGGTGTGGATAATCATTGATTCTAGATGTGGAAGTTCAGGAGATGGGAGCTCAGTGGATAGTAGTGATAAATCTAGATATTTTGATGGGAATCAAGGCTAGTATATGGAAGTAATGGGAAGCTATTGATATAGGTAATCTTGATAATATCTCGTTTCAGTATTAAGAGATTATAAATCTAAGTTGTTGATCGCACATCGTCTGAAAATCAAGAGTAGTTATTGAAGAGACTTCATATCTTTAAAATCAAAGCATAGAATCACATTTCACCCATCACATCGCAATGAAGTCAAATATTAAGAATAATGAGTTAAAAATAACCTACATCACCTGGTTTGCAAAACCCCCATTATACTTCCTTGGACATCTAATCTAACCTAAAAGCCAGACAGAACAAATCCATAATCAAACTGCGCCACTCGCATAAGCAAGCAAGAAGAATGAACCTGATCTTCACAATATCCGCCACGTATCAGAACTCTGCTCCTCTTAACATGCATCAACGGCTGGCCGGGGAGCAGCACGCTGTATTGTGTATTGAGAAGAATCCTGCGTCTCAAGCACCCATGATATTCGAAAGCTAACCTTGCACATCATATACCTTGAGAACACGTCGAATTCAGTGTGAAGACTATTAACACACTGTATCGAGAAAGAGTTCTGTGTCTCAAGCACCCATGATATCCGAAAGCTAACCTTGCACATCATATACCTTGAAAACACATCGCATTTAGCGTGAAGACCAACTCATTCAACAGACGCGAGTAAAAAAAACCAAACACCGCATTATCCAATCCAAACCACCATATATCCAAGCTGCATTAGCTTAGATCTCCTTCTATTTGATGGCGATTATGCTTGATTTGGCTTGGTTCGGGGAGCGCGGGGCTTTTTCTCCACGGCGGCCAATTCGGCTGGGACTCCCTCGGCTGGTAGTGGAACGCCCATTGCATCCAATTCGATGTCGAGGTCTTTTCTGACACGAGGCTTGAAATCTTTTCGCTGGTAGATCTGGCGGTCTTCCTCAGCCTTGGCTACTCTAGCCGCCTTTTTCTCTTCCGTAGTCAATGGGGTCTTGGCTGCGGGAGCTTTCTGCTTGTTGGCAGAGTTCCTCCCCGCTCTTTGGCGGGGCTTTTTGGCGGGGGGTCCAGCGGTGGTACTGTTGACATCCTCGGCTCTTCGCTTCCCTTTCGCAACATTGTACCCGAGTGGTTGTGAGGTAGCTCCTTGACTAGAGCCGATTTCTGAGTCGGCTGATTCGGTAGGTGTTATAGGTGGCGAGAGTAGCTTGGTAGCCTTTGATGAAATAGGCTCTGGTGTAGGTGATCGATAGGAGATCGTGTCTTGACAGCTGATTGTGTCTTGAGAGCTGACTGTATCAGATTCATCATCAGATATCGAGACTTCCTGTCTCTGGCGTGTTTCCTCAATCCAAATAGCCTCAGCATCGGTTACAGGTTTTGTCTTCAGCCATACCAAAATTTCAGCGACTTCAATATCATCAGGTGACTTTACGATCCAGTTGAATTTTGGATCCATTTTTGAAGACATTGTAGCCTAGTGTTGAATTCGAGGCTCTATAGTACAATAATTGTCAGCCTGTATTCTATATATCAGATAACTCAAGACATCAGACTACAGGATTCATTGATGGATAAGGAGCTTCTACAATGTCTACAGCTATAGTCCAGAGGGTGTCCAATAGTCCGGACTGTAGTCCAACAATGAAGATAATCAAATTCTCAAAATCAATTAGAACATTCAAACGATTTGAGATATTGAATCTGATTGGAACATTGAACCATCTTCAAGCTTTTAATCGCTTTTAGATATTCAAAATCTCTTATTGTTGGACTGCAGCCTAGACTATTGGATACTCTGGCTATGGAGTTAATGATGTACCCAATTTGATCCGCCGAACCGGCTAATGAGATGCTCTGCGGTGCCGGATCAATTTGAGACATTTCATCATTATGAAAGCTGGAGACAGTTGAAGGGGGTTCGCTTATCTCAATGATACTGAATAGGGATGAATGTATCAATGCGTCGATGGGCTCCAATGTTTTAATCTTCCAACGAATTTGAGAATTACATGTCTGTGGTTGTTGGATTACAGTGGAGATCGTAACTTCAGTGATAGATAGGAGTAGAATCCTATGCTTTCATTTGAAGACGAGATATATAACCAGCGAGGGTCGATGAAACTGCACTCCTACGACGGAGACTAGAGGAGTGGGGTAGGATTTGACTACTTACTTTGTTGTGATTCGATTGCTGTTGTGAAAGTAGGTCGTGAAAGTAGAATCGTGTCGTGTCGTGAATTTTAATTATTGGAAAAGCGGAATCAGGGGGGGGAGCTTCACGTTTTTATATGGACATGGAAAAAAAGTCGTCCGTACAGTAGATACGTCGATCATTGAGCCGTTAACTCTAGCTTTATTCATGATACCAACGTGTGTACTGTAGCGGAAGCTTAATAGTTCTAATCTCATGTTAGATACCACAGTATTACTAACTTTTCAATGATCAAGACCTATCATATAGGGCTGCATAGGACGATCAACTCACTATTGTTGCACAATAACAATTTGTTTGAAGAGAGTAAATCGCTTGATGGCTGGATGAGTATCACATTACAAATACCAAAGTATGTAGAATTCGAGCTTTAGAGTTCAGTTGGGATTCATTGTAAAACTCATTTGCTATCCCATGTATCTCCATTGATATGGCAGGTGAATGTTCCAGGGAAACATAGATGGATATAACCCGACGGCGTATCTTGTTCTGGCGGTCATTTCCCAACCCCATATTATAGGGATTGTGTGTTTTGAAACGGATGGACGATCCCAAAAGACTTTTGAGTCACTGCAATATACCAATTACATTGCAATCTGTTTGGTTACAATTTAAGCTTACTGAACTTCGCTTGGCACTGAAAATTCCAATTTGATCATCTATCCTTACATCTTGATTGTTGAGCTTGTCCACCCACTTACCATGGTAGTCTGAATGTTCAAGAACGTTATCATTCATCATACGAAATGAAGTCAAATGATGAGGATTGACTCCGCGAGTCTTAAGCCCATAATTTGGGGAAAAGACAGAGATTGAAAAATCATCCAATTTGAAGACCTTCTCAATCCTACGCTTGTCTTGTGTATGATTTCTAGTTTGTTTGCTTCTACTATAACTAGCATATTCTCACCCCACATTTGGTAGTCAGTAAGTTTATGAGTCGCTGGGAAATACATCCGATGATAGCCATCTTGTTTGTATGACGATTAAACCTCTTTCGATTACTACACTTTAATTTCTCGTGGAGAGCTAGGTAAAAAAGTAATAATTTGACATTTGAGGAGTAATCTCGTGGTGTTTTGGGAGTGGCAGTTGAATATCTAGTCTTGAAATAGAAAATGCAAGATGTTCTGGTCGTGGGCGACTACCAGCTTTGGAGGATATATTTAATTAAAAAAATGTATAAATTGTAAGCCTTCGAAGACTCTAGTCCTTTCTGAACCAAACTCGTCAATACCCACTTACAGAGACATGATGGAGCTAATAAGAATACCAAGAAACTTAATCAGATAATGCGGGGTGCTAGTCAATACAGTCTTGTCAAAAAGCACACAAAAATAGTTACGTCAGTAATACGTAGATTCATTTCACATTATCGAATTGCTTAAACCTCAATAATACATTCCAAAGTTTTTAAGTAACATTCAACATTCGAAATAATCTCAAGAGAATATTTTATTTCGTTTCCGTGGTTGTAAGAACGATTGAATCTCGATTTTGATGTACCCACGACTAAGCGGAGCCTCCTCGCTAGTGTTGAGTTTATTTTGACGTCGGTAATCTCGAAAACTCAACCAATCATTCAGCATGCCCCATAATTCAATTAGACGAACACGCGAATTTATATTATTCGAGCTAAAATTAGGTGTAGAGAATAAGTGAGCGGTAGAGACACATGCTTTTCTTTCCGGAAAGAGCTTTCCCGTCCATATAGAGAGGCTTTCGATAAATCCAGGATGTCTTTTGCATGCTTTTAATATTCGACATATTATTTAGAAAGATAGTAAATAAGCTTATTTTAATTACAGAAATTCGAGCAATGATTATTGAAACTTTCATCGATTTTTCCTCGGGTTTCCAAGTGTACTGGCGGTCCACTGTGACTTCCTAAAGTGGCAAATGTAGATAACTTTAGTCTATGATAGCCCCTTGGCAAGAAAAATCAATGAACACGTGAGGCAGTTCATATAGAAATATGACAAGATCTACGTGGAGAAATAATCGGTGTCGTTTAATGGAGGGGTCATTATTCTCCTCAGACTCTTGGACATCGAACTCCGCCTACATTTTGGTGATTCAATGAACCATAGTCTTTGGCAGCCTCTGCAATTTCATGTTGTATCCCCAAGTTACAATCATATTGAGGGTGAAAATGTGTATTCTATCGATTATATTGAGCCACTACAAGTAAATGGAAACAAGTCGTCAAATCAATTCTTTGGCAGATGAATCTTTTTAACACATCTCTTGTAAAAGACATTTAAATCCCAGATGGTATCGAGAACAAGCCCTACAAATATAGCATAAGAGCGCCGTATCGACATCTCAAAGATTAGGGATTTGGAACATCTTCCTTTATAAAAGAGAAGGTATATCCCACTAGGTATTAGGAATAGATAGATGGCCAAGGATACATAGAATAATATAATTGAATTGATAAATGAACGGACAGAAGCAGTACTACAGAGGGCCTTTGAAAGGTATTCAACTCTTAAACTAAGTTTTTTGCAATAGTGTATTCATCTTGAGCGAATATACACACTTGTCGTTTTAACGCTCTTTATAATACCATTCGATATGCCTCATATTTTGAATTATCTTCACTTGATTTGAAGCATTACACATTATCGCCTTGGATTTGATATGTGCCGGAATTGCACCGTGAATCGCTATTAAGTCGAGACTCCTTCCTCTTTCTGTGGGTTATGAATTTGTTCCACCAACTTTACTACGTTTATTGTTCGACAAACAGCCTTTCATCATATCAATAGCATCTAGTATCATGGAATCGGTCATATTAATCTACCTACCTGTGTCTAAAAGCTCTCATTGATACCTCTCATCAAGATTATTCCCACAAAATTCTCATCGTCGCCATTTATACGTCGATTCCAAATATCTATCCCTCAATTTGACGCCATCAAAATGGTATCCGTGTCTCTCCAAACCCACTAACCAACACATCACTCCTATCCCTAAACTAATAGTCGACCAACAGCGTTGACTGTGCCTCAATTCCGGGTCTGACCAACTGCAGAAGACGAATAACCACAGCATATCCTCGTCGTACTGTTTAGATGCACCCTAGAAGGTTTCCTCGCTTTAGAAAAAAGCTCCTCCTTTCCACAGCCCCTGCGAGTTTGATGCGACAATATTGGAGAAGAGATAATAGTGCGACGAATTTCTTTCCACCCGTTCTTCCCACGTCTACATAAGAAATAGAGTCGCCGGCGGTTATAATACTGAATTATTTTCCACGGGATCTTCTGAAATATAACAGTCGAACGCGCAGATGCAAGATCTAAGAATATCAAGCCTCTTTGATGAGACCCCCTCATAAGTTTAGAAGCAGCAAGATATTGAGACTTCGACTATCGAATACAGGCTACTAAATGGCGGCCTTTTACAAATCTTAACAATGCCCCTCATCTACCAAGTATATAATGAGTGCACATCTAAGCCGTATACCTTGATCAGGACCCATACACGATAAGATCGTGAGAAGCCAGTCATTCTAAAGATTTCCTCGATCAAGAACCTTTACAGGCCAGGTTTCGCATGGTATTGTTCCCAAAAACCGCAGAGATAAACATGCTAACTGGCAGATTATAGACTGTTCTCATGTTAGTAACCGAAATTCATTAACATTCATGTCGAAAATCTTTCCCCATTCTTTTCCGGCAATTATCCCTGAGTTTTTGTGGACGGTAAGTTAGTCAGAAGAAGGGAATTATGCTTCTCGATACCGTCATCTCGATATTCGGCGAACCGAAAACTTTATGATCTTCAGCTTGGAATGGCCAGAGATGAGAATGGGTCGAGCGAGATAGCCTCTTTAAACCATCTGCACATCTCTTCTGCATTCTAAAACCATGATGCTCGGCTCCCTTTTTGGAAAGAAGAGACGATGAAGAGAGGGTACAAAATAACAGTGAGCTTTGAGAGACGGTAGTGACAGGACAGAAGCGGAGCAACAGCAGATTCCCACGTCAAGACCAGAACTTTCAATCTTGACAGCGCAATAAAATAACAGAGAGGTATGGTTAGTAGGCAATCATTATGGTAGGCTGATGGGAGCAGTAAAAAGATGGGTGTAGTGGGATGATGAGATTTGTCAAGCAACTACCATTGCGAGACAATATCTATACCTTAGCGGTGTGATGGCAGATTATTTAAAGCTGTCGATTGATTATGATCCATGAGAGAACTAACAAGTTCCCATCAATACTCCCTCAAAGATGGCA